GCGTGGATGGTGGTATTATTACACAGCGTGTGGTGTCCAGTAGATGTCAGGCGCGACCTGTACAAATGTAGGATACTTGAGAGAAGCTGCAGGTTTAGATTACCTTGTGTTCACATCTCTTTCCTGAGCATCCCAAAAATCCCTACGGGAGAACTTAATGCAATAGAACCATAACATAGTACAGTAAGTGAGGTACAGAAAACTAAATCACATAAAATGCTGAGTTGAGTCATTTCAAGGTCATTGTAACATTTAGTGTAGTTGGTGTGATCAGCACCATGAGTTCTTCCGAAGTCTTGCTGTTCCATTCAAATGCATTGCACTGCCTGGCCCAGAATTGCTTCCCAGTGCCAGATGTCTGCTCCTGTTTTGTTTCATTGTGTGCGTGCATGCGTGCGTGTGCATGCTTGTGTGTGTATGGTGCTGGGCACTGAACCCAGAGCTTCTACATGTCTGGTAAACACTATACCACTAAGGTATATTCTCCAGCCCAAGAAAGAGAACTTTTTCATAGCATACAAGAAGGTAATTGGGTGTTACAACTGATTGAGTGGAAACTTTGTACTTAATATAGAGCAATGCAGAATATTAAAAGGGAGGAGACAACTACATGGGAAAAGTTTCATGAGAGCACGGAGGGAGTCACCACAGAGAAGGCTATGGTGGCTCTCTGCAGACAAAGGGCAGGTTCTGTCTGATATAGGCTCTGATGGGGAAAGCGCTGTGAGCTGATCTATTTCGTGAGAGTGCAGGGGATTGGGTAAGTCTTTACATGCATGAGTTTTGGCACAGACTTTTGGGGAGGGAAAAGCCATAGAGGCTTTGGGAAGAAGGAGTTATGCATTATCAGGGTACGGTTTTGAGCCGTTGCTATGATGATTGTGTTGTCTTTCAGAACGGGGGAGGGGAGATCTAACAATATTTTATAGAGGACCCTTCCCGAACCTCATTGTGGTCCAGGAAGTTTGTATCTGTAATCCCATCGGAAAGTTACTGGAATTCTAGTGTGTTTATTCCAGTCTACCACTTCCAGTACAACTTGCAGCATAAATACAGACACAATTATATATCCAAGATGAAGGTGGGAAGCTAACGGGGTCCTAAGTCCAGTTAGGGTGATGGCTAACCAGAGCAAAGGCCTCAACCCAAGGTTGAACCCCAGGTTTTATTAATTCTCAATGAAGGGATTGGCTAGGGGATGAATGACTGTGATGTGTTGGGAAGTACTTGAGTCCTGTGAACTGGGCGAATTAGGAGGCCGGAAATCAGCTCTGCAATATGCAGAGAGAAAGATATGCAGAAGGAATAATCTACGTAACACGATTCACAGTAGTAGCTAATGTTTTGGGGTCAGTGTTCAGCTCTGATGTGTAAGTTTTTATGCCCTGGGAAGTCATAGCCTCTTATCTTGAGGCTCCACAGTATGAAACTTGGCTGTCCCTCCTGCCTGGCTCACACATGTTTTTTGGGAGCTATGGGACAGGGCAACATTGACCTGTCTTGCTTCAAAGACTATACAGCAGCACCTTTGCTAGACCAATTTGCATTGCATAAAGCCAATTGAAAGGTAAGGAAAAGTTCTAGCCTGCTCTGAACATATCAATACTTGGATGTAAGACCAGGTTTAACTGAAATGGAGATAACTTCAAGGACAGTCCTCTGGGTGGTCCTCCACACAATATATAAAGCAAATCTTCAAGGCGCAGTACTGGGGTTTGAGCCCAGGATCTTGCACATGCTGAGGAAGCGCTCTATCACCGAACCACAACCCGGCCACTGCTCTGCTGTCAGTATCTGTGTGGCAATGGTGCCAGTACAGTGATTCCTGTAACCCTGTTGCTGTGGGGCCTGATTTATTGACCTAGTTAGGGAATATCAGGCTCACAGGATACAGGGATTAGGCCGTCTCCTAGCTACCTCGGGGTGGGCCTCCTACCCATCCCGTTCCTGGCTCAGCCACCTTGATGTCCTCTAGTCACTGCATCTACTCCGTGTTCCCAGGACACGGCAAGCATGAAAGGACAGCGGCAGTCTCCAGTTGTAACTCGCCGAAATTCCCCTTCTTTCTCTAATGAGTACAGGATTTTAAACGAGAGAAAGCAGAAATGTACTCATATTTACATAGTGAGTAAAAAGAGAAGCTTTGGTTGGATTAGACTAATCCACAGTCCATGGAGTGCCTGTATATTACCATTATAATGAAATTTTTATTTGTTCCCTGGGAGTTTAATTATAGTTTACGTATGGTAATTTGGATGACTTGGTGGAACTCTAAGGGGACACTTGGGAGTAATAATTTGTTTAATCTTTTTTTTTTTTTTTTTGTCTTTTTCCTTTTTATTGGTACCGAGGATCGAACTCACGACTGCCTGCTTGCAAGACAGGCGCTTATGCCACTGAGCTAAATCCCCAGCCCCAATTTGTTTAATCTTAATACAAGCTAAAACAGTGTGATCCTAAAGAGAAGCATGCAGGATAACAAGTGATAGATTGGCATTCATTGGCCAACTAGTATTCTAAAATGTTCACATCAATAAAATACAATTGTTCAACCTTATTAATGATGAAATGTATTTTCTTATAAGCTAATGATACAGCTCAGTAGTAGACCACTTTCAAGGCCCTAAATTCTAGCCCCAGTATTGGGAGGGGGAGGGAGAGAGTGAAAAGGCTTCTTATAAATATGTAGATCTGTTATGAAACTCCTTGTTAAGTATTCCTAACTGCTAGAGAAATTCTGGGTTTAAATTTGCAGCTCTAGCCCTGAGTAATGGTCAGGAACTAGGAAGAAGTAACACACAGGTTTTACGTATCTTCCAGAAGCTCTAAATTCTTGAGCTTTACTATGTAGACTAAATTAAGATTTCAACCTGTTCCATGAGATTTTAGAAGCGCAGTTTCTGTAAACTGCCGAATACATTGGTGTTTTTGGACCCTTGGTACTGCGATAAGTTCTCTAAGACCTAGAAAGGTGGAACAGGATGGTGGCTGCTCTTTGCCTACTTCTCATTCTGTTCTGTTGTCAGGAAGCACAGGGATCTCCTCCCACGCAGTGCACTTTCTTCCTATGGGAGTCCAGGCGCAGGTCTGTGGCACAGGCTGTTTGTAGGAAATGTGAGGTGAATGTTCTTTCTGATTGATTCCCTTATGGTCAACAACACATATAGAGTCACTGAGCCAAAATGAAGCCACACCCTTTGTGGAATAAAGACGTATCTGCTGCTTAGCCCTGTATTTCAAAAATGGTACCAGTGTCCGTCCCTCTGCCCCAGTTGTGTCAGCTTAGACACCTTCTCATTGAGGTAAATGTGAACAAATAGTTACTCATTCCATTTTTTTAAAGATATAGTTCATTTACTCTTAATTCTGTCTTAATCACTTAAAAAAATTCCTGATCATTATTCAGAGCTCCCTTCAGTCCCACTTTGATAGACTTCTGCCTGACTTCTGATCATTATTCAAGGGACAAATGATCATTTTAAACCCCTCATTAGATCTTTAAACATTTTGATCATCTGCTTACAGCAGTGCACTTCTTTTTCCACTGTTTGTAGCTTTCTTAGTTTTTAATAACTTGGTTCAGTTTTACCTTATTGATAGAATTCTACTATCTATGTTGTCAGATTTTTTGGAAAATGTGAAGCTCCTGCATTTTTTTTTCCGTTGAACCCCTGGACACAGAACTGGATAAATCACGATCCTGGTTAAAGACACAGTGTCCTCATTGGTCTCTTCATTGTTACCTGTGTTGTTGTTTGTTTTACCTGCAGTATTTGGCAGCCCAGTCCCAGAGACTGTTGAGAAGTAGAATTTTGATATAATTTAAACCACAATTATGTGAATTTCTCATTGTTCTCTTCCTTGCCTCCACCTTACCAATATATTGATTTTTATGTTAATTGTTCCTTTAACATTAGAAAATGTTGTGTGTGTTTGAATTGTTAGTGTATTAACCTTTCCTTGGTTTTGAGCTTTCCAAAAACACTACCATACTGTTTACTATCTTCTAGTACATATTCAAAACTCCCGATGATCAACCCGTAAAATGTTGGCTATGTTATTATTTCTTAGGCATGTAGTTAATAATACAGAAAGTGAGCATTGCGATATCCTCTTGAGTTTAATGGCTGGAGTTTTGGCAAAAACAGATTAATAGGGTCCAAGGATTTATTTTAGTGGCACAAGGCTTGCCTGGCCAGCATGAGGTCATAAATTCAATCCTTGGAACCAAAAGGAAAAATAAACCAGGTTAATAGGTAAAAAGATACATTGTATATGATATAGAAGCTGTCACAGAAAAGAAAGGAAGGTTCAAAGAAGGATTATACCCAAGTAGCATTTTAACAAAGAGTAACTGAGTCATAAAGAGGAGATAATACAAAAAGGTTTGGGCTTCTACAGGCAGTGGGCTATGGGAAGGGAAATACATGGAGGAAACAAAGGAAAAGAAGGTGGAGGGTAGAGCTCGTTGTACAGACCATCTCACCACTCAGTCCTGGTCCCCAGGCCTGCTCATCAGTGTCACCTGGCGGCTCTGAGAAGACCTTCCCATCTGTTCAGGTGGGACAGAACTGCCTTTAGGCAGAAAGAGAGAGGAGCTTTTTTATGCCGGTCATTTCTTAGTTATCTTCAGCTCAAAATGATCTGTATGCTGAACTAGTATTCTAGGGATGTATACTCTGATCCATTTCAAGATTGTACACCGTGTGTAAACTGCTTCCATTTCTGCTCACAGTATAACCAAAGCACACTCATTTATATTACTACTACTGAGTATGGTCAGACTTAATTTTTTCAGTCGAATAGGTATTAAATTATATTTTGTATATTTTCATTCTATTACTAAGAAATTAACCTCTCTTATCTGTATTGTTTTAGGAATAAGTTGATAATTGATTAGTTGAAATGATGTGGATATTCATAAAGATATAGTTAGTGACTTCTTGCTCACATTTATCTGCATAACATATATATAATTTATATATATTTATAAATTTCAGATTCCTGTTCATCCTGTACCCGACCCTTTAGTTCATGAAGTTTTAAACTTAGCTTTTAAGCACTTTAAACATAAGGAAGGGTAAGTAATATGCTAACTTGGGATTGTTACTTTATTATTTTCTTAATATTTTAAAATTTATTGATACATATTTGCAGTACATAATGATTACATTTATTGTGAGAAATTGGTACATGTACATAATGTATCTTAATTCTCTCTCTCTTTTTTTTTTTTTTTTTTTTTTTTTTGGTCCTCATATTCCTCTCCCTCCCTGGACCCTCCAGCTCTTGGTCCCCTTCTGATTTCCAAAAGTTCAATTTTCATTTTTGTCATTTTTTTAAATTTCTTTTCCCTTTTCTCCTCCTCTTCCCTCCATCTCTTGTTCCCTCACCCACTAGAAAAAGATCTCCCTACTCCCTTTTTATCTATTTGTAATTTGCCAATTACTTGTGCATATAATTTGGGTTTCTCACTAGGTGACAGCGTGTGATGCTTACGCTTGTGTGTCCATTTGTTTCATTTAATATGGTCCCAAGGTGCATCCATTTCCCAGTGACTGCCTCAAGTTTATCCTTCTTTAGGGCAGAGTGGTACTCTGTTGTGTATAAATACCACAGGTTTTCTTTTTTTTTTTTCATTCATCTGTTGATGATCTGTTTCTTTAGCTCTTGTAAATTGTGCTGCTGTAAACATGGACATGCAAGCATTCCTATAATATAATGACTTTTCTCAAGAGACCACATTGAGACTATCTAAACATAATTTAAATTATTGATCATTTGTTTTTAAGAGTTCGAAACAATTGTCTCCCCATTTCTTTTGAATCTACACAAAAGGCTTATAGAAAGATTTTGTAAAAATAATTCTTAACACCATAGAATAGATTTATAAGCAGGTTGAAATTCATGGCACATTAAAACCTAGTGGAAGAAAATTCCTGGGTTTTAGCCTATAAATGAATATTCAGAAAAAAAAGTACAATACTCTTGATAAGGAATTTGTAATTTCTTAAGGAAGAGCATTTGTAGAAACACTCAGTGAATGTTCTGTTTGTTCTGTTATCTTAGCTATTCAGGAACCAACACTGGGAATGTGCATATCATTGCGGATTTGTATGCGGAAGTGATAGGAGTTCTTGCCCAATCAAAGTAAGTTCTATAAATCATTGATTGTCTTTCTCTTGCTTTGTGCTTTCGGATGCCTTAATACTGGCTGGTACAGAACACACTGATAGTTTTCGGTTTCCTGTTTTGCCTCTGAGTTAGCAGAAAGCCCTCTCATTGGAGTGTAGTACTCCGTTTTGTTCCCCAGGGGCTGCTTCGAGTATCCATTCCTCAGTTGCACAACTTGTTTTAATTCCTTTGAGGTTTTCCATAAATGTCTGAATCAGGTGAGTCAGAAATTGTCAAGAATAGTCAAGATGTTTCTTCTTCCCTATTTTTAATAATTCTCTGAGAAGCGCTTTTTAAAATCTTATTTTTATTGAGCCAGTAATTACTTTGACTACTTTCCAGTTCAGTTTTTTTTTTCCTGAGGTTGCAATGCAGTGTCCTCTAATCATCTTACTTCTTTTAATACTAAATAAAGTATTGAGTAGGAAAAGGTAAGAAAAAAGGGAGGAAGGAGGGAAACGAAGAAGAAAGAAAAGAAAAAGGGAGAAAAAGAAAGAGAGGGAAAGAAAGAGAAATGACAGAAAAGAGGCAGAAAGAGCTAGGATCACTCCATTGTCATGAGGAGTTAAATTCATTAAGTTGTATTGACTCATCATTTAGTAGGCAGTAAAGCATGGTTAGTACCTTAGGGTTGCTGCAAGAGCCCTGGGAGATGTGGGGTCTCTTTTTGTAGCTACTGGTGGTGGGGTGCAGTGAAGCTATGAAACGAGGGGAGATGTGAAGGGTGTATTTGAATCTTGTCTGTAAGTTTTCTGTAGAATCTAACAATTTTTTGAGAATTTAGTAAGAAAAATCTTGAATTCTAATATTATTAAAGTGGAAAGTTCTTCATTCATTTTCTAAATATTTTTTAAATAAAATGCTAAAGGAATTTGAGGTAAAATAGTATTCTTCAGGATTCAAGTAGATAAATTATACTTCCTAACGTTGGTCTGTATTTTGTTAATATATGATGTTCTGTTTTTCCTCCCCACAGTCAGTCACCATTGGAAGTATGCTTTGCTTTGAGTCATTTTAGCTCTCAGGCAATGGTTTCCCTAACTAATATTAATAATAAATTTTTAGCTATTTTATAATGATAGAAGGATAATTGTTATTGATAGCTGAACTAATAGATATCTTTTTCAAATGTTAAGCAGAGAGATACTTGATCAGTCTCCACAGTTCTAATGACTTAAATCCAGGATTAGATTCACGTATGAAAAAGTCTCGTTCCTATAGCTTATTCTCATGAGACTTATATGCTTTTTCTCTTCAGTTTTTCTGCAGGAAAATAAGGTATTAATTTTAAGAGAAAATTAGTACTGTTGGTTGGTTTATCTCTTAAATAAATTTATGTACCCAAATCTGCTTACTATGTAACTCTCAACACAGGCTTAAACAATAATCTTAAAAGATGGAGATAATCTCAAATTACTTGATTGTAGTTTATTATGTTTACTGGTTAAAAAAAATTGTAATGGCACCATATTGATTACATTAGAGGAATTAATAAATCTTATTATTTCTCCTTCATAAAGTCCTAATTGCAAAGTAAACCAACATCTAACTTGGTGTAACCATTTCACTTTCTTCCGTGTGCTTTTTCTGGTCGTTTTGAAGAGGGCAGACAAAAGTGATCTTTGGGCAGTGTGTATTTTGACTTCACCTTAAAGATCATGTAGGAAATCAGTGTTTTTAACTGACACCAAATTATGTCTCCTCGAATATTTAAAGGTTTCAGGCTGTAAGGAAGAAGTTTGTGACAGAATTAAAAGAACTGCGACAAAAGGAACAAAGCCCACATGTGGTACAAAGTGTCATCAGCTTAATAATGGGAATGAAATTTTTCCGGGTGAAAATGTACCCTGTAGAAGATTTTGAAGCATCTTTTCAGTTTATGCAGGTAATATATGTTCTCAGTGGTAGTAACTGAATTAGCCTAGCAGTGATTGTCCTTGTTCTTTATAACTCTTTAGAAGAAACAAAATTACATTAGTTCACAGCATCATTAATTTGTATTCCAAGTGTTACATTCTCACAAGTTTGGAATACTTTCATTGTTGACATGAGGGCGCCCTGACATTAGGTTTTGGTAAAATAGTGTGTTCACAAAATCTTGCTTTTACTACAAATTTTTTAACTTTTTCTCTTTTGTTAAATCTTTTTTTTCTCTTCAAGGAATGTGCTCAGTATTTCTTAGAAGTAAAAGATAAAGATATAAAACATGCACTTGCTGGTTTATTTGTGGAGATTCTTATCCCTGTAGCTGCTGTAAGTATATATGTGTCATACAGGAGCCATTCAATGTTATACTTCAATTTCTTACATGTAAACTTGACAGGCAGTAAGCACAGGCTGTCAAAAGATTCATCTTATTTGTTCCTATGGGAAGGGGATGACTTGGTTTGTTGATTGATATACAGCATTTTGCATACCATTTCATAAATTTTGTTTGGCCTTCAGATAAATCCAGTCCCTTTTACTGTAACCTTGGTTAGAAATAGAAATGTGTTACTTTTTTGTTTGTTTGTGTTTTTGAGAGAGAGAGTCTCATGTTGTAGTTCAGTGGCTATCCTCCTGCCTCAGCCTCCCAATATTAGGATTACAAGTGTATGCTACCACACCTGGTGAAATTAATTACATTCTTAAAGACATACAAGAATGTGATTAATTCTATTTAAAATTTCAAAAAATAAATTTATTTTCATGTTGAGCAACTGAACTGCCTTGGATTTCTATTATTTTCCCCCCTTTTTTTGGTAAGAGGAATCCAGGGTCTTCACATGGAGCTACATCCACATCCTGTTTTGTTTTTTATTTGGAGACCAGCCCGAGCTGGTCTTAAGATCTTCCTGCCTCTGCATACTGGAGTGTTGAGACTGCACATGAGTGCCACTATGCCTGGCCTTAGACTTTCATTTTCAAACTTTGAATTCACTGACTTGTGACCTGTGTGTTTAATGAACTGATTCATAGTATTCTATTCATTACGGTCTTTGGAGCATGTTTAGAAAAGGTGGGCAAGAATTGTAAAACAAATTAAGAATTTAAAATAGCAATATCAGAATTGTTGGCATAATTTTTTTCAACCTGTCTTGAGCATTTACTTAGAGTTAAATGTGGCATGTGTTTTTTAATGAGTACAAACAGATATAATGAATTAAAGCCTCCAAGTGGTCCGAGTGGTCCCACCTGCCTGCCCAGGCCAGTGTCAGCCATGTAACTTAGGCTCACAGTACTGGAGAGGGAACAGGCTGTCAGTTTTTAAAGCCACCTCATTGCTACACTGCCATCATTAGCAAATCTACTTCTTTTCCTTTTCCTAGAGAGGGTTTGAATTTCAACTTACTCATCCCAATTACTCTGTGTTCTCCTTGCAACCTGAGAATCCTTTGTGTGTGTGGGTGGGGGGGGAGGTATCTTAACCAGATTAAATTTTAATTTTTAAGGACACTGATAAAAGGAAGTCCTCTTCCCGGCAGTCGGTTCTCGCTGGGCTGCCATTCTTTTATACCCTGTTGGCTTTCATGTTCAGGTTTGTCCGTGTGCTAGGGGTTTCCTGTCCCACAACTGGGTCCTTTAGCAACCAAAACCTGCTTCACAGTATTGGCAGCCAGCAGTCTGAGGTCAGGATGGTCCTTTCTGAGGGCAGAGAGGAAGAACTTGCTCCATGCCACTTGCCTGGCTTCTTGTGGTCTGCTGAAAATCAGTGGCCTTCCTGGGCGTGTCGAAGCCGCCTCCTGATGCCTCCCTGTTGGGCGGTGGTGTTCTCCATGTGTTGTTAGAGACTGCCTCAGCCTGCCCTGACTAACGGGATCTACAATGCCTTCCCCCAAATAGGTCACATTCGGAGGTGCTTGGCTTAGGGTTTCAGCACACAAACTTTATGGAGCCATAATGCAGCCTGTGACTCCTGGCCTTTGCACAGGACCCTCCGGCCTAAAACACTTGGTCTCTCTAGTAACCGCAGTCCTGCTCTTTGCCTGGCTGGCTTCTGGTTGTCACATGTATCATATTTATTCATCACATGTACTAAGTGTCCTCTGTGTGTGTCAGGGGTTCATCATACACAGGAAGTGCAACTAACAAGATAGGGTGACGGGGAGGACTTGCTGCTACCATAGAGCTTACTTCTAATGCAGAAAACAGAAGTAAACTAGGATGTAAACCGTGGTATTTGTCAGACTGTGGCCAGCACTGTGAAAATCTGTGGCCAGACAATGAAGATTGCTAAATAGTTGAAACATTAATTAGAGTGTGACTGCGAAAGACCACCATCTTTAAAAAGATGGTGCTGACTGAATAAAAACTTAAGGAGCCGATGAGGAAGAGTTGCTACATCTAGGAGTAGAGTATCTCAGAATGAACAGGCGTGGATGTCCTGAGGCACGCCATGGCTTTGAAGTGTTCTTGGGACAACCAGGAAGCTGTTGTGCCTGGTCCCACAGATAGAGACAGGGCGGTGACAGATAAGGCCAGCAGGGTTAAGTAGGAGTCTGGTGCAGTGTTAGGCTTAAGACTGGCTGGCTTTAGCATCCATGCTGCTTCCTCATGGAGATTCTGCAAAGGGGTCCCCGACTGCTCCAGGGCCCCCAGACAGCTTACTGTCCCAGCTCCTAGCAGATGGGATACTACCTGCTTGCTGGCCAGTGTCTGTTTGTTCACACTGGACTGGGACCTGGTTTATCTTGTTTGTTTAACCCTGGGTCATTAGGTACATTATAGTACTTCAATTCAGATATCAGTGAATTATTAACTTACTTAAACTGCATAGAAATTGCTAGTAATCCTTGTAAAGTTTAATGTTTGTGACCATTTTCTTTCTGTTTGTGTTACCATTTCATTCAGGCTGTTAAAAATGAAGTGAATGTTCCCTGTTTGAAGAATTTTGTGGAGATGCTCTATCAGACTACTTTTGAACTGAGCTCCAGGAAGAAGCATTCCTTGGTATTGAGAAACACTTCAGAACTTTGCAGTGTTTTAGTGGAGAGTTTTAGTCACTGATTTGGGAATTTAATGGAGATTTAAGAGAATCATGGAATCCCCCAAATGCAGTACAAGCGCAGATTTTACATACGAATTTTCTCCTGCTCCGTTTTAAACTATCTTCTTGATTATATTTTATTACCTCTGTATTTAAGAGGTTACTCAGAATTCCTTCTAGATACTTACCTGTCTTAACAGGTGCTTTGCATTATATGGGAAGACTGAATGTAGTCTTATATTAAGAATAAATTCCTTTATTTTTATTTTGCATTATAGTAAATTATATTCCAAAGTGTTAGATGTGTTTAGGAACCATTCTCTGATTACACTTCTGTGCAGAGATCAAAAGCTTTACTTTTTCCAAGTTCATCCTCCACTGCGCCTTCCATCTGAAGCAAGCGAGAACAATTTTGCATCTCATTCTTGCAAATCTAACTTAGAGATACCATAAATGTTGGTTATGCCAGGCCTTGAGCTTTGGGTTTTTGTCTTTCTGCAAACCTCACAACTCTATAGGATCTTTGTGATTTCCGTTTTCCGCTCTAAGTGTTTGGAGATGAGGGCTTGGAGCACTGGATGTGGCTCCTGAGTCCCACACTTGGAAACAGGAAGCTGGCTCTTCTGCCCTGTGATCTGAGGCTAGTGCTCACACGCACTGTGCTGCCGGACCTACACTATGGGCCAGGGGCGCATAAACAGGTCCGGCCCTGGAGATGACAGCCGAGGAAGTGTTCCTCCACATTCTTTGTCAGATTATCCATTGAGATTAGATTTTTAGAAATGGGAAAGCTGTCTAAAAAGGGGTTTTTAGGTTGTTGATGAGAATAAATGAAACAATTATTGCAAGTTAGGTGCTTTTTCATGAAACATTAATTCTCTTTTTCTGTATCTCCTATAGGCTTTATATCCATTAATTACCTGCCTTTTGTGTGTCAGTCAGAAACAGTTTTTTTTAAATAACTGGCATATTTTCCTACAGAACTGTTTGTCACATTTAAAGGTAAGATGTGATTGCATTTCTGTCCTGTGACTATTCTAGTATGTATTCATTTAGACATATACATTGAACAGTGTCTAATAAAATTTTCTTTACCCATTGGTATTTGAAAAATACTTTGCCACGTTCTTTTTTGTATTTTAACTTTATTTCTTCTCCAAGGAATCGTGGACAGAAATAAATAAACTTTTAATTGACCTTACAGTTTCTGTTAATGCAAAAGTATACATTTTCAAGGATCATTGTTCATATTCTTTTAGATCTAGCAATATTAATAATTCTTTAAGAATTATAAAAATAGAATTAGGAGATACTAATTTCACAAGGCCCTGCATATATTGACTTTGTCTTTTGAGAAAATTCAGGAGTGTGGCTCAAGACCAAATAATGTAAAAAATGCTTGGATAAGAAAATGCCATTAAAAGTACATTCATTAATCGAAAAGTGTGCTCCTGGTTCCACACAGATGTAAAAGCTCCTGAAGCAGTTATTTCTTGAATGCAGGGGTACATGTTGCTAACACACTGCACATCCACTGTCTTTGTCTCTTAGCACTGATAACAGAACTGGGAGAGGTAAGATCATTTTTCTTCCTAGGATGCTCAAAGCAGGACACTGTTTTCTTCTTTGGATAGAAATCTGTATCTGACACAGAAAGCAGGAACAGTCCTCATCTGCACATCATGTGAACGCTCCATCAACACTCCTTTGATATATTTAGATGAGTCTGTGTGACTGTTTGCGTATAAGCTACAGAGTCATTGCAGACAGGGCAGTTCTTTCCTGTCATTCCTCTACGTTATATTTGAAACTCAAACGTTATGGTTCAACAGTAGTGGAACTGAGTCACAGATAGATTAAATGGCCTGTCTCTGGCTCTGTTCCTTGTGGTACTGTGAGAAGGTAGGAGTGCCTGTTCGTATTTCAGGAATGAGCCACCGGATGTGATCCTGTGTATCTTTTTCATTTTATATAACATTCTCAAAACTGCTTTGATTTCTTAGGAAGGTATCTGGCATCTATAAGACTTTGAAAAACATTTTTGTCTATTTTCCTCTCAGATATGCATTGATATTATTCATATTTGAATGAGAATTGATATTGCCTATGTGCTTTATTTATGAAAATTCCCAGGACCAAATCAAGCTGACTAGATTCTTTATGTCTTGCAACCAGGAAAGAAATTTAATTAATTACATTATACTTGTTTCTGTCCTTATTTTGATAATTCATACAGATACAGATAAAAGGGAATGGATCATTTTCTGGGTAGTATGATTTTTTTTTTTCATACTTTCGATAAAATATTTTAAGACATGCATTTAAGTGTTTCTGGAATATTGCTTTGTTTCATGACAGTTCATACCTTTCTGTTGCTTGTTGAAATTTTTTTTTTATATATATACGTTTCCACCTAACATTTGCAATACTTTCGCAGTACCTTAACTTTTTTTTCTTTTTTGTCTTCAGGCTTTCATTTAAAATGCTCTGTTTCCTTTGAAACCTTACCTCCTGTTAAATATGTCTGGCATATTGTCCATTTTCATTAATGGCTGTATCAATCTGCCAGACTAAAGGAGATAAGAGCCACTTAGCATGAATATTTGGAGTATAATTGTCTTGGCCATTAACCCTTAACTTACATTAAGGCTCTATTCAGCAGAAATTTTATGACTTGGCTCCTGTTTTAAGTCTTAGAGAATGTGGCTGCTGTGTGTAATTGAGGCAAGGAAGCTTTTAGCATTCGAGGAAAAATCATGCTAATTATCTGATGTAACAGTTGGAATTTATTTCTTTTACATTTTGGAAAAATTGATCGAAGATAAAGACATTACTTAATTGATTAGTAACCAGTAACTTTAACATGATTCATATAATCTCTTGTTTTTTTTTTTTGTAAACTCCTTAAACAGTTTTTTATTTCTTAGACCGACTCCTTCTCAGGACTGATTTTGATTAGTATGAAGTGCACGTTAGATTCATTCTCTCATGTAGTTTGTACTGTTTCTGAGGCTGAAACACTTTAAGCGGCCCACGTTTAGGAAGACAGCTTTGTTTCTAGATCCAGTTCTGTAACTTTTTGCTCTTTCTGATCCACCATATTATTTTTGAATGTACCATAAACAGGGTTGTTGTACTAAATATTTTAAGAAAATATTTTGGGTATATTTCTGGGATATTAAAAAAATTCTCTAGAGTCACATGAATGAATTATGATTTTCAAGATATTTTAAGATATTGGAGGTTTTTAAAAATATCATACCAATTTTTAGATTGATGATACGGACATTTGGCTTTATTCCTATATGCCCATAAGTAATGTGTGAGACAGTGTCATTTTATTGCCACTGAAGTTAAACTTTTTATAATTTTATCCCAAAAAGAATTTGGTAGTTTCCCATTCTTTTATCTTTGTATCACTTTATGTGCTTGTATGAAAAGGGAGTTTTTATCTCTGAAGAATTATTAAGAAAGAGGAATAATAAGAATAGTTATATAAAAATAATTTGGAGATTTATTTTTTTACCCCTACAGCCTATGCTTATTTTCTTTTAAATATTTGAAGCTGTTTCAACTCACATGCAGTGCTTTCAGAGGAAAAATTAGAGAGTTAAAAACTTATTTTTTTTTTTTTCCGGTTTGAGTATTGTAGGTATATCCTATGATGCACATGTTGTGGGATTTTTTTTTTTTTTTTAACCAATTCTGGCCACTGTCTTTGAAATTTAAAATTTCTTCTAAATAGAGACCTTGGTGAAAAGCTGTCTTGTTTTGTGCTTATTTTCATCTAACATGCATGTGCTGCATCTCATGTTTATGTTTGCTGTCTCACATTGCTTTATTTAGATGCCATCTAACAACAGTATCAGAAAACAAATAGAAACCCTCCAGGTGAGTTGTGTTGGCATTACAAAGTTAATACTGCTTTATTTCCTTAAGTGTGGCATTTGTTTTTTTCCTTTACCCATTGTTGCATTGCATGTCTGATGTACTTATTCAAACCTGCTTCCAGTACTGTAAAAGAAATGGAAAGCCACAGCAGGAATGCTATTAATGTGGCCCCAAGAAGATAGATTTAAGGAAGTGACACCGATTCTTCACCAAAATTTATAATTTTAAAATATTATGTTTGATATAGATTATCTAGCTGCTATAAATGAATATTTTTTATTAAAAAAAATTCCAGTGAAATCAAGTAGACAGTAGTTTAGATTTTTGCACATGATTTTTTGGTTTGTTGATCTTGTATTCTTTTTGTGTTGGGGATTGAACTTGGGACCTGCACGGGCAAGCCAGTGCTCTACCGCTGAGCTACATCCTCAGCCTTTGAATAAGATTTTGATGAATGAATTTTTAAAGACTTTTACCCATAAGTTTAGGTTTTTAACTAATTATTTTTTAAGCTCACAGTAGGAAAAAAGGGAAGGAACGTACTAAAATGCTTGCTACAGAGATTATATTTAACTGATTGCAATACTTCATTGTATGTTGATATTCCTTTTAAAGTTGTATAATTGATAGTTGAAATTAGATAAAAATTATAACTGGTGATTTATATATCTATTTTTAAGACTTAGATCAATGTAGAATTGTTTTTATTCAGACATATAGCAGCTTTGTAGTGAGTAAAAAAAATTGATTTTTATCACTTTTCACCTTGCTGTTTTTGAATTGTATCTACTTGGTAAACTTAGTCCATCTCGGAAAATTTGAAAGTAAAGTTTCTTTTATGTCATATACCTCATTACTTAAAATCTGAATCCTTTTTTATGTAGTCATTTATATGAGAACAGTTTTTATGTGGAATAGGACGTACATATTTTTAAGTACAACTTTTATTAGTATTTTGAAAATAATGTGAATTTTATTTGATATGTATATGAAAAGTAAAAAATACATATTAAAAGTAACTCTTTAAAAAAAGATTTTGTTTTAGGGAAGCAATTTTAGGTCCTCAGTAAGATTGAGAGGAAGATTGTAGAGATTTCCCAGATTTTCCTGTACACCCACATGTACAGCCTGTCCTAACACCAGCTTCCTCCCCAGCGTGGTACATTTGCTATGAGTGTTGAAACTACATTGTAAGTCGTATCATCCAGAGCCCATAGTTTACATTAGGTTTCCGCCTGGGGTCATAGGTTCTATGGATCTGGACAAGGGTAAGAGGTGTAGCCCCCGTGTCAGAGTGGCTTCACTGCTGTAAAAGTCTGTTCTGATTCTTCATCCTTTTCTAACTTATTACTGAATTAAAATTTTCCTATTTAATATCTGCAACTTAAATAATAGAAAAGAAAGGTTTTGTTAAAGACATTACTAGCAAAGAGCTTGGATGTTATATTAATAGCATACGTATGCATATGCCACATTGTTACATTAGCAACAAGTAGGAAACTACTTCAGCAGCCATTTTTCAATTTAGGCTCATTAAGGCTCTGGCAGTGGAGAGAAGGACTCATTTTGAAACTCTGACCAATAATGTAATTGATTTTCCATTCTTAATTATGCCAAATCTTCATACAAATAGGTGTGCCAGTAATAATACTTTATAGTGGATCTCTTACAAAAAGCACTCTTAATTGTCTCTTTGCATTGCTTTTAGTCATATATGTTTTAAGGATATTATTCTATCTTAAGAAAAAGTAAAATGGCTAAAGTAAATTAAATAGTACTTTTTAAAATTGACAGTTGCCTATTACAAAATAATTAACAACGAGAAATCCACCAAACCAAATTTTTAAAAATATAAATTTATAGCATTCACTAACTCCATCAGACCAATCAACAGATATATGAAGAATTTTTCTTTTTTTAAGAGTTTTTCTTGATGAAAATTATTCACTAAATTTCTAAAATTCACTATTAAATTTCATCACATGAATGTGGTTATTTAATAAAGTTAGTTTTTTGTGCTTTGTTTTGTTGAAGTGGGGTTTTACTCTAATGGTTCAAGATGGCCTTGGACTCTTTGTGTAGCCCCAGGATGGCCTTGAACTTGTGATTCTCCTGCCTAGCACTCCAAGTTTGAGATTACAAGTGTGCACCACCATGCTCAGCTTAAAAATGTTAGTTGTTATAACAGCTAAAATAAGAAAAACTTTGCTGAGCAAATTATGATTGACATGGAATGATTATCTAATTCTTTTTGTCTCTTTTTTTTTTTTTTTATCGGTACCAGGGATTGAACTCACGACCGCCTGCTTGCAAGGCAGGTGCTTATGCCGCTGAGCTAAATCCCTAGCCGATTATCTAATTCTTAGTAATTTAAATGGCCAATGTTTTGATTCTAAATAAAAGTTAGAAGTGTAATGCTTGAGTGTACATTTAACACGTGCCAGGTACTATTCCAAGTGCTTTATAAGTACTGACTTTTGTAATCTGTGAGGAAGGTGTCATAACTTGCCCCCCTTTAGAGGTTAGAAGCAGTGGCCCCGTGATCTGACAAATCCTTGGTGTGGGCATGGATCTGATCCCAGATGTTCCTGTTCAGAGTCACACTCTTAATTCTCTGGTTCACATAATCTCTTGTAAGAAAATATACTCAAAATGTTTTACATTATTTCACAAAACAAATGACCATAATGCCATTTAGTATTCCAAACTTCCATCACAGATGGACTACAAATGAATTACTCTAGAGATGAGTAATCCTGCTGTCATTATGTCAGTATTACAGTGTGAACCATTTATCAAGTAACATTATATGTGTATAATTTTGGAGTTTTTAGAAATAGTAATAGAATTCGTATATTTTATTAGTGTATTTTGAGAATGTAAGGAAAAACTCAGAACTGCCCTTTCCACAGTTACTTTTTGCCATCTGTACATGCCACATACTAAATATTATGTTTTTAAAGCTGTTTTGAATCAAATACTAAAAAAGGACTTGGGAGCTTTTGTTTGTGGACAGAGAATGTGTTTGATCTTAAGGGAGTACAAATATTTTAATATGTTTATTCTTATTCTCTTTTGTTTTAAAACAGAATAAAGATCCTAAAATGTCTCGAGTTGCACTGGAATCTTTGTATAGATTGTTGTGGGTTTATGTAATTAGAATAAAATGTGAAAGCAACACTGTAACTCAAAGGTGAGTACCTTTGTTTTAAAGTGTACTTAAAATCTTGGGACTAAGGGTATAGGTCAGAGGCAGAGCTTGGAAAATGTGGAGTTCAATCTTGGGCTTCAAAATTAATAAAATCTTGCCGAAAGATTTGCACTCATGGAATTATACTTAAATGTCATCATGGAGAAGGTGAATTCTCTTGATATAAAGAACAATATATATATTTTTTTGGTAATATGCTATTAGTGTCATGATCTCACTGTGCTGAATTCTTTTCTTCTGTAGTCGTCTTATGAGCATTGTGTCAGCACTTTTTCCAAAAGGCTCACGAAGTGTGGTTCCTCGTGACACGCCTCTCAACATATTTGTGAAGATTATTCAGTTCATTGCTCAGGTGAGCGCTTCACTTCGTATGTCCATGAGTAATCCATATTTGGGAGTTCTAAAATTTTTTACCCATGCTAACAAAAACTGGTTCATATTAAACAATGAAAAATAATAGCATGCTTAAAAAGTAACAACAGGATACTTTTTGCTGGCAGTAAATTTAAGCCATTAATTTGCAACAAGGGTTTTATACATACAGGTGACTTTTAGATTAAAAATAAATTTATTATAGTAAGAAACATTGCCATCAGCCCCAGCTCCAAATACTCCTCCTTGCTGGAGTACATTTGTCATTCTTGCCACTTTCTGAAGCAGTTCTGCAAGTCCTCTGGTTGCTGTGGCTGCTGTGTTGTCTGCCTAGATTAAGTGTTTGTGGCGGTTCCTATCAGGTAAAAGCTTCGTAGTGTGTCCTCATCCATCTTAGTCACCGGGTCTCACACTCTGACTTCTGGCTCTTCCCTAAAGTCAGAATGACCATGAAAGGTAAAAGCTTTGAGCTGAGACAGCTGTGATGGTTCAGCTAAGGGTGCTCACAAAAGAGGGCTTCCAGTTCTGCTTCCAAAAGTGGAAAATCTGCGGGACGGGTGTGTTTCGAGTGAGGGGTGTAGTTTGAGGGAAATAAGTGAAAATGTGCCTTTTCTGTAATTTAAAAATTTTGTAAAGCATTCACCGTTTTTTGTTTGTTTTTGTTTTGTTTTTGGTACTGGGTCTCGTGAGGCAGGTGCTTACACCCCTGAGCTAAACGGCTGCTGTTCACCGCATTTTTAATCATACTTTCTACTTGTAGAAGGAGAGGAGACACAGAAGTGGAAGAACTTTAAAGGGTCATGAAAGTATCTGATAATGCCATTTACTGATTACCCCTGAGTATCTCAAAAGATTTCTTAGAAAATTGTTTGCATAGTCTATATTAATTTAGGTTATTGGCTTCAGATAATAAAATTCACTGTGACTACTTAAATCCAAAAGGATTACAGCTCTCAGAATTGCTAGTTGGACTGAAGTGAAGAAACAAATTCTAATCTGAATGACTTGGAGAAAACCGCACACCGTGCTGTCTGACTGCTGAAATGTGAAAGCTGTCAATTAAGCAGTTGCCATGTGTCAGTTTACATCAGGTCATGCATGTCGCCAGTAAAACAGATTCCCTTTCTTCTCCTCCTCCTTCGCATAACCCCAGTTGTCAAAGACACAGGAATATAACACTTTGGAGGGTTTAAATTGCATTCCGAAGTCTGTTGTTACTAGAAAACAGCATTCTTTTTTCTTGTATTTTCTCTAAAGAAAGGTTTGTTAAACCAAGCATGGTGTACACACCTGTAGCACTAGCATTTGAGAGGCTGAGGCAGGCGGATCGCTATGAGTTTCAGGCTAGCCTGAGCTATATAGTAAGTTCAGGACCAGTCTGAACTGCATAGTGAGCCCCTGCATCAAAAAAACAAAGCCGGGCGTGGTGGCTCATGCCTGTAATCCCAGCATTGGGGAGGCTGAGGCAGGAGGGTCTTCACGAGTTCGAGACCTGCCTGAACTACAAAGTGAGCTCATGGCCAACCTGAACTGCATAGCGAGACTCTGTCTCAAAAAGACAAACAAAACAAAACAAAACAGATAAAAGGAGGATGGGGGTGGTAGAATGGTGTTAAATTAGTGTTGAGTCATCCAATCCAAGGTTTTGGCTGCATTGCCTCATGGGATATCAGCCCTGCAGAAAGAGATAGGATGACCTCAGTTTAAAAGTTACAGATTCCTGAATAATGATTACCTTCTCTTTAAACAGAAGCTACGGTGATTTAGATAATCCATAAGGAAATCACTTTTGACAGTGAAGAGAAAAGGAATTTTATTTAGTAGCGGGAGTTGAACTCATGACCTTGCGCTTGCCAGGGAGGCACTGTGCCACTGAGCTAAATCCCCGGCCCTAGAAAAGGAATATTTAAACAAAACGAATACATTTCTATTTACGAGAGCATCTCTAATGCCTTTTGTTTTTTTTGTGAGAACCGTACCCATCCCCCAGATGAATCACTTTGTTCCCCAGCCCAGCAGACCGTGAGGTGCCTCTCACGTCCCAGCCCTCCTCCTCTGCCCCCTGGAGCTTCGTCTCCAGCCCCACATTCCCTGGACTCTCCGTTCTCCGAGCCTGCTGCATCACTGTAGTCTTAGTATTTCCCCTCTTCATCCTCCTAAGAATTCTCTGCTGAAATTTTGTGTATGATTTTGGTGGATGAATGTTTAAAACTTTTTATTGGTTTGAGTAGTAAATTTTTTTTTTGTCTTTTTCCTTTTTATCGGTACCAGGGATCGAACTCACGACCGCCTCCTTGCACAGCAGGTGCTAATGCCGCTGAGCTAAATCCCCAGCCCCTTGAGTAGTAAATTAATTGTTTGATATTGAAAATATATGTATAATATTTTAACCTTTTTCTTTTGTTCAGCCGTGTTTCTTTGGTTTGTCTCTTTGGGGGTGCTAGGTGTTCTGTCATTGAACTATATCCTCAGTCTTTTTTTACACTTTTCTGTTTTGAAGAAAGGGTCTCGCTAAGTTTCCTGGGCAGGGGTTGGCAGCTGCCACTGGTCTTCTGCCTCAGCCTCCCTCAGCGATGGACCAGGCACGTGGCACCAAGCCCTGCTGGATGGTTGGGTTTTTCAAGGGCATAAACTTGTATTGTTACTATTGTGTGTATAAGTCTTAAATATGTACTTTGTACTAGCAAGTTATAAGGACTTACTAATTGGGTTTTTTTTTTTTTCCCCTCTAGGAACGTTTGGATTTTGCAATGAAAGAAATAATATTTGATCTTCTCAGTGTTGGAAAATCTACTAAAACTTTTACCATTAATCCAGAGGTAAAAAAACATACAGTCTAGTATAGTGCTGTGTACTATTTATTTCAACAAAGTTTCTGGAGCCAGAGCTCTTAGGTTCAAATCCAAGCTCTACTTCTCACTGTGGGCGCTACTCTGCACAGCTTATTTAACATTTCTGACTGCTGGCTGAGTGGTTTAATGGTGGTAATTAGGACGGTAGAAAATAGCAGAGAGGAAATTTTGCACATTAGCCAGCTCGGCTGGCTTTTAGAGTTGGAGCCGTGAGTTCTTTTACTTCACATGATTTATGTGTAAGATGTTCTTTAATATCATTTATTCAGCATTTACTGAGCACCTAAAATGTAGCAGATACTGCTGCAAGTACTGAAAGACAAAAGTCCTTTCACCCAGACAGAATTAACAATTTAAAAAGGAAGAGAAAAACTGAAGAAGGAAAGAACAACTCCCCAAAATAAGTGTCACCTCACACTTTTATCTGCTTCAGTCATGAGCTCTTACAGTTTTAGATTGTTTCTAAATATTTTGCAGCCTAATTGCCTATTAGAATCTAGACAGTAGAGAATTTAAAGAGACAAAATAAATGCTATCTTTTTTTCTTACTTATTTTAAATTACTATGCTATTCCATCTTGTAATTGAATCTCAAGATACATGTTTATGTGTTTAACAAATGATTTGGGAAGTTCTTGAAGCTTTTACAAGATTGGTAAGATAAGCTAATAATTATCTCCAGATTTTAAAAAGTGAGTAGATAAGAATATTTTTACGTATGTAACATGTTTGTTAGCGACAAAATTCAGAGACAAAAGATACTTTCTTGAGTATGTTCCCCAACCCCATCCTGGTGATTGAACCCAGGGCCTCACTTTTTCTTTGAAGAAATATTTATTTAGGTCCTTTGCCCATTTTTCTTTTTAAAAAATAATTGTATTGATACATTTTAAATATAAATAGCATGCATCATAGGGGATTTGTAACCTGTACATGATACATGTTAATTCCTTTTTTTCTGTTCTCCTCCCCTCCCTTCAACCCCTTCCCTCCTTATTTGCAGAAACTTTGTTTCCACTTTTTCTTTTTATTCCTTTTATCCTTTTTTTTTTTTTTTTTTTGCTCTCCCTTCTTTTGTAACTCCCTCCTCTCTAGTCCGCATTTGAACAGTTATTTTCCTGGTTTGCAATACTTAATACATATTTTGGTCCTTATTTACTCTTTCAGTTTCTTATATCAGAAAAACAATGTGATACTTATACATGTATATCCAGCTTATTTCACTGTTACGGTCTCAAGGTGCACCCATTTATCTAGGAATGTGTCAAGTTTATTCTTCTTTATGGCAGAGTAGTACTGTGTTGTATGAAAAAAAGACCACAACTTCATTCATTAGTTAATGGGCATTTGGGCTGTTCCCAAGCTTCAGCTAATTACAAACTGCTGCTGTAAACATGGTGTATATATATTATCGCTGTGGTATCATGCTTTTAATTCTTTGGGGAAGATATCAAGAGGGAGAGTAGCTGGGTCAAATATCTGGAAACTCTAGTTTTATTTTTCCAAATAATCTCTACACTGATTTCAACAGTGTTGTACCAGTCTACACTCCCACCAGCAGTGAAGAAGAGTTCCTATTTCCCCACATCCCTACCAGAATTTGTTATTGGTTGATTTCTTGATGCTAGCCACTCTTTCTGGAGTGATATGGCATCTCAGTGCTGTTTTAATTTGCATCTCTCAAATGACTAGTGATGTTGAATATTTTTATATATTTATTTGCTGTTTCTACATCTTCACCTGAGAAGTGTCTGTTCTTTTCAGATGCCCATTTTTAGATTGGGTCTCTAAATTTGAGGGATGTGAATTTTTTTTTTTTTTTTTTTTTTTTTTTAGTTCTTTTATATTCTGGATATTAGCCATTTGTCTTGAGAAACAGCTAGCAAAGATTTTTTTCTCCCACACTGGGGGTTGTCTCTATTCTGTTTGTGGTTTGTTTTGCTCTATTTATTTAGATATTGGATTGAATTCAGGACCTTGCAAAAGCTTTTTAGTAAGATGAGATACCAGTTGTTAAGTCTTCATGATCTTTCCTGTGCAATCAGGGTTTTGAAATTTTTAAAATATACTCTGTCCACTGATGTTTACTTCTGAAAGTAATTGTTTTCCTCATTGAAGTTTCCTAGGAGTAGGAAAATCTGGTTATTTTAGGTGGTGGTCATTACTCACTCAGGCTTACTTTATGAGACTGAGACACATTACCATTGGGTACGTACATTGAGGGGATTGTGTCAATACCTTGTTTTATATAAAGATGAGTAAAACCTAAAGTCTTGGTTTTATTTGGACAACAAATATTTATGAATGCAAGCGTTATTTCCTTGCTGGACTCCAGTGAAATGTGTGCATACCCAGTGGGATGTGTGTACCCTGCTCTGGGGCCACTGGGACAGTCAGAGGGCAGTGATGGCTTGCACTGTGACAGTATTGATGCCAATTAGATGATTATTTACTGGTGGTGTGCGATGGTTGGTAATGGAAGCCATGTAAAATAGCCACTTTCTTGGAGAAAAGATGAATAATGATGGGACACAAAAGGCCAAGAAGAACCTGAAATACAGGAAGAAATGACATGACACCATGCTGCAGAAAAGTTCAGTAGGAAGCCAGAAAATTGCCCCTTGTCCTGAAAAATATGGTCACTGCGAAGGGACAGCTACCTTGGAGTGCCTCATAGGCAGTGTTCGTTCCATTAAGATAACTGAATATTTCGGTTGAAAGAAAAATTATAGATAATGCAAGAAAGACAAGAGGTTGATTATGGTGTGATAGTCTAGAAGATGCAAGAGCTGGTGGGGTAGCAGACAGGAAGATCCCCACAGCCCCCCCAGTTCTGGTGAGCAGAGGGGGAGCAGTGCAGTTCTGAGTAGACTGCTGTGATTTGTCGGGAAAGCTTCAGGAAAGTTACTGTTTTATTTTTCTTCTGTGAAATAGAGAAAATGGTCTGCTTAGAGAGGGGAGGGGAGGAAAAAAGTCAAGATGAGTTAAGAAAGGATGGAAAACATTTGAAACAAGCCCTCGACACTAGAGAGCCAGCTGACCCCAAAGTAAAAGGGGGTACGTGGGAATTTGGTGCCAAAGCAAACTCCATTGCCTGGACTGGTTAAAAATGTGAAACTGAATGGACGCTTTTCCTTCTGACTCTTTCCTCTTCCCACATTATTTGATGAGATATTTCTAACATAACAGAATGATAGTGTATGGCACTAATGTCTTTGTTTGGTAACTTTTGTCTACAGAGAATGAACATAGGCCTCAGAGTCTTCCTTGTAATAGCAGACAGCTTGCAGCAGAAAGATGGCGAGCCACCCATGCCGACCACTGGAGTGATTCTCCCCTCAGGAAATACTCTGCGTGTAAAGAAGATTTTTCTCAATAAAACCTTGACAGATGAAGAGGCCAAAGTCATAGGTCAGTGCTAACTGGAATAAATACATGGCTCTGTGATGCGGTTGAATCTCCTTTTGCAAGTGTCTCTGATCAAATGTAAAGCATGTATTGGCCAGGTAGTGGTTATTCTAGTACATACAGTAATACAAAATGAATATTTTTGACAATATTTGTAAACCTTTCTGCGAAGACTCTTCTGGTTATATCTGTTCATTGCATTTTTTCCTTTCTTATAAGTAATTTGACTTCTGGAAAAGTTTTACATGATTTTTATATGCTTTAGTATATAATACGTCACAGTTGAAAGAATACGTCACAGTTGAAACTCTTTCTCTTTGTAACAACCATAAGCTAATGCCACTTAAAGATGGGTAGGCTAAGTATTCTTTATCTCATTTCTGAAACTTGATGTGTGTGTGTTTTTCTGGCCTAGGAATGTCAGTTTACTATCCTCAAGTAAGAAAAGCGTTAGATAGCATTCTCCGACATTTGGACAAAGAGGTTGGAAGACCAATGTGCATGACCAGTGTGCAGATGTCTAACAAGGAACCTGAAGACATGATTACGTACGTAGTGAATGACTTACCTTCGGTGCTGTTCCCGTTTTCATAAAACAGTGCAGGTGGTTGATTCCTGCTGACCTTTTTCCTTACTTTTTTTATCTGTTCTTCTCCCATATTGCTATTTGCTGCAGTTCTCAATAGTTTTTGCTTTCATGTGTTCTGTTTTATTCTTTAATATGAGGTCAAACTAGTATAGGTAACACAAGTTACCCTGGATCTCAGTCTAGTTTGTTATTGATGACAAGTCCTCCAACTCACATGGGGCCCAGACTGGCCTCAGACAGTCTTCCCATCTTGGCCTCTGGGAATCACGTGTACATCACCATGCCTGGCTGGATTCTCTCTATTTAATATACATTTTTTGTATATTACTGTATTTTGCTGTCTCTGGGGGTTTATTTTGTTGGATGGGTTCTTTGGGAGGAAGGGGTGTTTCGAGAGAGGGTCTCACTGTACAGTCCAGGCTGGCCCTGAACTTGCAGTGATCCTCTTAATCAGCCTCCTGAGTGCTGGGTTTACAGGGATGTACCACCACGCCAGCTTGAAAGTCTCTTTGATGTGAAGTTAAAGGATGTCTTCCTCCTTTTCATCACAACCAGTTCTCCTCACTTACGTCAATGTTTGTTATCATTTAGTTCTTCCGTGTTGTAAGGTCTCAAGTGATGGTCAGTATCACCAGTCAGCTATTTTTCTGTATCTCCAATAACATTCAATTTGAATATCACTTTTGATGTATTTTAATTTAGGATCTTTAAGATAGAGAAAATCATTTTACTACGAGAAATATAAGGTGAAATAAAGATTTTATTACTTATAGATCTTACACAGCATGCCTAGGAGCCACACGTGCCTAAGTCATGGAGTGGATGCAGGAAGCAGAAAGAGAAAGGGACCTCGGGCCAGTGCTGTCATTGGGCCCAGATGTCATCTTAGCAGGGAGTTTTAATTCTTGAGCTTAAGGCAAACAGAGTTCCAGGAAGTCTCTGTAGCTCTGCAGAGTCTATGTAGGGTGTGGTATTAGCGGGGCCAGTCCAGCAGGGTCCACCCTGCCGTCCTGCAGGGAGACTGCAGAGACCCAGACGGGTGCCCTGAGCCGGGGAAGAGGGACCGTGGGGAACTAGAAAGCATCTGGAGTCTGGGGCAAGAAAGTTGAAACTACATTTAAAGTGGATGCTGAGCCAAAGTAAGAACCTGCTACAGTGTCTCATTCTCCTTTCTTTGTTGCCTGATTCTTTTGATTATCCATTTTGGTGAAGGTGGCATGGCTTTATCCCTTGAGACAAGCCGGCCCCACACCTGTACCCTTGGGTGTGTGGGGGACAGGTGCATACCGCCTCATCGCCAACAGCCTTGAAAGGCGGGCGTGGCTTGGCACTGCTTTTTGCGGTGTGCACCTGTTATTTACACAGTACGTTATGGACCAGGGAGCCAGCCACATGCTATTGCTTTAAGTTTCAGTTGTAGTAGCTGAAATTTAAACCATGCTATTGAGAACTGTTGCTATTTAAATTGTGGTAACTGAAATTCATGTATGTGGGAACCATGCAAAGGTAAGACTAAAAATCTAAAAAGCTTGACAAGGAGATAGCATGTCCGTTGCCACTACAACAAATACCTAAATATTTAGAACATTCTGCTTCATTTCAGTGTAAACTGGAAAACAATTTGAATAAAATAAATTTACTTTAAAATGAAAGCTAAATTCCAGCATAGTAAGAGGTTAGATATTTAAATAAAATTATCAAGTAACTATAAGAAAATATAGAGAAGGCCTGGGGATGTAACTTAATAGACAGCTACTTAGTACTGTATGTGCAAGGACCCGAATTCAGTTCACAACACCATACACACACACACACACACACACACACACACACACATGAAAGGAAAAGAAAATACAATAATGTTAAGTTGGTGAAGCCTCTGTTCTGGTTTTTAAAAATTAGCACTTTTTATTCCCTAAAAGTTAAATATGCAATTTTATATTACATATCACAAAACACAGCAAACAGTACCAACAATGACATATGGGACTGTCTCATTTTAAATGTCTTGTTGGCCTTATTAGCATAGTGAAAAAAGTTGCTTAATTTTAGAGGCTCCAAATAATAATCAATATTGAAATATTTAGCATCAATTATTTCTAATATTATATCCCTATTAATACTATTACAGTATTAATCAACATTTAACAATTGTCTACTGGATGTTAAAATATTAAATATTTGAATTATTTTATTAATGTTTGAAATAACTATTATAAATAATTCAAAATATTATCTAACAGTTACTTTGCTTCTTTGCTAATTAACAAAACCCTTTTTTGCTTGCTGGGTTTTTCCCCCTGCATTCTATTTCTTTTGTCTGTTCATAGGATGATAATTATCTACTGGATTTGTGTGCATTATTTTCATATTAAAAACATTAAAGTTGGGGAAGGTAGGATGGGCTCCTACCTTCTGTAACTAGTCTTGCAATTTAATTTCCTTGTCTAGCTTATGTAATGTACTTCTTATTAAGCCCTTTGTGATGTATTTTTTCAGGGGGGAAAGAAAACCCAAAATTGATTTGTTTAGAACTTGTATTGCTGCAATTCCAAGGTTGATTCCTGATGGTATGAGCAGAACTGACCTCATTGAATTGTTAGCAAGGTAAGGAAGTTCCTGGCTATTGTGTTAATTTTGTGTCTTTACTACCCGTTAAATTAATGATAGGATTCTGCTATTATTACACTACAAAGCCAGTAATAAAGACATTTTGAACCCTTTATTTGATGTACTTTGCGTTGTCTTTTATTTTTGTTAATCACATTCTCCCTTCTCATTTTCTTTCCCCTTCTCATTTTTAACTTCTAAATATTTTCTAGGTTTCTCTATAAATCCTGCTTTGTAATTCTTAATCTCTGTCTTTGTTAGAGCTCCTTGGAGTTATATAACGATTACCTCTTAACATACGGCATTGCCCAGGAATGGTGACTCCCAGTGAGGACTTGGCTATCGTATTTACTCCTGTAGTCATTTTTTTTAGCATTTGGGGTGGTGACCCGTCTTGCTTTCACTTTTTCCTCCTATGCAGAGCCTGTAAGCATTCCAGTGTTTAGATCTCTTCCTCTGTTAGACACACCTTTACTCTATACAAGGAATAAATGATGTGACAGTCAAATGTCACTCCTAAAACAGATCCTGGGTTGAGGTGGTAAGAAACTACTCTGTTGATTCTGTTATGGATCCTAACAGCATAGGATAAGGAGGTCAGGAAATTTTTTTTTCCCTATAAAGGACCAGTTAGGAAATACGTTAGGGTTTGCAGGTCACACAGTCTGTCACACGTACTCATCTCTACCCCTGAGGTAGAAAAGCATCCAGAGGTCAGATGTGAAGGCGTGGGCATGCCTGCTTTCCATGGGCATCTGGTTGGATTCAGCCCTAAGCCACAGTGTGTCAGCTTCTGCCCTAGAAAGAAGACTGAAGCACAGTGACTGGAATACATCCAGGGTCCCCCTGGTTGGGCATTCACCACTAAGGGTCCAGTTTCATGCACAGTGAATAAGCGAGGAACCAGTGCTCCAGGGTCCCTCCCTTGAAAACATCTTGAGTTTCACACAGTCCTGTGCCACACCGACCTTACCTGTTGAAGGTTGAGGTTGGAGATAAAATGGTGTCTGTCTCCCTCTTTTATTTGATTGTAACCTCCCGTGGTGATTCAGAGAGGCAGCGGGTTACTTTGAAATGATATCATTAGGTTCCTTCCCTTCCCATTTTGTCCTTAATTTTTGCCCTGAATTAGATTGCAGAGTTGCAAAGTCTTATCAGCATTAGAGATTAGAAACATTAACTATTTCTAACATTTTTTCTCAGGAGAGGCGTCACTGGCCTCTGTTATCCTGGCCCCTCTCTCCCATCAGCCACTGCCCCTGTGTCTATGAGGGGTGATGAACAGAGGCGCGATTTCCCTTGTCCCCCACCAGAGTAAAACTGCTCTTGGGAGTGGCAGGGACAGGCAGCCTAGCACAGCAGCCGTGTCTGATCCCAGAATAACAATGTACTTCTCTGGTTACTTCGCTTTTTTTCCAAACTATGATATTCATTTGCTAATTAATGTACTAGAGTTGAAAGGAAGATCCTGGGGTCTCCTCTCTTTGGTCCTCTTCCCTATCATTTGAAGTTACAGTGTCAGAATCTTCTTTATTTAAAAATAAAGGAGGCAGACAAAGAAGCACTGTAAATGTGTAGATTTGTATGCAGTCTGTAAGTGCCCTTGCCTGTAATTAGCCAGACCACATTGGTATCTCTTCAACACAAGTAGTCAGCCCATGACTGTGTTTCCTGAATCACTCAGATAGGTGTGAGACAGGTACTTATCTCTTCATAGATACAAGGAGTAATATTATGCTTGGAGCCCTGTCACTGTCCTCTCAACATTATGTCCCTTATCCCTCTTCCCAGCTTCCCACATGGTGTAATTGTGCCATAGTTTTAAATGGTCTATTCAGACTATTTCCAACTTTCTGAATTTGTCATTATTGTCAGTCACTGAAATAATCCTCTTTTTTTTTTTTTTTTTAAAATAATCCTCTTTAAGCCAGTTATGGTGGTTCATGCCTGTAATTCCAGCACTCAGGAGGCTGAGGCAGGAGGATCATTGTGAGCTCAAGGCCAGCATAGCGAGACCCTGTCTCAAAAAGACAAAAAAAAAAAAAAATCCTCTTTAGACCCAAATCAGGAACTTCACATTGTAATACATTGGTGACTTCAGTACTTGGTCTTACTTTTTGTTTTTAAATTGTATAAGGAAAATTATATTCAAAATCTGGCACTGTTTTTGATATCTCTAAAAAATAATTCTGAATGGCCTCTTCTGTATAGACTTAAACTTCCCTTAGAGCCTTATGTGTTGCGGTGACCACCTCCTTTTGTCTTTTTTTGCAGTACTGGGGCAGGAACTCAGAGCCTCTGCACTGAGTATTCTCCAGCCCTTTTAGTATTATACATATAAATGTCTATTGTGCGATAGGTCTAACTGACTTGCTAAATTACCTCCACTGAGCTCAGTCTCTTGATCTTGCCACAGTGACCCAGAGTGCTGGAAGAAGAGGGTATTGGGACCACGCCCAGCTGAGTCCTCTAGGCGGATGTTCCTCCTAAATATATGCCCATCCTCATGTAGAAGTATTTCTAGTAAATCAGTTCCATCTTGATTTGTCCTATTTCTTCTTCATAATCAGCCCTCTTATATGTAATTGTAACCTCAGCTGCCTGTGCAAAATGATTGAGATAAGTCATACCCTTTCCTGTGATAGTAAAGGGCTAAGTGTTAACAAGTGGTTAGACACACATTTTTATTGACTGTAGGCTAACAGCATATGGCACTTTAAGGGTTGAAGAGTTTTTAAATCGATTATATCTATATTCCATTCTAACGTATAGCATTTGAATTAAAATCAAGCTTATTCTGAATTATAGAAGAAATACTAATATGAATGTATTCATGTGGAAATTTAAACCAAAGATATAGTCTGGAATAAGGATGAGTATAACATAAAAAAGTGAATATGGTTTTTATGAAATAATTAAAAGAACCAGTTTGTTAATATCTTTGTCCCCAGGTTTTAGAAGCTAAAGCTACAGGAAAGGTTTTGAGGTTTGCTAATGGCGTTTTGTTCTTGTTAGGCTCACAATTCATATGGATGAAGAACTTCGAGCTCTGGCTTTCAATACTCTGCAGGCACTAATGCTTGATTTTCCAGATTGGCGGGAGGACGTCCTTTCAGGATTTGTTTATTTTATTGTTCGTGAAGTGACTGACGTCCATCCCACACTTCTTGATAATGCTGTAAAGATGTTGGTACAACTAATAAACCAGTGGAAACAAGCAGCCCAAATGCATAACAAAAACCAAGACTCACAGGTACCAAGTTTTCGTGTGTTGTCTCTTTGTACATGATTGGTGGTACATGACCAGTATTGACATCCATGTCGGTTTACTTCCTCAAACACTAAAATTATATTAGTCTTATTCACTCCCAGTGTGCTCATAATTCCCTGCACTCAGCTTTCTGATAGTTTATGTAGAGGGTATTGATGTGTCTTAAGTTTTCCAACCTTCCTTTGGTAACAATTCAGTTTTAATGAACATAGAAGGTAGACCTAATTTTTGTTCACATGTAGATAGTTTCCTTTATTTTTAGGTCTTAAACTGAGCACCTTAAAACTGAGGTCATCATCCATTTGGATTATTTGCTTGTTTTATCCAAGGCACCAATTCCATTTATAGTGTCCAGTTGACATTTATAATGTCTGTGTTCTTTAACAATAAAGGTCTTCAAATTGTTGATTTGTGCTACTGTATAAATGATGAAACCTTGGAGTTTTAGAGCTGGACCATCTAAGTCAACCTAGCTTCTCAACCTTTAATGACCACACACATCATTAGGAGGTCCAGTAATCTCTTGTCTGATAAGCTTACAGCTGAGCTGTGTTGCTGTTCCATACTGCAAGATGAAACATACAGTGCAACCCCTTTTTCTTTCCTTGTAGAAACATTAGGTGATGAGTGAGTGTTGGCTCCAAAGTTATAGAGTAGTAAAAAAAGGACAGAAATTGGGTACATAATTCCATTTGTACTGCCAGTGGAATGTCTTTTTTTCTCCATGCATACTGTTATTACATTTTTATAAATTAAATACTATTTAAATTGCTTGAGCCAAAGCAGACCGGGTAGCCATCATTGCCCTGATTTGCTTTATTCTATATTGCAGGGTTGTCTTTCTAATGGCTGTACACACTTTTCTATTTAACTTGTGTTTATTTTTCAAGCATGGTGTAGCTAATGGAGCTTCTCATCCCCCTGCTCTGGAAAGGAGCCCGTACTCCACAGTGTTCCATGTGGTTGAAGGGTTTGCACTTGTCATTCTCTGTAGCAGTCGACCTGCCACTAGGAGACTGGCCGTCAGTGTACTTAGAGAGATACGGGCTCTATTTGCACTTTTGGAAATACCTAAGGTAAGATTTAGGTATGTCATTGAGTTGTCTAATGAAAGTGAGCTTACAACTCATACTATTATCTGTCTTTGTCTTATTTCTATTAATGACATGTAAGTATACCTTACTTTGTAACAAAATCTTTTAGAGAGGATTTCAAACCACCTACTATTGATTCCTTTCATAGATTTGCTTAAACATTTACCTAGCTTTGGCTGCTTTCCTTAAACATTCCTGATTTATTTTTAGATATGTGATGTCTTTTTTATAGGGTGATGATGAATTAGCCATAGATGTGATGGACAGGCTGAGCCCATCCATTCTTGAGAGCTTCATCCATCTCACAGGGGCTGATCAGGTAACTAATGATTTCTTGCTTCTTAGTCTTGTTTTGGGATGTAAAGCAGATATATAGACATGCATACATAAACAAAGTCCCTTAACAGAGGTAATGCCTTAGGAAGTATTTTTGAAAGGTATGAGGGTGCTTTCAAAGTAACAGGTGTTGCTAAGCACGATGGCTCATGCCTGTAATCCCAGCATTCAGGAGGCTAAGGCAGGAGGAACACTGCAAATTCAAGACCACCCTGGGTACCAAGTGAGTCCTTCCTTTCTCTCTTTTTTTTTTTTTTTTTTTGTACTGGGGATTGAACTCAGGACCTTGCACTTGCCAGGCAGGCACTTGTGCCACTAAGCTGTATCTGTAGTTAGTTCTTATTCCTTTAGAAATAACATTTGTGTTTGTCTTTGTAAAACTCTGATCTTTCAAACCTAAGAAGTTTTCTTTAAATTTAATGTTACTGAGAGCACATGTCTGTAATCCCAGCTGTTTGGGAGCCTGAGATATAAGGATTGCAAGTTCATGGCCAGCCTGGACTACATGGTGAGATTCTGTCTCAAAAATTTAAAAAGCGGCTGGGGGATATGGCTCAGGGGTTTGAGTGCCTCTGGGTTTAATTCCAGAGGGAGGAAAAAGTTACTCTGAACTGTTGTTGCTTGCTATCTATTACAGCATATGATATACTTGACATACATGTACTAGCTAAAATTACATAAAAATGTTTAAATTCAAAAGAATAGTTTGTTCTCTTTCCTTCAGTAAGTATTTTTTGTTTGGTTTAGCATATGGGTTTAAGTGCATGGGTTAAATATATAGTTTTCTATGCCAACATCATATGTAATTTGACTTATTCAAATGGAGAGAAACACTTTGTCAGCAAACACATTAGAAACAAAACTTATGCTAACCTTTTGATTCAATTTGAAAAAAAGATTTATATCAAGTTTCCAAGGATGATAGAAAAACAACTGTTGAACTTTTAACATTTGAGATATTTTCGTCCTCATCATGGACAATGTGGACAGGAGGTTTATATGCTTTCTTTGTAACACTTTTATGTAACCCTAAGTCATTCATAAGCAAGGGAGGTAATAAGAACATTTGTAGGGCCAGGAATTTAGTGGTATGAGCACCTTTCTGGCAAGCGTGAGGTTGTGAGTTCAATCCCTGGTACCACCAAAAAAAAAAAAAAAGAAAGAAAGAACATTTTGTAAGCCCTTAGATTTATAAAATTATCTTCTTAAAATGATTAAAAATCTGATGCTGAGCATAGTGGCACATACCTGTGATCCCAGCACTCCAGAAGCTGAGGCACGATGATTGCTGGAAGCTTGAGACCAGCCTGGGCTACATTGTAAGTGCAAGGTCAGCCTACATAGCAAGATCTTGTCTCAAAAATCCTTCCCCCAAGAATAAATAAATAGATAATGAAAATTTGCACCATTTCAAGAATGTTTTTTAGACTATTAACAGGAATTATGCTAATGAAGAGACTAATGGATGACTTGCTTCCTGTGCCTAAAACAGTGCTTACTGAATATCATTTCTGAAGGCAAATCTTACCCTGTTCTATATCAGAGCTCAAATATTACTGAGCAAAATATTTTAGAAAAATGTGCATCTGAAGAAGACCTATGTTCCATTGTGTTCCACTCGTGCACCAGCCAGGGCCCATCACCATGAAAGTTGATGGGGCATCCTTTAGTTCTCCAGCAGCTTTGTGCCAAAGTTTGAAATTCATATATAGTGCTTCTCAACCTTTTGGGATCATAAATCTTTTGAGAATTGTAAAGCTATGGACTCTTTCTCCAGAAACATGCATGTAACACACACAAATCCTTACATACAGTTTCAGGAACTGTCTACTCCTTTTAGCCCACCTCAAACCTCATATTATCCTCAAACTATAGGAGCCCCAGTAGGATTCTTCCAGTTAAAGCAGTTCTTGTGACAAAGCTTTTAAAGTTAATTGAAATGTGCAATAATCAATTTGTTTTCTCCACATAGACTACTTTGCTGTATTGCCCTAGCTCCATAGATTTACAGACGTTGGCAGAATGGAACTCTTCTCCTATCAGCCACCAGTTTGACGTGATTAGTCCATCGCATATATGGATATTTGCACATGTGACCCAAGGCCAAGACCCGTGGATTATAAGTCTCTCTAGTTTTTTAAAGCAAGAAAACCTTCCAAAACACTGCTCTACAGCTGTGAGCTATGCTTGGATGTTTGCATACACAAGGCTGCAGTTGTTGTCCCCGCAGGTTGATGTAAAGTAAGTTATTTTCTCAGTATAAATTTAAAAATGTATGGACTGTGAGCTTTCATATTGTATGCATCAGAAAAGTGGCACCAATCAGAAGTCCCATAAATAATATGCCCCCCTACTGTATTGATAGTCCAAGAGGGAGAAGAAAGATTTAAAGGATGTAGACTTACAAGTCGTTTATTCTTTTCATGGGTTGAATCTCACCAGGTTTTATTAGTTTAAGTAGTAGCATCGTTCTTACTATATGGTGTAAGTCCAACTTCATTTATATCTTATATCGTTCCACAGACATTGAATACACTAACAAAAACTCTGTACCCACCATCCCTCCTTAAATTGATGACAGTTTAGCAGTAGTACTGTAAAAGCTTTTAAGAGCACAGTGTGATTTAAACTTACCTGGCTTTATTGTTTTCCCTTAGTAGCCCCATCAATGCTAAGAAAGTAAATACAACCACGAGCAGCGACTCGTACATTGGCCTGTGGAGAAACTATCTGATTCTTTGCTGCAGTGCAGCGACATCCACGTCATCTTCAACGTCTGCAGGCTCTGTAAGGTGTTCTCCTCCTGAGACCCTGGCGTCCACCCCCGACAGTGGCTACAGCATTGATTCCAAAGTAAGTTTTTGGGTCCACTGTGTCCCTGAATGGTGCTGTGAAACGAGTATTTAAAAAGTTTTTTTCACCCATAATAAGGCAAATATATAAAAAATTCCATTACTGTTTTTGTGAATTCTTAATGTGAATACAAGTAGAGTATTTCATTGGCGAGAAGGGTCCTTGCTCATTAAATTCATCATAATGAACATTTTTAAAGAACATGAGTTCATTCGCTCTTTTTCAGGTTCCTAGAGTTGTCAACACTTTTGAATTCTTAAAAGGAATCATTTACATATTTAAATTTTTTCTAGAATTTCCCTAAATCATGTAGTGATACAATGGACGCATGATAAGAACAGTTACGTAGGTTATGTAGGTTTCGTGATAAGACACAAGGTAGCATGGTGTGGTTGAAGGAAGCTAGAAAAGTTAAGACGGGTATCAGACTTTAACTCTGATTATTACTGTAGACAAATTTTAGTTTACTCATGTTCCTGGATCAGAAGGCTCATCTGTTCATTGTCGTGGACAAAGACTACCAAAATGTCTAATTATGTAGTGGCCACAGTATTAATTATGACTGGAGTACTTTTTTTTCCTAGATTATTGGCATCCCATCGCCTTCATCATTGTTTAAGCACATAGTTCCAATGATGCGCTCCGAGAGCATGGAAATCACAGAATCCCTGGTCCTAGGTCTTGGCAGAACCAACCCAGGAGCTTTTAGGTAATTGTCTTCTTATCTTTTCCCTGCACTAAAATAATAAATAGACTACTTAGGGCTGGACTATTGCTCAGTAGTATAGCACCTGTGTGTCATGTGTAAGGATATGGGTTCAAACTCAGCACCACAAAAAATAAATAAGCCCACAAATCAGAAGGGAAATAAGCAAGATACTTAATGTAAATTAAAATTTGATACAATTTTATAAACCAACAAATAAATATGCTACTTACAGGCTATGGTAGAGTTGAGCAGGTTATTTATTAGGACAGTTGTATACCAGCTCTGACTTTTGCCAGTTAACTAGACAGGTACCAATTAAATCAGTTAATATTTTTGTTTGTTTGTTTTCTCATTTTTATTGAGTGCATTAAGATTTATCCCATTTTCTTCATGTTGGGATTTTTTGTTTTGCTGGTTTTTTTTTTTTTTTTTTTTTTTTTTTTTTTTTGTGGTTGCTGGGGATGAACCAGGGCTTCAGATATGCTCAGTACACACTCAGCTACTGAACTGCGTCCCTTCATACAGAGTTATTATGAAAATTTTAAAATCTATGTATAAATATATCCTAAGAATAATATTATACCATATAAATCTTTAATATTTTCTTATTCAGTTATTTACATAGTGATTCTACTAATGGGTAACATTGCTGTGGTGGATATAATTCCTGTTTTCCTATTTAAGAGAAAAATCTTTCAAAGACTGTTTAACGTATGTATTTTGCATCATTCTTGGTATTTTTATGTTAGTGAAGCATATTCTGCTTGTTTTGTTTTTGATACTAGGCATTGACCGCAGGAACTTCTGCTTGCCAGGCAGGCACTTGTGCCTCTGAGTTACAGCCCCAGCCCCATATTCTTTATTTTCGCCTGTGGTTCTGCTGTTTTGTTTTCTGCTAGGACCTGAATGTATTCTTGAGAGTTTCCTCAGTTGGTATTAGTGATTTTTAATGATTGAGTTCTTCCTCCAGGAAAACATGTATAATAGAACAGGTTAATAAACAAAATACATCTATAGTGTACAGTATCATTCACTATAAATAAAGTTTTAAAAGAATACTTTCATGACAAATATACTGCTGTGCTAATGGGAATAAAAGTTATTTTAGCTTCTTAAAAATAAAGTCCTATAAGTAGAACCAATTTTGAAGCAAATAGTTTGAGTGCCAGGAGTTTTCACTAAATAGTAAAATTGAGTGGATTCTTGTTGAACTTTTAAAATTTTTTAAATCTTATATAAGGAGAATATATTCAATTTGTAGTCAGTGTGAATTAAGAGCAATTTGTCTTTCTCATAAAGTTCGTGCCCTTTGAGCCATTCATTTAATTTGTAAAAACTGGTCTTAAAGGGATAATCAGAGATGAAAAGTGATAAATACAAAAATCATTCACTCAGTATTTTCAATAACAGAAAGTTGGGAAAAACTGAATAATTCAGCAGTAACATGGTTAGGAAAATTATGGTAGCCCACCCTTTAATAGACTTTTATGAATTAATTAATGGCACATGAAAGTAACAACTTGTGTTAAGGAAAAAAAAAGTACTATTTTCTGTGTAATAATATTTCAACTACAGGAAGTACGTACAGGTTGCAGAATGATTAAACAAAAGTATTAATAGTACCAACTTTTATAAATAAGTGGCCTACACCATTTTTTGTAGTTTCAAATGTTCTAGGAAATGATGCATTATTTTGTAGAAAAAAATAAAACAATAAAACTATGTTTAAAATTGTAGGATTAACATTTGTCAGTTTCTATCTTTATAGAAATATTTAATATTTATAAATACCAAATTTGTTTTCATTAGTAACAGAATCATATCATTTTTTCTTCTAGGGAACTAATAGAGGAATTACATCCCATAATTAAAGAAGCACTGGAAAGAAGGCCAGAGGTCAGTGTTTATGTAGTTTTCTATTATCAAACATGTATATGGCAAACCATTTAACTTTTCCACTATAGCCTGTATATTATATCATAACTTAGAAGTTAAAAAAGTAAACGGTTATCTGTACATTGTCACCCTTCTTTTTCTGCTATCGATTCTTCCTCCCACAGAACACACACACAAACTCACTATGTACAACAGGAGAAAAATTCCTATAGTTCAGGTGAGAATAGACAGCGTGATCTATATTAGAGTTGGCACACTTTTTGTGTTGAAAACCAGACATTAAATGTTTTTGTACTATCTCTGTTACAGTCATTCAACTGGCTTTGTGGTGTTAAAGTATTCATATACTACAAAATAACTGGATGTAACTGTTTTCCAATAAAATACTATTTTTTTTTTCTTTTGGTGCTGGGGATTGAACTCGCAACCTCATGTTTGCCAAACAGGCACTTTGCCGCTGAGCTAAACACCCAGCCCAGTAAAAGATTATTTATCATAGCAGGTTTCTCTGGGGCTGCTTTGGCCTGTGTATCATAATTGATAATTCTGGATGTAGACTCTCAAATAAATAGATTTGCACCAGGCTTATGCAACTTTCAAGATCTGTAGGTTTAGTGAGGCAGATGACTATGTGAACTGTAATTACAGCACTTATAATATATGTGAATAAATTGCTGATAAGGGATTATAAATGCTATACAGAAGAAAGCCTGAGACTGTGGCAGAGAAGAAGTTAATGTTGAGGTGAATTACACGTTTTTCTGCATGGTTACACTACAGGAAAAAATGAATGAGTATCAAATTAGATAGCAATATAGGAACTATGTCATGAAAGATTCTTCCTTTTGTTTGATGAAGGAGCTTAGTGGCAGAGCACTTGTCTAACATCTTTTGGCCTCGAGTTTAATCATCAATGCCATTGAGAGAGAGAGAAAGGGAGGGAGGAGACAGGAGGCTGCTATTTTTATCTTTATTCAGTAGACTTTGGTTCCTTAATGCCATTGGTATCTAAACATTATACTGAGATCTTGCTAAAAGTTGTAGCTTCCTGGACCCATTGAATGAGAATCCCTGGGATAGTTCCTAGAAATCCACGTTTGTAAAGTACCTTAGATCCATCGGATAGATTTTTAAAATCACTTCTGTTAATGTTGGGGCCCCCGTGAGGCACTTAAATGAGTGACAGCAGCTGCTATGTTAGAGACTTAAAAACATCATATCTCCTCACTTCCTTCTTTAATTTTACCCTGCAGATTAGGGACATCATCCCCATTATTTCACTGGTTTAAGTTTTGTTTTGGACCCGTCATTCTAGTTACTGTTTGTGATGACTTACAGGGAGGAAATGGGATCAGAGTGAAGGAGAAGCATGTATACTCCTTAATTCCAGGGAGAGCTTATCACACGGAGTCAACGGATGCCTTCAGTCGTGTTGCCGGAATGCAAGTTATGTTTGGGAGTCTGAGATGAGTCTTCCTAGGGAGACAAAATTAAAACAGGCCAATTAAAACTTTGCAGAAATCCTCCAGGACTGTCAGGAAGCCATCTCATGCAAAATAAATTCCTACAAACATTAGAAAGACTGCAAAGAAATAAATTTAATGAATTGGTCATCAGCAAATTAACTGTTTATGAAAGGCAGGAAAGTAGACCATGGACATGAAAGTAAAACATTAGTATGTTTTTAATTACTCTGTTATGAAAATTATCTCAAATAATGAATAGAAAATGATACAGGAGATTTATACCTTATTTCTGAATTGCTTCTTTTAAGATAAAGAATCAAGTTAAAATGTTATATAATTATTATTCTCTTAAATTCTCCTGACCCTAGTAATATAAACATGTTTATTTATTCTATAGTAAGCAAAGAAGCTTTTATTTTCTTTATTTTTTGTTTTTTGCTTTTTCAGTACTGGGGATTTAGCCCAGGACCTTTACACTTAGCTATAGCCCTGACTCTTTTTTACTTTGAAGACAGGCTCTCACTCAGTTGCCAAATTGCCAAAGATCAGCTTAAAATTGTCCTTCTGTCTCAGCGTTTCAGGATATGTTCTTTTATTTATTTTGTCTGTTTGTGTGCGCCAAAATTAATGAAATGGAAAGCTTTTGCATGAGAAAAATCTCTGGAGACTTTAAATCTATTTAGGATTGGTTTCTCTGTCCTGTCATATTTGGTGAAGTCTCTTAGGGATTCTATATAACTCAGTAATAGCAGTTCACTAAGTGCTTCAGTTTCTCTAAAACTGTCAGATTATCAAATCAGTTAAAAGTAACTGTAGAATTTTAGTACCCCTACATTAGAGGTGTCCCTTGTAAGATGTCTGTGATTGTGTTTGGCGGGTAATTTCACACTGTCCACACGCACCTCTCCGAGGTGGTAGCTGGCTGACTGTTCACCATCTACACTGCACAAGCAAAATAACTTTGGTGAGCCTGGAAGCTCTCCCTGCCCTTCACATTGTTATTTCCAAGATACACCAAGTTTTCTGTGCACTTCCCTAAAGGCTTTTTCATGCATGTCTTTGTGTCTTTGGAATAGAATATGAAACGGCGCAGGCGGCGAGACATTTTACGAGTGCAACTGGTACGGATATTTGAACTGCTGGCAGATGCTGGTGTCATTAGTCACAGGTTGGTATTGAATTTAGACATTTCAAACTTTAGAGTGATTACAGAATATAATCTTTTCGCTCAGGAAATGCACAAAAATAAAAATGTATGTAATCGAGAAAAGAAAACTGTGTTACTGCAAATACAATTTGCCAGTCAAAGAGACTTGCGCACTAACCAGTGGTCAAAAATGGATTGAAAAATCCATCATCAGAACTAGATTGCTTTGGGGGAAAATTGGTTAGAATGTTGTTATGAACTCCGCTTCTTCCCAGTATTGGCTCTGCCACTGAGCTACATGCCCAGCCATTAATTTTGAAATTGGGTCTCTCCAGGTTGCACAAGATGGCCTCAATTTGCAGTCCTCTACTTCAGCCTCCCAAGTAGCTGGGATCGCATACCCTATCACACTGGCTTTTTCTATGATTCTGATAATAGTTGGAACCTAGTTTTTTAGGCAAGCAGTAGTCTTTTCTGTACATGCTTATCTATTTCTTACCCCATTCTGAAGATCCATTTCTCCTGGGCTTAAAAAAAAATGACACATTTAAAGGCTATTATAAAATTTGCAAGTTTATTTCAATGAACTGTTGTCTATTGGGAAAAATTACGAAATCTGCAGATGTAATTCATGACTTCGTTTTCTACTATTTACAAATTAAACCATAAAACCTGGAGTTATTGCTAGAGGAAAGGCTGCTTGACCCTAAAACCAGTTCCTTAAGGAAAAATCGATGAGCTGTGTCTTGAAAAATATTTCCTCAGGATGTTCCTTGACCATTGGGTAAAATAGTGGGTCTGACCGTATCCCCCCCAAAAAGGTAACTGAAAAGATCTTGCAAGGAAAAATATGTTGGTAATTGAATGAGTGTACTCCCTGTGCATGGTATTTTACATTAGCGTTTGTCCTAACTTATTCATGTTCCTGCCTCCTTTCTTACTTGCATTAAAAATTTTTGGCAACTGCTTTCAAAACAGAACTTTAATCAAAGAGAATTTTAAAGTGTTAATTCTTTTTTCTGCCCTCCACAAAACACAAAACACTAGCATTTAGAAGAAGTGAATTTGAATTTTCTGTGATTGATATAAAAAACTAACTTTGTACATATCTAAATCTTTTTTTCTTGGTTTCTTCTTGGTGTAAAGTTAGTGAATGAAGCATCTTTAAATGGTACTGTTTTGGGGAACTGCAAAGTGTTGATATACTGAAAATTTAACTGCAAAAACTATACTCTCTTATTGAATAGTAATAATTTTATGTTAAACACAAATGTATTTTTGAGTTGGGGCTTTTAAAAATAAGATATCAGTAGAAAGCTGTCATTGTTACAATCCGTCGCTTTGGTAAAGAAAAAATTTAATTCTGGATGCCAAGAAGTCAGCTACCTTTTCTCTCCCAGTAGGTCCCATGTGCCTGTTGTATATGGTAACTAATCAGTGAATATTTGTTAGAAGAATGAAATGTTTTATCCTGGCACAGGTTGCAGATAGCAAAATTGATCTCCCATCCACTAATAGATCATGACCATGAAGTTTCTAAAGACTCATTTAAGGGAGGTCGTGAATTTACTTGACACGTGCTTTATTGTTGTAGGTGATCTGTTTAATGTATGGTAGTATCACTGTGGATACCTTCCTCATGTTTTTATGGGTCTAGGATGTTTGTAAAAAGCTACACATGACCAGTGAAAATACATTTTAGTTTTTAAAAAGTACTATATAACAAGAAAAGCTGACCTTAACGCATGGAAATGTAAAAGCTTTTAATTTATGTGGCACTTACTGTTTACAAGGGCATTTCATAGGTTACTCCTATGAACACACGGAGATAGGTGCTAACCATGTTCCTAATGGTCGCTAGAATAAGGCAGGAACACAGATTTTCTCCTGGCTAGTCAGTGATGCCCAGCATATTTCTCTTGACTGAAAGAGACTATAATAGCAGAAATTCACACACATGTAAAAAGGTGTGCAAAGCAACTCTTTAACCCTTGGAGTTGAATCCTCTTTGTGTTTTTATCCTTGATAATGCCTGTTCCAGAAGGTTGCTGGCTTTGGTGTCTAAAGGACGGTTGGTTGTACCAAAGACATGGTATGAGGAAGTCTAATCGCTATGAAACCAGCAGAACTAACCTGTCCTTTGTCCACCTTTCTGCACTGGCTGTCCTTCTCCCATAAGCTTTTGTGCCTCCTTATTTTTAAACTGCATATTTTCACAGAGAGGAAGAAACATTTAGCGCTCATAATAGTCAATTAATGTTAGATATGGAATTAGATGATATAAATTGAAATAGCAGTTCCTTGATTAAGAAGCACTTTCTATTTCCATATTTAACTAAGGCAAACATGCCCCTTTAATTTTCATATATTAGGTTGTATACTGCTGTGACTATGCAAAGTTTAATATGTATTATTCTGATTTTAATTACTAGGGTTTTGTTTTGATATAAGTAATAATTTAAAGTTACATTTTCTTGATCATTTATTTTCTTCAATATTTCCAGTGCAAGTGGTGGCCTTGACAATGAAACACATTTCCTCAATAACACTTTACTGGAATATGTAGACCTCACCCGGCAACTCCTGGAAGCGGAAAATGAAAAGGACTCTGATACACTGAAGGATATACGATGCCATTTCAGTGCCTTAGTGGCGAATATCATCCAGAATGTTCCAGGTATTGCTTTCATGTAGTCCTCCTTGAGATACTATAGCTGAAAAGGAATTTGTGAACATACTGGAAAAAATGTCAGCGTAAGAGATTGTTTTATATTAAAATGAGTGTCAGTGATTAGAAACAAAAAGTCAACCCAGCGTATTTTTAGCGATAGTTAAGATACTGACACAAAATCTGAAGCAATCGGGTAGGATGAATGGGACAGATTTGTTCCAGATACCGTGAGCACAGAGCATGATGTTCCAAATGATAATTGAAAATAAAATTAACAAGATCCTTTTGAATAGTGGAAGATGAATGTAGGCCATTGCTGTGCACTATCACAGGGATTCAGAGTCGTAAATGGATTAATTTAACAGCTGTGTCCCTGTTACTGAGCAGGCATGTGCTACAAAAAGTGATACACAGAAGTGCATTTCAAAAAGTCAAAGTCTTTGTAAGACATAAAGTTGTGACTATGAGCCTGGTGTATACAGCATAGAGCAAAATGTTTCCTCTGAAAAAATACTCAGGGTTGTTTTGTTACTTTAAATAGTTTGTTTTTGAAAGAGTATGGGCTGTATTTTATCACAAGGTCCTTAAACACATAATTAGGTATGCTAACGTGCAGTGCAGGAGACCTATTTAAATCTTTGGAAGCAAAGTGATGCTATTTAAGAGTGTTTTTTCCTCTCTGTTTTTCTGTTCACAAGCTCATTAATATAAAGATGTGATTTGTCTTTTTCCTTTGCACTTATCCACAACTTACTTTTGCTTGTTGAGACACTGTTGAATTTCTTCCACATCCCTTGCTGCAGAGAGCCTGCAGGATAGGGCCTCAGAGTGTGCACGGTTTTTTAAAGCCCTCAGGCGAGAGCCTGAGGTGCCTTTAGCAGTTGGCAGAATAGATTTGGACACCAGGCCTCTACCCTACTTCAAACAGATCAACTCCTGTTTTATCTGTTTCATAAGCCAAGATGCCTTTGCTTTTATAAAGCTGGTTTTCCTGCTGGGAAAAAAAAAAACATTTAAAAACATCATTTATTTAGTCCAAAGCCCTTACCAGGGACCTGCGATCTTGAGGTGTGCTTGCTGAGTTTACCATGCAGCCAGTGGCAGCCTGTGGAGAAACAGTGTCCTGACTCAGCCTCTGGGCCACCTCCCTGCACCATTTCCTCTCCCTTGACACTGTTTCTGCCCTTTGCATACATGTGAATGACTTATTACCGTGGAGAGTTTATGTGGATTCAAATAAAAACGTTGACTCCCTTTTTTAAAAAATAATTTTATATATTCAGAAACGTAAGTTGGTGTGCACATTAATGTAAAAAGAAATGGAAATAAGTTGCGCATCTACATTTTATTTACAGTGCACCAGAGAAGAAGCATTTTCCCGCAGCAGAGCCTTCGTCACAGTCTGTTCATGCTCTTCAGTCACTGGGCAGGACCTTTTAGCATCATGTTTACGCCTTTGGACCGATACAGTGATAGGAATATGCAAATCAATAGGCATCAGTACTGTGCATTAAAGGTATTTCCTTAGAATCCCAGTTCCTTTTAATTAGTATCTGATACCAGCTATTAAAGGGCATAAGGATTTCTTCAGAGTACCCGAGAGTATTAAAATGTTTGTCTGCTGTAATGAAACGCTTGCACCATAACTTTAAGTACATAAAGTGCGTTGCAAAGAGTTCCAGAATCTATCAAAATTTGCTCACCTTTTTCTTCAGAGAACTGAAGATTGACTCCAAGGAATAACTATTCCTTTACACTTAAGTTTTTGGTGCTTTAATCTGCTCTTGCTGACTGTTTTGACTTCCTGTCTAATTTTGTATGATGGTATTTACTTATAATAAATTTTTCACCTTAAAAGTTACAGTTAATATTTCCTTTGTAAAGAAAACAAATAAGAATATTGTGGCTAGGAAAACTTGAGTAAGAATATCTTGCCTCTTCTCATTAAGCAGCCAGCATTCAAACTCTTAAATTTTTTAAGTGTAATTCTGATATTATTGTTTGAAGGCTATGTCTGCTGTACTGTGTTGTGGCCCTGTTGCAGATAATGTGGGACTGTCATCAGATGGCTATTTGTACAAATGGTTGGATAACATTTTGGACTCTCTGGACAAAAAGGTAATTATGACAGTTTGCTTAAAATTTCATGATAAATTGTCATTGCATTATTCAGAGTTACTATATGGCCTATTGAAAAGAAGTTCTCTTTTTTTAAGATAAGACAGAGTTACATGCAAAAAGCCAATTACATAAATAGAATCCTATAACCTAAGAAAGTTCTAATTACTTACTACTTATTGGAATAATTTTCATTTTTCTTCTATATTAGAGGATTTATAAGCTAATATAATAGGGTTCTGAGTCTTTAAGTAAAATATTAGTATAGAATAGGAACTCTATGGAAGAAATGTTATTTTTTAATTAATTTCAGTTTTTGGACTACAATTAATTCTTTCTTTCCCTTCACGTTCTTGTCAGCCTTATTTTCTGCTATTTACACACCCAGACTTCACAACTTAAATACAACGTACATTTTTCTGTGCAATAATTTTTCTGTTGGGTTATCACAAGTAAGAGTAAAACTTGCTAAAAAATAATTGGAGAGGTTAACAACTCATTTTCTGAAAGCACCTGCTTCATACTCATCAGCCACCTTTGGGGCTCTTGGATGAGAAGGTGGTGTTACCGAAACATCTCATAAAAAGACAAAGGCCATGCATAGTTTATCTACATGGTTTTCTCTGCTGGCCGAATAAACTGAGAAGGAGTTGAACAAAAAGAGACTCCACCGCATTATGTTAACAAGAATCACTGTGGTAAAAATGCAGGGGACCCGACAGTGAAGTAACGTGAGCTTTGCCTCCCCAGGTTCATCAGTTGGGCTGTGAAGCAGTCACATTGCTGCTGGAGCTGAACCCGGATCAGAGCAACCTGCTGTACTGGGCTGTGGATCGCTGCTACACGGGTTCCAGGAGGGTGGCCGCTGGCTGCTTCAAAGCCATAGCCAACGTGTTCCAGAACAGGTACTCGAGACAGCCACTCCCACACCTCACTTTGGGTTCTCCTCTTAAACACATTTTTCTCATTTGAGTTTAGAAATGCTGAGAAATCCATAATTTCTTTCCTTAAGCTCTGGTGGATTTTAGCCAATAAGGTTCATAATAAGCGTGGATCAATTGTACCGGATGCCTTAAAAAAAAAAAGTCACCCTCTGCTTAGAAGATGCATGCAGTCTTGCTCTTTGTGTGTCTGTTTATTCACTGATGTGGAGGTCTTTAAACATTTTTATTTACCTAATGTGTGGAATTTATCCCTAGGGATTATCAGTGTGACACAGTGATGCTCCTAAACCTGATACTGTTTAAAGCAGCTGACTCTTCCAGAAGTATCTATGAAGTTGCTATGCAACTTCTACAGGTTGGTAAACAGATGTTAATTAAAATAGTTTTTTTACTGAGGATTTACTGGAGGCTAATATTTTATTCTTACCACTAAAGTATATTAACATTTAGCTTTATTTTTAATAATGAAGTGTGGTGCCATATTCTGATTATCATTGGAAATAGAAAAAGTAATATAGATGTTTAAATCTATAGTATGAACTATTCAGAAGTTTATTGTGGAAAGCTTATATTCGTATATGTATATATGAAAGTATTTACAGGTATTCACTGATTAGGACTGATGTGTGCAAGTAACTATTTCTATGTAGCAGATGAAAGAGAATAATGTGAGTTGAATATTTTGAGAGTTGTGTGAAAAATAATTCACTTATTTATGACACACTGATACCCTTACGTTAACTAATATGAGATTGAGAGCAGATTATATTGCAGTACACAATATTCAGGTAGTTCAGAAAAGAGCAAGGTTCTTAATCTTAATTAAGATCTAAAAGTAAGATTCAAATGGAGCCTGACCTTTCTAAAGGCCGTGAATAGTAAGGTAGGGCTGTCTTAGGAATGATATCCTAATGCCTTTATTTAGCAAAACAGCTCTATTCAGTGTGATATCAGAGGGAGTTTTAGTTAGTATTCCATATTTAGTCTGTGCTAAGATCCACTTGACTTTGTTTGGTTTTGTTTTGTTTCCCCCCTACATTGGTATAGTCGTGTTTTGAACTGGGAAGTAAATCTTTTTCAGGCAGTTACACTGTAGGTTACTGAAATTATCTTCAGACTATTTTGCTAACCCACACCATTGGCAAGCTTTTTTTTAACATAGAAATTAACATATTTTATAATATACACAAACACATAAACTTTAAGCTGGAGTATTTCTTGGGGAAAGATGCTTTTCTAAATCATAGCTGAACTTGCGGGGACCCTTAAAATGTGAACACAAGTTGATGGGATTACATTCCTTTAGATCCTGGAACCGAAGATGTTTCGCTATGCTCACAAATTGGAGGTTCAGAGAACAGACGGGGTGCTCAGCCAGCTGTCTCCTCTGCCGCATCTGTATTCTGCTTCGTATTACCAGTTGTCGGAGGAATTAGCAAGGGCCTATCCTGAGCTCACTCTGGCCATCTTCTCAGGTATGACCCCTGAACTGGTTAGTTTGTCTTTTTGCATAATTTCTTTTAAAAAGCCATTTTTGGATTTTTTTTTTTTTTAAAGGCTTTAGGAAAAGAAAAAAAAAAGCTTTAGGGTCTTGCTGTATAACCCAGACTTGCCTTCAGCTGATGATCCTCCTGCCTCAGCCTCCCAAGTGTCAGTGTTACAGGCATGGGCCATCACGCCGAGCTTAGAAAACTTCAAGAGATTAAATTAGAGGCTGATTCAAGGCAAAATGTGTCTTCAGTTAAGATAATTTTTTCCTTTTTTAAATAACTCGTAATGCTGTTCTTTCTGATATTCCAATTTCTTACTGATGGCATCTTCTAGGATTTTACTACTGGCCCTTCCTTCTCATCCAACTCTAGCCAAAAGAAAAAAGGAAAAAATAAAACAAAAGGAAGAATGGACGACTTCATGTATAATTTAAGTATTTCTCCAGTAGGTATAGAACTTCCTGGGTGTGTTTTATTTTCTACACTGGGCTGCGGGTTAGCAACAGAGATGGCAAGGGATGAAGAGGTTGTTCCGTAAATGGAACCTGAATCCTCTGATCATAGAGCTGGTCATGCAGTGTTTTGAACAAAATTATTTTTAGGATCCCACTTTGCTTTCTGATCCTGCTAACTTCCCTTGAAACTAAAGAATACAGTATTCCCATTAGGGCTTTTTAGATGCCAGAACATCAAGACTGTCAGGAAAGTAGTTATATCTGTCTTTACAGGACTCAGATTTAGGAGAATTTTAGAATCCATCTAGTACCACCTCCTGCCCTGTGAAAGTGCTATTGGGAATTTCTATATGGTCCCTTAGCTCAAAGATACTTGAATTTTCAGCTCGTCAACTGCAGCAGGCTCTTGTTGCAATCCAAGGACTAGACATGCACCAAAACTGTCACCAGAGAATTACAGTTCTGCCTTGGACAGTTTCCTTTACTTAGGCTCAGAGCATAATGCCTTCAGTCACGCCAGTCATCTTTTCATGGATAGTTTCTTATTCCCAGTTGACCTAAGGGGTGGGGGAGACCAACTGCACTTCTCCCTGCATTCAGTTGTGAAAAGCAGTTTTCCTGTTTGATTTGTTCTGGTCAGTGGAGCTTCCTTTTCCCCAGCTTTCATACCGTTGACAGCCCTCCAAGATGGACATGGATGGTCGTCAACACAAAATAGTGATCGCCATAAAGGCCAGCTTTACTGTGGCAGTCACTTTCCTGTGACTGGGACAAAATACTCAGCACTCATATCTGAAAGGCGAGGTTTATTTTGGCTCACGGTTTCAGACCACGGTCATGATTCTGGGCAGAGGACAGCTGCTCGGCTCAGGACAGGCAGGCAGCAGGAGGGAAGGGAGGAGCTGGGGGCAGGGAGACACCTTCCAGGCATGCCCCTGGTGACCACCTCCAGCTGGCCCTGCCTCCAACAGCACATTTAGTTACTGAACTCCTCAATGGATGAGTCCACTGATGAGTACAGCTCCCGTCCAAGTCCAGTCACCTTCCAAACACGTGAGCCTTGTGGGAGATGTTTTAGATTTAAACCATGACCCAAGGTTTCTCGAAGGGGCTCCTGTCAGAGAACAGAGGGCTCTAGCAGGGCCTCCACCGTCCTGGAGTTGGGCAGATGCCCACTGTACGGGTACAGGCCTGCCCACAGTCAGTCTCCTTGTCACATTTCCTCCAATTCTGTCTTCAGTTCTCTCTTGTGCTCAGCATCTGCTAATTTTAAATCTTGCTTAATATTCCTTCCAAACCAAAACATACTCTCTAGATGTGAAAGAATACTATGCTCACCTAATCCCACTCATTGTAATTTTCACTTGTTCCTGAGGCCAGAGGAGGGCAGTGTTCCTAGAGATGATACTGTAGAGGGACAGACATCCTCATAAACTGTGTCCTCTATAAAATGGGCCCGCTCCTCCCTTCCTTTGGCACTAATGCCATGGCCATGGTCTTTAAATGTCAGCAGCGCCCAGCTCTTCCCATCTTTTTCTCCTCCACACCACTCCTGCCCCGCCCTGCCCGCTGCCTTGCGTTGGGCAGTGTGCCCTGCCGTGTTCTCAGCCTTTGTGCCTGCCGTGGACGCACCCAGGTGGCCTTCAGGCTCCACTGGGGTCAGTTCTTCTTCTCTGTTCAATCTGATCTCTTCTAGTCTTTAATCTCTGTGCTACTTTGCATAGCAGTTGATACTCGTTTTCTGATGTTTCTGTAAATTCTGGGCTTTCTTGATTTCCAGAAACTTCCTACTTCCTGAGTTTTCTTCTGTGGACTATGTGTTATGTGTCTCTCTGGTGGATTCTTTCCTTCTGTTGACTTAAGTGTTAGTGTTCCCGGAGTTCCAGCCTGGGCCTCCTCCTCAAGTGACCCTGTCCCCTTGAAAGAGGTCAAGAGTGCCATGGCCGCAGCTCCCACGCACACTGCTCCTCGGTCAGGATCTCTTCGTTCCCTGCTTTGCGAGCTGCAGGTCTAATATTTCATACCAGAGGTAATAAGCTTGTGTGTTCCGGAAAGGTGTTTTTTAAAAAAGGATGGAGTTGAACATAACTGAAATTAGGTGCGCTGCACATACCTGTGGTCGCAGACTCGGTGGTTCAGGTGAGAGGATTGCTTGAGACCCGCCGGGCGATACAGCAAGACCCTGTCTCAAGGGAGGGGGAGAGACTGAGCACTTCCTCCACGTTATATTGGGTTTGCACAGTAACCCCATGGGGTAGCTCCTTGTGTGTGTGTGTGTGTGTGTGTGTGTGTGTAGCTGGGAGATGAAACCTCGGGTTGTGCTATGCCAAGCCCAGTTCACACTCACTCCTCTTCCACATGTTCCCTTGTAATGAATGGTAAATAAGTTTGAGGCTAAGTAGGGGAAAAGGGGCAGAGAGAAATGAGGTTTTTATTTAAATGATTTGGGCAGTTAAATGGTGCAGAAAGACTTGTAGGCACAGGGATTGTTGGCCTAGTGTTTGACTCCTCTAACAATGGTGATTTCATCACTGCTTTGTCAAGAGCATTAAAGGACAAGAGTGTTAAAGTAACTCATCATAGGAGTTTCCCCTAAGTGGAATTTTTAAAAAGTGAGAGTCATACAGAGTCCATTTGAGTTAATCCATGTGTAAACCTTGCAGTTACTTAAGTACAAGCTGTTGTAAGACAGATCTCTAGAAAGTCTTTTCTTGCACAAGTATAATTCTGTAGCCTCTAAACAATGATCTCCCTCGTCCCTCAATTCATTATAATCAGTATTATATAAAGGTACAGTATGAAGATATTTTTCTCAATTTCACTATTTTAGATACTGTGCATCATATAACTGGAGTCGTACAGTGTCTTCGTTGTGTTTTTGTTTTGGTACTGGGAATGGAGCGCACAGCCTCGCGCCTGTCAGGCGGGCGCTTCAGGGTGTTCATTTTGGGACCGGCTTGTTTCTCTTAGCATCATGTCTTCGGGGCTCATGTGGCAGGGTTTTCTCTTCTGTGGGCTGCTGCAGAGTGTTTCCCAGTGTGCGGAGTCACATTTTGCTTCTCCATTCATTCATTCGTCAGTTGACATTTGAGTTACTTCCACCTTTGTGTCCTGTGAAGAGTGTTTCTGTGCACAAGGATGTACGGACAGCAGTTTGAGTTTCTGCTTTCTCTTCTTTCACACATACACTCAAAAGTGCAGTTGCGGGTGGTTTGGGGGATCTGTTATAATTTGGGGGCAACTCCGCTGTTGCATTCTGTATGCACCATTTTACAGTGCCACCCACAGTGTACAAACATTTGACTGCCACAGTTACTTTAAGCAAAGTTAGTAGTGTTATTTCCATTAGCTGTTACTATTCATTGCTGTCACTGAGGTAAAATTTATAAAAGGAAAAATAGCAGTCATAATAGTTAAATAAATAAATCCCAGCTTTTTTTTTTTTAATCTCCCTGATGCTGCCTTTTCTCAGTACTGGGGTCTGACCTCCCTCCGAGCCTCACCCCCAGCCCTTCCCTGTGTTTTTTATTTGGAGACAGGAGTCCGATTATGTTGTCCAAGCTGGGCTCAAGCTTGCCCTTGCACCTCCCCGAGTGCCGAGGTAACAGGCATGTGCCACTCGGCCTGGCCTGGCTGCCTCTTGCAGCAGGTGATGAAATTAATTATAGGCCAGAGGAAACCAAAATTACATCTGTTCTCTTCTTTGGTTTGGTTTTAATTAGAGATAAGCCAGAGAATCCAGACAGCTCACCCGGCGGGGCGGCAGGTCATGCTGCACTACCTGCTGCCCTGGATGAACAACATCGAGCTGGTGGACTTCAAGCCTTTGCCCACGGCCAGGCGCCACGAGGAAGACGAGGACGACTCCTTAAAAGATCGCGAACTTATGGTGACCAGCAGGCGCTGGCTGCGGGGAGAAGGCTGGGGGTCCCCGCAAGCCACCGCGATGGTCTTGAACAATCTGATGTACATGACAGCAAAGGTAAAGTGTCAGCATTTTGTATTCATATTGTTGCTACACAGAATTCTAGAGTTAGGGGAAGGACGCCTGGTTAAAAACAGATGCAGAGACTAGAGAATCCTTTGAGAACAAGTAAAAATGGATGATGAATCCTCCCAACAGCTCATCAGACACATCTTTCCCCTTAACTATCATGTGTGATTAGTGATATTGCTGTTCAGGCTCATTGAACACTCATTTTTCTAAGGTGTGGGAGAGATTACAGGTGTCTGTAAAACTGTTAGATTTTCTAGTACTTCGTGGCGTGGCGCATTAGGTTTCTGCTGTGCTGTTGTACTGAAGTCTCTGTCATGTGTGCTCGTGTAGTACGGCGATGAGCTGGCCTGGTCGGAGGTGGAGAACGTGTGGACCACGCTTGCAGATGGCTGGCCAAAGAACCTGAAAATTATTTTGCACTTTTTGATCAGCATCTGTGGGGTGAATAGTGAACCAAGCCTCTTGCCTTACGTATGTATTCAAGTTCATTTAACTTTTGAAAAATGTGTTTACCAGATGTCTTACTGTGCCAGAGTGTGGGCAGCAGTCACACACACACACACACACACACACCCTGGAGGCAAGCAAGGGCCAGACTGTGCATAGTCAAGAAATAGCATCTGCACTGACTCATTCAGTCAGTGTGATTTAGTCTAGATACTGCAGGGAAGGTACTGATCTAGGCACTACATTGGGCATGCCTATGATGGATGGATACAGATTTTATTCTTTGAGTCTGTGTCTAGTTTAGTGAGTAACTCAGTGAGTTAATAAAGTACAGTTGTGATAAAGGCTACAAAGGAAAATTGCTGGGTACCGACAGTGAGTAACCAAGGAACACAGCTGTCTGGAAGAAAGGGAGATGACAGTTGAGAGACAGCGACACTGACATGGAAACCAGCAGTCTGGGGACATGTACGCATGTATGTTAGAGTTTCTGCTAGATGGCAGCTGGCATTGTGGTATTGGAGCCCTCAGGGAATAGGCGCTTAGGGAGAGAGCACAGGAAGGGATAGAGGAAGAGTACATAAAAGTCAGGGTCTGATGCTTTGCCTTTGGAGGGATGGAGGGACAATAGTTAAATCCATCCAATTTAAGAGACCACTCTGTAGGGGCTGGGGATTTAGCTCAGCGGCATAAGCACCTGCCTTGCAAGCAGGCGGTCGTGAGTTCAATCCCTGGTACCGATAAAAAAGAAAAAGAAAAAAAAAATGTAACAAAAAAAAAAAAAAGAGAGACCACTCTGTGCCAGGCTTGGTGACACGCCTGTAATCCCAGCAGACTGGGAGACTGAGGCAGGAGGAATGCAAATATGTGCCCAGCCAGGGCACCGGAGTGACTTAGCAAGACTCTACCTCAAAATAAAAAGGGCCAGGGATGGAGCGCAGAGCCAAGTGGCCCGGGTTCAGTCTCTGGTATCAGGTGGGGACACCTACTGTCCAAACATGAGGGTGACATTGAAGGTACATACACAGGCCTACCCGCATGTGCCTCTACAGACGTCACTCACATGGCTGCACCTCCCAAAAGTGTACTCCCTGGATTAGTTCTTGAAAGCGTTGCTCTCAGGGTTCTTACAGACCCTACTTTAAACAGCCCACAGAGCATGGCTTCAGCCACCATTCCCCAAGTTTACTTGGAAGATTCATTCTCAAGACGTGTCTCAGGATGGGTGTTCTTTGAAGGGGCACTGAGAGAAGGAGGGCTGGGGTACATCCCCCCCGCCCAGCCACATGACCCTGCAGTGCTCTAGCCATTTGCCTGCCGCACTCTGTCAGGCCATCTGCCCTTCAACCTTGCCGACTTCCCTGCAGCCTTCTCTCATCAGGCATTCCTACCGCAGGGCCTTTGTATTTCCTTTGCTTCTCTTTCCCAACAGCCACACTGCCTGCTCCCAGGCTCCTCAGGGCTTCCCTGGAGTGTTGGTTCTCCCTGAGATCTCCCCTGCCCGTCCTGGCTACCACTGCACCTCACTTGTCCCACGGGCACACGCCATTCCCTTTCCCCTGCTTCGATGACCTTCCTGGCACTTCTGTTTGCCTCTGTGCATTAGCTTTCACCCAGCAGACTGTAAGCTACTACAAAGAGGATGGATTACAGACAGATGGATTGTTACTGTGCCTGGTGCTGAGAATAACACCTGGCACACCAAAGGCATCGCATAATTAGATGAATGAATGCGTTGGGGCTGGAACTAGAAAAAAAGCGTGATAAGCAGTCTTTCATTTTCACTAAAGGAATTTTGGAGAATAGCTGTTTTTCTATTGAAATTTAAGGAATATTCATTTGTCAAAGATTTAAAAGTAATGTTTTAATGTTACTAGTAATCATTTCTTAGTATTTGTGTAACATTTGCTTTAGGTCAGGCATGGTAAAAGCACATCCTCTACATTATTTCATTATATTCTCAGACTGTATCTGTAAGTTTGGTAAAACTACTGCAGTTTTACAAATTAATCGAACAATGCAAAGAAGGATAATTTCCTGAAAGCCATGTAGCCATGTGGCCATAACCCTGTGTCTAGGAGAGCTGGAATTCTACCCCGCCTGCTTCACAAAGTCAGGAAAAGTTTCTTGGAGAAGGGGAAGAAGCAGAGGACGTGATAGTTGGCTAGACACAGGGCTGGCGCCCATTCAGGGACCCTCCGTCAGGCAGAGAGAAGGAACGAGGCAGCGTGCTCACCGCGTGTGCACAGGAGACTGAGGCCGAGCCCCAGGGGATGCAGACAGGACCAGCCAGCCAAAGAGCTCCTGGGGCCCATCTTCAGCTCTGAACACATGTGTCACCTGGGGATCTTGATTTGGAGGCAAAGGTGGAGCCCAAGTTTCTTTATTTCTAGCAAGTTCTAGATGATGAGGCCTGTGCTGCTAGGGCAGGATTTTGAGTAGCAAGGTTTATGTGGGGATTAAAGAAGAGTCGGGTGCTTTATAAGTTGTCTCAATAGCACATGTCACTAAAGCATAATCTGTGCTACAAAATCATGGGGTTTCTTCTACTTAGCAAGCCAACTCCTTGCCCTAGTCATTTTGAAAGTGCTTGACAAATTTTAACCCATTTAGTCTTCTCAACAGCTATATGAAGTGGATGCTGTTAGTGTCCCCATTTTGCAGATAGGAAAACTTAAGAGTGACTTTGCAGGTGACCCAGTACTGGTTACATCCACACCCCAACCGAGGCAGTGTGGCTTGGGTTCCGGCCGAGTTCCAGTTCTTTGCTATTAATGATGCTCTCAACTGGTGGGCTCCGTGGAGAGAGTGAGGCAGAATTTAAAAATCCTGGGTTTGAAACCGGCTAACTTTAAGATCAGACAAATCTTGTAGAATGATGTTAATCAGAAGCTTTTCCCATTAATAAAGAAACTTTAGAGACAAGCAAAATTTTTTGTACTTTATTTAAAAAAATAAGTAAAGGAAGTGTATGAAGTTGTGAAAACTATGAAACAGTATATTCAATTCATCCCTATTAGAGCGGATGCTGAGCTGGAGAGAAGACAGTACTTTACTGTAAACTGATCAGTGTCTCAGAGCTGGTCAGGACCTGTCCACAGTTAGATTGTGCTGATTTGTCTTCCACTTAAAAGTTAAGCTTTCTGTGATCAAATGTGTCTCAAGGCAAAGTTCTGCGATAAAAATGTTGCTCCTTTTCTGAACGCCTTCTTCCGTAACAGGTAAAGAAAGTTATCGTTTATTTGGGTAGAGACAAAACGATGCAGTTACTAGAAGAGCTGGTGAGTGAGCTCCAGCTGACGGACCCCGTCTGCTCCGGCGTCACCCACATGGACAATCCCCCCTACTACCGCATCACTTCGAGCTACAAAATCCCTTCTGTCACCTCAGGTGAGGCTCCCTGCAAGTCAAGAGGGACTGTTGACCTAAAGGTTCATTTCAGCAAGGATTTGTGGCTTCCAGGAGCCTCACTGAGCGAACAAAAGCAAATTTGAATCTTGTATGGTAATTTGAGTAGGTTCCGGGCAATGATCATATGAATAAAGAAGCGTAGGAAATCTTAAGTGTTCTAAATGTTACAGAAAGAACATTTATGTACATATCCAGAAGTAGAATGTAAGTTTATATATTGTCATTACAGTGAATGCATTTTTAAGTAAATGTAATTAGATTTAGATAAATAATTTTTTAAAAAACTTGATTTGGAAAATGACTACTTGCTGAAATTATTTTTGTAATTTCATGTTATTATTTTGTAATTCCATATTATAATTTTTGTAATTCCATATTAAATTAATTTTTATAATTATTTGGATATGTCGTATACAAAAGACAAAAGTCTTTTTGTTCTAAATGGACAAATTATATAGATTTACGGAGTAGAAGTGGTATGCTTTATTAATACAATGTGGAATAATTAAATCAGGTAATTAACATAGGCACTATGACAAATACTTATAAAATTACATTATTTTGAGTTGAAGAAACTGTGTCCCTCAGGGAAAAATTTCCAGTGAAAATCAGTATAATGTCTAGGCTACTGCAGTTGATATTTCTAGGAAACTGTCACTGTTTTTGTAAAATGCTTTAAACATGTCAAAAACATTATATAATTAGAAATAATTTGAAGTATTTTTTTTGTTAACTATTTTTATTCTTTAGCCTTTTTGTTCTTTCTGGGTGAATTCTAACACTTCTGTTTAATTTTTTGTATCTGCTACTGTGTTTTTTGGGGTTTTTTTTTTTGTTTGTATTTCATGGTTGGACTCTCTTTTTCTGTATCTGATAAAGTTACTGTTTTCCTCTACCAGCAGAAGCTCCTATTTTCTCTAACTTACTATTTTTCCAGTCTGTGTAGAATCTTTCCTTGAAACTCCACCGAAAGTTGTCTTCATAAGGAAAGAGCATACACACGGATGAGTGCTATGTGTAGATATGGAACTGGGCCCTTTGCTAAAGGATGACTTTGGTCATGCTGCAATCCGTGGGCCTTTTCTCCTGAAATAATCCAGTTTCCCAGAGAAGACTCTCCTGCCTGCGGCAGCAGATCCATCTGTGATTTCCTGCGCAGGCGCACAGTCTCAGCCCCTGAAAGCCCGAGGGCGTAGGAACCTGTCTTGATAGCACCCATCACTCTTTGCCCATCTGTTGTCTAGCATCAAACATTGTTACTGCTGTCTCCTTTCCCTCCTGGTCCTTATGAGTATGTTCCTTTTAACAAACCGCTTTGCTTTCCTTTCAGTGAAGTTTTAACTGAAGTTTTTTTGTCTTTATTGTTGTTTTAAATTAACAGGGTCTCTTTTTTTTTTTTTTTGATGACAGGAACCACTTCCAGTAGCAATACAATGGTAGCTCCCCCAGATGGCAGCTCTGATAACAAGCCCTTAAAGGAGAGCCTGGAAGAGAAGTGAGCCTTCTGTTCTTCATTAGCCTTTCGGCTTGCACCACACTGATCATCATCAGAATACACGATTATTTCTAGCCAGGCATGGTGGTACACACCTGTAATCCCAGTACTTGGGAGGCTGAGGCAGGAGGATTACTGTGAATTCAAGGCCAGCTTGGGCTACATAATGAAACCCTATCTCAAAAAAAGAAAGAAAAAAAGAATTTATTCTGCCTGTTTTATATGAAATAAGTTTCATCAGAATATCTATTTAAGGGAAATCTGTAGGTGCAAATGACTGACTAAAAGTTAAAACTTTTGGATTATAAGAAATTATATCTCATAGTAAACACTGGTTGATATTATATGTAAAGTGCACTTTTGTAGACATAGATAGCAACACACAAAGTACAGGAGCCACTTCATTGTGAAGGTGATTAACAATCTCTTCATCTCCACAGCTATGCACACCTAGACATCTACAGTGGACTCAACAGCCATTTAAATCGCCAGCATCACAGACTAGAATCCAGATACAGCAGCAGCTCCGGAGGATCTTACGAAGAAGAAAAAAGTAATAAATTCCGAGTGTTTCTAAGAGCTATAATGATGAGATGCCTTGTTATTTATATTAAAGTGAATAAGTATATTTTTCCAGTAAACTATTTTAAGAAAAGAATATTTAACTGCTATGAGAGGTGTTCCAATATAATCTGAAATGTCTTGATTAGGGAGTGATTTTAATTAGCACCATTGAACAGGAGAAAAATTTTTTAAGACAAAGTTTCCCTATAGAGAATTCAAAAGGAACATAGAATTGGTTCTCAAGAAGCACCATAGAGCAAACACTGGACATAGGCAGTTTACTGAGCAAGATTGCTTGCCTGTGTGGATTTGCATTCTGCTGAAAATGTTCCCTCTTGAACTTGCAAAGTAAATATCTACCTGACTTTCACTCTTAACATTAAGGTAGTGTAAGACAGAAGCCTTCAGACTCAGAAGGGACCCTGGAGATGATCTGATCCAATTTCCTCAGATTGTGCATGGTGGAACTGAGGTCCAGAGAGGTTAAGTGACTCACCCATGTCACACAGAATACACATTTCCTGGTACAGCTTTTTAAACTACTCTGTAGCCCCACTGTAGTAGGTGGGTTTATGTTGGCCCTGATTCAGGACATTTAGAACTGAACAACTTACCAAAAGGCCCTCTTTACAGAGCAGCTTCACTTGCAACTAGGCCATCAAATGGAGAATCTTAAGGAAGTACCAACATAATTTTGCTTTGATGTAAAGAATGGATTGCTGTGAGTTCGAGGCCAGCCTGGGCTATATAGTGAGTTCAAGCCCAGCATGAATTATATAGTGAGACCCTGACTCGAAAGGAAAAAAAAACAGAAACAGGATGAAAGCTTTTTCTCTTCTTCTCTCTGGTTTGCCTAATTTGATATTTGTACCAAGGTCTGTGCAGCAAACATGTATTCCAATAGTGGGAAGTTACTTTTGTAATCACTTTCCAATGCTATAAACACTTGGTGTCTTACTAGAGTTTGCGTATATTGGCAGAAATTAGATGGTGTAGAAAATGAGATCATTTTATCTTGATAGGTGATTCAATGCCACTTTATTCTAATTGGCGACTGAAAGTGATGGAGCATAACCAAGGAGAGCCACTGCCCTTCCCACCAGCTGGAGGCTGCTGGTCACCACTGGTGGATTACGTGCCTGAAACGTCATCACCTGGATTACCTCTTCACAGGTGGACCGGAGCATCATTCCTACTTCCTACGAGCCGGGTTGCTGCTGAACACTCAGCTTTCTTGGTGCTATCTGACAACACAGAATAGAAGCTGTCTTCTTTATTAAGATACTTACAACCAACTAGAGCAACACATTTAGATTTTAAGAAACCTAAAAACTGAATGTCCTAAACTGTCCAAAACTAGTATTGTGAAATTAATTCTGCTGCTCCTTTTCTGGGTGTCTGGCATAGTTACTTGACCTTTCTGGGACCCAGTTACTACATCTAAAAAACATTCCTTTTTTGTAGTCAGTGCTGTAAATATTTTCAAACTAAAATATAATGAATTCTACTGAATAAAATCACAATAGAATTACAGGATTGCTTCAAGATGTCTCAATGCATCAAACATGTATTGAACACCTACTTTGTGGCAGGCGGGATGCTAAGTTTTAAGGTTGAAAGTCAAAGAAAATGTGGCCTTTGACTTCAGGGAGCACCAGGCCTGTAGGTTTTGTTCTAAAGCTGTCCCTTTAACCGTTTCTTCACTGCATTTGTTTTTCCCCTTTTTTCACTAAGAAGCTGTATTTTTCCATGACAAACAGTGTTAAAGTCTTTGAGTACGGTACAGAACTTTCTCTAGTCTTCCTCTGATCTCGTGAAACATTATTAATACTCTTATTTGTCATAGGTGTAACATAGCAGTGATCCTTCTGACTGATCTGATCATTGATCACAGCGTAAAGGTGGAATGGGGAAGCTACCTCCATCTTCTGCTTCATGCAATTTTTATAGGTAACACGTTCTAACGTCTAATTCCTTCAATTTTATGTTTTTATGAATTAAAGGCATTTTGTTTTTAAGGAAATTTTTAGGCTGGGCATAGTGGCACAGATTTAGCAATCCCAACACTAAAGGAGGTTAAGGAAGGAGGAGTGCAACTTTGAGCACAACCTGAGCAACCTGGTAACTACGTGAGACCATGTCTTAAAATGAAAAAATAAATACATAAAAAGGATGCCAGGGATATAGCCCAGTGTGAGAGTAAAATTAACTTACCTATGGGATTGGAAACTTTCAGAATAAATGAGAAATTGAAATAGGTTCTAAGTGTTTCTTGAATGAACTGGACTTTGAAACTCCATGAGCTCTGTGGCCCATGCGGTTCCATCGTGTCTCCTGTGTGCTTGGTGCTCTGTGATTAGCTTCCTGGAGCAAGTCACAGAGCCACCTTCTCACATTTTCCTGCTATAAACACTGTGTATATAATTCCATTCCTTTGGTAATCACATCTACATCCTGTTACATGCCAGCACAACAAACACAGTTAGCTTTTTTAAAAATGCATTTATTCCTAAAATTGTATGACAGTAACAATTCCCAAAAGATCATTAAATGTATATATGAAACACATTTAAAATTTATCTTCATTTCCCTAATGTAATAGGACAGTAAGCTGTTGTAAAAGTATAAAATAATGCTAGACCTTTTTTTTGGCAGGGGGTTACCAGGGATCGAACTCATGATCTCACACTTGCCAAGCAGGCACTTGTGCCACTAAGCTAAATCCTCAGCCCCAAGACCATTTTTTAAAAATTCTGTATCATATTCCATGAAATATTTGTACATAGTGGGCATTTGGTATTAATGGGTTCCAAATTGGTGGATTCAACTAACGAAGATTTGAAAATATTCTGGAAAAATAAGCCTTATGCCTGTAGTAAACATGTACAGACTTTTGTTTGATTCTGTCTTCGTTTGGGTCATTGTTCCTTAACAATACAGTGTAAAACCATTGACATCCTATTTACACTGTATTAGGTGCTAAGTTTTCTAGTGATGACCTAGGGTATACAGGAGAACGTGGCTGGGTTGGATGTAAATACTGCCTTTCAGCACTTTACATAAGGGACTCAAGTGTCACAGACTTGGGTATCTGCAGTGGGAGGTGGGGCTAATCCTCTGGGAATGACTAGAATTTTTTAATACTGCTTGTTAGCATGCGTAGTCCTTATTGGGCCTAACTGATGGTGATTTTTCTCGTATCCTTTTCAGGGTTTGACCACTGCCACCCTGAGGTGTATGAACATTGTAAACGCCTGCTTCTGCACTTACTAATAGTGATGGGACCCAACAGTAACATCCGAACTGTTGCTTCTGTCCTTCTCAGGAACAAGGAGTTTAATGAGCCCAGGGTGCTTACAGTCAAACAAATTGCACACTTAGATTACACTTTCACAGGTATTAAAAGCATAACTGTTCATTAGTTTGGATTCTTGCACCAGGGAAACTCAACTAAATAAAGGCTGAAATACCAGAGTCCACTTGGAAAATGTATTACATGAAGTGCCACTTACATTTTTACAAATCAGTTAAAGAATGCATTACACTGAGAATAGTTGAGCCTATATTGCCCTTAAAAATCTTGACACACAAATTTTAAATTTCCCATTTCATATACGTAAGTTGAAGATAAAGATTGCTTAATTTATTGTGAAAAAGGTGGTTTTAAATTAGATTCTTCTTACAAGATCTGTAAATTGACAAAATTGGGTATTTGAAATTTTTTATTCATTTGACTGTGTTTGTTACATTTAAAATATTATGATCCAGGACCAGCCATAGTGCTGTACACCTATAATTTGAGCACTTGGGAGGCTGAGGCAAGAGGATCGCCACAAGATTGAGGCCAGCCTGGCCTACACAGTAAGTTCAAGGCCAGCCTAAAGTAACTAAATAAAATGAGCTGGCCATTGTGGTGCACATCTATAATCCCAGCACTCAGGAGGATATGGGGATCAGGGTGAGTTTGAGGCCAGCTTGGGTTAACAATGACTTCAAGGCCAGCCTGGACTACGTAATGGAATACTCAAACAAAAAAAAAAAAAAAAAGAAAGGAAAGAAGGAAGAAAAGAAAAGGACTGGCAGGTGTTAAATATTTTGAAGTAATGAAGTCTAAATTAATGGAAATTTAATATAAAACTTATTTCATTGTCAATATTTTTTACCTTGAAAGTGATACTAGCTTCTTTCCTAACAGCCCTAACCTATTCATTCCTCTCATTAGTACCATCAGGTTAATAACAGATGACCTATATAATTAGTTTTAGAAATTGAAATAAAGCTACATTTTTTCTAATCCAGTGTCAGATATGGAATTAATAAATTTTTTCAGTTACTTAATTTTTTTTTTTTTGATACTTGGGATCAAACTCACAACCTCAAACTTGCCAGGCAAGCACTTGTGCTGCTGAGCTAAATCCCCAGCCCCATTCAGTTACTTAATTTAAACCCTTTTATTTACTTAAAATTAGCTAGCTAGTAAGAAAAGAATTATTAGGCCGTTTCTTAGTGGGGTTTTTTTTGCTTATTTTTGCCTTACTAGAGATTGAACCCAGGGCCTCCTGCAATGTACTAGCTTTCCAAAACAGTGGTTAAAAGAACACAGAGCTTGGCATGGTGGCACTTCCCAGTAATCCCAGCATGCAGACCAAAGCAAGAGGATCACTATTTGGAGGCCGGCCAGGGCTAGAGGAAAGAGTATCTCAAAAAACGAAAACAAGACAGAATAAAGTATACTGTTTTGTTTTGTTCTTTTTTTTAATGTTAAAGCACCTTTATTCAAAATTTCCTAATTTTTTGTTTGTTTTTAAAGTTTCCTTTTGCCATTTTGCAAATAAGAGTGCTGATAATAACTTTTAACAATATTTGTTTAATGACTGACTGACTTTAAATATTACAAATAGACATCGAAATAGCTTTTTCAAGTAAAATGAAACAGAAATGATAGTGTCCTTTCCACAAGAAGCTGAAACACAGTTCACATTACTGAAATGTGACAGATTTAGTGAGACTATGCCCAGATCTCTGGAAGTTGCCACTTTGAGTTGTGTTCGGCAGGTGGCAGTAGAGGACCATTGTGCATCCAGCAAGCTGAGTTTGGCGGCGGCCTGTGGAGTCGGTGCCAATCTCCAAACATTTGCTCACTGCAGCCTGCTGATTCCAAGCTGTGTCCTGTAATCTCTCAGTGGCAACACATCGTTAGACTCTGGGTTTTATACTCTTTACTGAGCAGATATTCATGACATGCTTTCTCTTCCAGCAGGCATTAACGATTTTATACCTGATTACCAGCCCTCCCCTATGACCGACTCAGGGCTTAGCTCAAGTTCTACCTCTTCTAGTATCAGCTTAGGAAACAACAGCGCTGCCATCTCGCACCTGCACACCACCCTCCTCAGCGAGGTGGACATCTCAGTGGAGCAGGACGGAAAGGTCAAAACTCTCATGGAGTTCATTACCTCAAGGTACTTGCAGCTCCGGGCCTTCCTGCAGGGTTTGTGCTGTGCCATTCTTTGACCAACCAGCTCTCCATGCTGGGTTTTTGTTTTCCTGAAATGCCTTTGATTTGAAACACAGGAGTTTGTAATGTTCAGTATTTTGAAGATTTTGATGCATCCAGACTTTAGTCTTGCATGAGTGCAATTATACCTGAGATAACTGAATCATTCCTGCCTATCAAATACCCAGAAAGAATAAGTTATCAGGATATATAATACCTTGTTTTCATTAGCTATATTATCAGTCAGCTATCAAGTACTTATTCATGGCCTACTGTATGCAAGGTGCTCTAGGTGGAAAAGGAAAATACTGTAGGAAAGGTGTGATGTCCTACAGTAGGGGCCAAGTTGCAGGGCCATGAGAAAGGAAAGCATCTTTGGGGTTGGAGATTTAGCTTAGCAGCATAAGTGCCTGCCTTGCAAATGTGTGGTCGTGAGTTCGATCCCCGGTACCGATAAAAAAAAAAAAAGACAAAAAAAGAAAAGAAAAGCATCTTTGAAAATCCCTCCTCCTGACCATCATACTCAGAGAAGAGAATGTTACTAGGCAATGCGATAAACTTTGGGAGAATGCAACCAGGGTGCCATGGGACCCAGGCCTGTGCTTGTAGATTCGGTGGCAGAGCACGCACCCCACATACATGAAGCTCTGGGGTCAGTCGATCCCAGCACAGTACCCACACATGCACAGACCATTGAGTACATGGGGTGGGCAGAGGCATAAGCTGATAAATACATGAATAAAATCAGCCTCAGCAGTGACCACGATGAATAGAGATGGAAATGTGCCCGTGCAAAAGTTTCAAGGGTTTCAAGGGACTCTGAACTAGTGGTGAGAAGCAGTCTAACTCCTCAGGTGTTGGCCCAGAAAATGTGAAAACATTTTGAAGAATCAGGAAGATATAGTACTGAACCCTAAGGTTCTCCTGTAGTTTTATTTTATAAAGTTTACTTTCATTGCATTCAACCAGCAAGTTACATAGTAACCACTATTCTTTCTCAAAATTTATCATTTTCTAACTACATCTGAGAGAATTTGCCTATAGCAACTACAGCCGTTGAAGTTCAGTCTTCATCTGCTCTGTGTGGACCGTTTCACATCCGTGCACAGGACCCTTGTAAATGGTGACCTGTGACGTGACTTACCTACTCCCTTTCTAATGATAAAGGTACAGCCTACGCAGGCGTGAATAAAACTTCATGCAGGTTAGAAACAAGGAACCCTATCTGCTCTCCTTTTGCAGGAAAAGGGGACCCCTTTGGAACCATGAGGATGTTTCTGCCAAGAATCCCAGCATAAAGAGTGCGGAGCAGTTAGCTACATTTTTGAAACACGTGGTTTCTGTTTTTAAACAATCAAGCCCAGGTATCTTTTAATCAGTATTTTAGATCATACTCAGTTTCAATGAGATATTTTTAATGTGATGTTGAAATTTCAGTAATACTTGGCTAAAAGTTAATAGTCAGTGTCTACTGTGTTAGAAAGTTTTTCTTTTTTAACTTGTTAGTGAATCTATTTCAGTTAATGAAAAATTAAGTGACTACTTAAAAATAAGAATTCTATCTTTTCAGTTTGAGGCGTCTTAGTTTTGTGTGTGATACCATAAATTATAATAATAGGTTGTGGGAAAACTGAATTAAAGGGAGACACATAGAAATGATCGATTTAAAAATTACTTTTTTATCACGAAGTCCTCTACAGTCAGTCTAATAACACATCCTGGTGATTATTGTAAATATGTGTATACAGAGCAGTGGTTTTGCTTCTCAGGAAACATTTGACAATGTCGCAGCATTTCTGTACCAATTTCACAGTGGGGCCAAGAATTTGCTACTGGTATCTACTGGGTAGAAGCTAGGGACAGTGCCCTGCACCGCCTAAGCCAAAATACAGTTGTGCCGCGGCTGAGGAACTGTGGTCCCGAGAATTGCTTGGCAATCAGAATGAAGAGCTGTCTGACATGTGAATGGGGTTTAGTTAGAGAACATACAGTGACTTACACAACTTAAGCACCTGTCCTGTGGCAGTGTAGCGTGCGGGGTACTGCTATACGGTGGTTAGTGAGTCCCGATTATAATCTCCTGTATCCTGTAAAAACCAGCCTCTTCCTCCTTGTGTCCTTCGTCCTCACAGAAGGAATTCATTTGGAACATCACCTTAGTGAAGTTGCTCTGCAGACCGCACTTTCTTGTTCTTCTCGACACTATGCCGGGAGATCCTTTCAGATTTTCAGGGCCCTCAAGCAGCCCCTTTCTGCAACTATGCTTTCCGATGTTCTCTCCAGACTCGTAGAAACCGTCGGAGATCCAGGGGAGGATGCACAGGTATCTCATTCCATTATTTCAGCAACTTTTGAGCAGCAGCAGGCAGTCACAGACTCACCGCTAAATACAGATCACTGTAGCCAGAGCAGGACACTAGTCACACCAGTGTTAGTGTCACGTTAGCGAGCAGGCAAAGAATTAAGGGACAAAGTTGTGTAACTAGTATTTAATAACTTACTATTTAGATCAAATACTTTAGCGCTATCAGAAAAAGCTTCACAGACATACTTGGATATTATCCCAGGATGACTACAAGGTAAAAGGCTAGCAAGTTAAATGTAAAATGAAGCATCCATTTTCATATTTATGGATATAAGAGAACTTAGGGTTGTACAGACTGCTGGTTTTATCAGCACTGTCCTAGACGCTAGGGATGTAGTGGTGAATCAAATTCCTGGTGTTCTACAGTTGTATTCTACTGGGGCAAAGAAGGTTCTTTGAAGTCTACCAATAGCATGTGACACAGTTTTACTTAGTGATAGTAAGATAGAGTACAGCATTAAACAGCAGGGGCAGAAGAAGGGGTTGTTTTATGTATACCCTAAGAAGTGATTTTTGAACATGTGCTGAAATGAGCCAGGTCCTATGATGATCTGGGGAAAGAACATTGCAGGCAGAGGAAAACTGTAATCAGCGCCAAGTCTTGAGGCAGAGACTGTAGGCTTTTTTGAGGAGTGTCTTAAAACTCAAAGGGGTTGGAATATGCTGAGGAGAGGGCAGGAGGCAGGTCCAGATCATGTAAGGCTTAGTGGGCCCAAGTGAGAGGTTTAGCTTTGCTCTGAATTGATGGGATGTTGCTCAGAGGTTTTGAGAGACAGAAACTATAAGTGATTGGCTTTTGTGAAACCTCTTCCAGGTATCTGGGGAGGAGAGGAGCAGAAGCAGAAGGGTTGGTTAAGTTACTGTGAGGGTCCACCCGAAAGAGAGATAGGGCAGTTAAGTTAGATTAAGGGAAAGTTTGGAGAAAAATCAGATGTAGGACCACTTTTAATGTGATGTTTGGATTTCAGTTTAGATATAAAAGAAACAAACAAGGACTCCTAGACTTCTGACTTACGTAATTTTGGGTAAATGGCCAGGCCATTATAATCAATTTGTACCATTAGTGTGATGAGTTTTCATCAGTCAGCCTGGTCATGTTGCTCAGAAGTGTAATCATTTTGTAATATTAATGTGTTTGTTTTATTTTTAAATCTCATTGGGAACTCCATTGCAGTTTCTTCTTTTTCCAGAGCATAATTAATTGAAATCTGCCCTTTTCCTGCAGGGATTTGTGATTGAGCTTCTTCTCACCTTGGAATCTGCAATTGATACTTTGGCTGAAACCATGAAGCATTATGATCTCCTTTCTGCCCTTTCTCAGTAAGAGTTGAAACCAGACAACCTATTGGAATACAAAACTCCAGTAGCTAAATGCATGTCACCATAACATTGTATTTTTCTGATATTAGCAATGAGAAAACTATCGCTCAGATAAGAAGGGTTACCAATGGAAAATGGGTATCAGACAGCAAGGCCCTCTAGAAAGTTCCGCAGCTGATTTTGTCAGTGCTCTTCCAGTGTCCTGGTCAGAGGTCTTTCTGCTGAGCCCCATTTCTGCTGCATCACAGTCCTGTTGCTCCCTGAGTGACCCATCAAGACACTCACCTGTTACAAATTGTTCCTTCCCCTGGAGCACCCACTTCTTACACTTACCTGCCTTTCCAACTGCAAATTAATTTCTCCTCCTTAATGTCACCTCCAAGCAAGACATTTCTAACTCCCTTAGGGTACTACTGTTCTAGTAATGGGGTTATCACGGTGTTTTCTTTGTATTTTACTAATAACAGTTAACAGGGTATAAATTTATCCATTTTCATACATATCTGTCCCCAGAAGACTTCAATATTTCTAGGCTCTTGTGTACTGCTGGCACATATAGAAGGCATTCAGTAAATATTTTTTAATCAATGATAGTTGGATATAAAGACAAAGGAGAAGTCAAAAATAAATTTTTGAGCTTGGTTCTTTTGCAAAGAATGTACCATTAAAGAGAAGGGATGTCAGGACCATAAAGTCCGAGAATAAGACTAAAGAGGTTCGCTTTGGACATAACGTGTGTGTCCCAGATCTGAAAGTTCTTTGTGATCACTACAGCAGAATTTCTCACCAAATCTAACCTCGTGCTGCTGTCTCAAAGCAAATAGCCCTAGTGGGAAAGGCACTATTGTTTGTTTGCTTTAGAGGCAGAACTGAAATGTAATCAAAATATCAGATATACTGAAACCTGATTTTTCTGGCAACAGTTGTTTTCCAGTGTTCATTAGTGAAATTAATGTAACAAACGTGGCTGGAGAGTACGTTCATCTTTTCTTTCCTTTTTTGTTTAAGATCCTCATATCATGACCCGATAATGGGAAACAAGTTTGCAGCTAACAGGAAAAGCACTGGACAACTCAATCTCAGCACAAGTCCCATTAGTAGTAGCAGTTATCTGGGGTACAACAGTAATACAAGAAGCAACTCTTTGAGATTAAGCTTAATGGGTGACCGCAGAGGTGACCGCCGGCGGAGCAACACACTGGATATAACAGATGGACGGATAAACCACAGCGGTAGCTTGGCAAGGACTAGAAGCCTTTCCTCTCTCCGAGAGAAGGCCATGTACGATGTGCAGTCCACTACTGAGCCCACCAACTTGATGGCCACCATTTTTTGGATAGCAGCGTCTTTGTTAGAATCAGATTATGAATATGAATACCTCCTGGCTCTCAGGCTCCTCAACAAACTGCTTATCCATTTGCCATTGGATAAATCAGAGAGTCGAGAGAAGATTGAAAATGTTCAAAGCAAACTGAAGTGGAACAATTTTCCAGGCCTTCAACAGCTCTTCCTTAAGGGTTTTACCTCAGTATCTACCCAAGAAATGACCGTCCACCTCCTCAGTAAACTCATCTCCGTCTCCAAACACACATTGGTGGATCCTTCCCAGTTGTCAGGTGATGTTCATATAATTGCACTGATATTAATATGTAACTAATAGAATTACATTTTAATGGAGTTGAAATGTACACTAGTCATTTGTTTTGAAATCTACTAATTTCTGCTTTTCTTGAATGACAGTTCTTTATACTATATAATTTAGTTTAAATTACTTGGTAAAGGCAATAATAGGATTTAGAAGATGAACTACCCCAGGAAATGAAAGAAGATGTTTACTGCAAATTGTTTTTTAAAACGCCTTATAAGGGGCCAGGGATTTAGTTTAGGGGCATCAGTGCCCGCCTGGCAGGTGTGAGGTTGTGAGTTCGATCCCTGGTACCAAAAAAATAAAGAAAATGCCTTTTAACTTTTAAAATGGTGTGCAATTAAATTGGTTATTGTTTGCTGTTTTTGTTTTGATAGGATTTCCTCTTAACATCCTTTGCTTATTGCCTCACTTAATCCAACATTTTGACAGCCCAACCCAGTTTTGCAAAGAAACAGCCAGCCGAATAGCAAAGGTAAGCGATTGTTGTGCTGTGCTGCAGGGTAACTGTAGGGACTTCAGTCTGCAGTTGATCTTACAGGGGAAACCTCTTTAAAGATCCTCTTCCGTCACTTCCCAGTGGGAATTTTGCTTCTGTTTGTTCAGTTCACACATACATAGCACTCACATAGGAATGTAAATCACAACTACCCAAGTGACAGTGAATAAAATTCAGTAGAGTCACACTCTGAGTCTTGAGTCTTTTCTGCTCTTCTTCCCTGCTTTCTCTTTATCTGTCAGTTCCTCATCCATCCCTTGATTTGCTGCCACGGGAACACAACAGTAAGCCACATAGGTAGAATACTGGGCTTGTGGACCTCCGAGTAGGAAACACAATCTGGGAGGAGGGCAGACACCCGAGTCTGGTAAGGAACCGTCAGCAGGAGGGAGGGACCTTCTGGGAGCACACAAAGCCTAGAGGAGGTCTCGCCTGAGCTGACCACAAAGGCTGAATAGGAGCAACCAAAGTCAAGATGCTGGGTAAAGGGCCAAGACTGGGCCAAAGGTGTGAGTTTCCTAGACAGCATAAATGACATGTACAAAGGCCCTGGGGAAGAAGAATTATTTCGGGGTTTAGAAAGTGTGCTTTTCCTTTAAATTTGCCTTTTTTTCCTTGTAACATTTCTTCTGTTCATCTCTCTGCTCCCTCCATGCCTTTTTCTTTGACTCTTTCCCTCCCATTGTACAGTACTGAAAACAGTAGGAAAGTTATTTCAGAAACTGTTAACACCTGTTTTAAAATGTTAGTATCTTAGCCGGGCATGGTGATGAACTCCTGTAATCCTATCACTTGGGAGGCTGAGACAGGTGGATCGTTGCAAGTTCAAGACCAGCCTGGGCTACAAAGTGAGCCCATGGTCAGCCTGAACTGCATAGTGAGACCCTGTCTCAAAAAAAAACAAAAAACAGTTAATTTGAGAAGAATATGATGTAGGCATTTTATATTTTTAATAATTCTCTTAACAATAAAGAACTGGCCTTTTTAAACACAGTTCTTAATTTTTAAAAATCTGGTCACTGATTGAGTTTTAGAGGACAAAGGGGCTTTTGAGAATGAAGTTGAACAGTTACAAGAGGAAGTTATATAAATTTAAAAGTAACATACAGACAGCCGAAAAATAAGTGGACGAAGGCAGGATGGGGGAATAGCCACATATTTAGAGAGCCTTCCCAAGCACTGGGAGGAAAAAGCAAATTTTCATCAGAAGGGAGTAAAATAATGCAGTTTTGGGGTGAGCTTTTTACATAAGCAATTTTTTAAAAAACAGAGTGGGGATAACAAGTAGCAGAGTAAATAAAATGAGCAAGTGTGCCCCTGTCTTTCCATGGCCCTAATAAGTACAGATTTACCTGTGGGTATCGAGGTCATGATAAAATGCAGTAACCAGTAACAAGAAAAATACGCTATTGAGTCAATCCCTAAATAAGTTAGATAAGGAGAAGTTCTTACCTGATCATTTTAAAGCTCATAATTGAAAGGAACAGTCATTATTTATAGTCAGTAGAACTGTATCTTAATTTCTTAAAAGTGGTGGGGGAAGGATAAGCCAAAAGTTGTCCCTTAGTTTTGATTATATTTAATAAATCCAATAGAACATTAACTATTAAATGAGAACCTATGTTTACTTGAAAATTATTGTTTGTATTAAAAAAACTAACTGTACCTGTAGTATTTGCACTAAGATTTAAAAGTGATGCAAAACAAAATTTATTAGAATAATTTTCATTTTAAATATTCTGATATAGTTAAAAAATGTTATACACAAGAATCTCCCCCATAAGGGTTAGAGTATATGAAAGAAAAATGAATATTGGTTTTTATTTGGCCTGTCAAAAAAACAAAAAGCACAAACACTCACGTAGGGGAAGTAGAGCTTTAGCCGTGCTGCCTGTGTGGCCCTGGGGTAACCAGGGAGCTCGGCCAGGCCCCAAGAATGTCACAGCCCCTTGAGTGTTAAGCTGCTGATACCACATCAGAGAAAGAGAAATATCCAAATATCTTTTTCGTTCTTAAGAAATCAAACAGATGGCTATGTGGGTAGGTGGGTGTGGCTCGGTGGAGGAGGGCTTACCTAACAGTTCACAAGACCCCAGGTTCAGTGCCAGCACTGAGGAAGGAGGGAGAGAGATCCATCAGTCAATCAAATAGAACCTTCTATGATTCATAAATTGTTTTTTAGTCTGCTTTCTTCCTGTTGAGCAGCATACAAAGGTTCCCTCTCTGTGTGCTTTTAGCAACCTGCAGGATGTGAATGAAATTATTCCTTAATTATTCTCTCACTTATAACTGTTGAGAGTAATTTTCTGCCATTATGTACTTCCTCATTATGCAAATATCACTAGTTGTGCTGTTTGCTCCCATGGAGAACACAGAATTTCAAAATGAGGCAAGTATTTTTTTCTTTCCTTAGGGCAAAAATAGTATTCTAAAAAAAAGTTTATCATAAAACCTTTTCTTTGGATCATATTTTAAACTGGTAATTCAAAGGTTTTAAAAAATTCTTTGGGGGAAAAAAATCTTCCTGTAAGTTTTATGGGTAGTTGACTAACATATGAAGTCAGCTGCTAGTTTGTTTGTTTTTTGAGATAGCATCTCACTGTGTAGCTCAGCCTATTCAACTTGTGATCTTCCTGCCTCAGCCTCCTGAGGACTGGCCACCATGCCCTCCAATGACCTCAAATGCTTCCAATGGTTTTGTAATTTCCATGGCACTGTGTTACTAGACTCCACAGTCTTGCATGTGTTTATATCTCAGGCCAGTCCAGTTATAATGTCTAAACAGTGAACTTGATTGACACCTTTCAAGTCTGTAAATGTCTTCAGAGATATCAAAGTAGAAGTTGTATTTATTTGAAAGTTGTATGTACAAATACATGTGCATAGTACTAATAAAATAATAGCCTGACTTCTCCACTGAAAGTTCTATGCACTTAGGAAAACCTGCAAACCATCAGGGAAATAGAAGACTTAAATGAGGAAATTAAAAAGAAAACTGACAGGGCTGGAGATTTAGCTCAGTGGCATAAGTGCCTGCCTTGCAAGCAGGCAGTCGTGAGTTTGATCCCTGGTACCGATAAAAAAAGGAAAAAGTAAAAAAAAAAAAAAAAAAACTGACAGCAGAAATTACAATGAGGCTAACATTTCATGATAAACAGACATGGAAGATACACATGGCCCTGTTGCAGTTCTAAAAAAGACTAAGGAGTACTCTTACTAACAAGAAACAGAGACTAAAAGGTCCAGTCAGTCATAGATCCCCGCCAACATCTGCTGGCCCAGAAACCTACAGCAAGCCAACTTGGAGAAGTCCACACGTGTTGGAGTGGCCCAGCAGCGGGAGCTCCAGCCTGCAGACTGTCATCCATGGAGATGGAGGACTCTTCTGTCAGGGTTCAAGGGAGTCCTCTGCCTGCATCACACACCCTGAGCCTCTCTGCTGCTGGCTGCTCCACTGAGAAGCCTTAGGCAGGATGCAGACAAAGCAGTTCCTGTCTGACGCAGCCACTCTGAGTGTCCCTAACAGCCCTTGTGTGGAGCTGGCCTCTTCAGGCCCTTGTGCAGTGAGCTGTGTATATGTTGCAATTAGTTTACAAGATGGTATGCAGGGTTTACAAAATCATAGGTTAGTTTTTACCCTTTAAAGAGGGTCACAGGGCATTGGACTGAAAAGAACCATACTGTTTAGGATATGTGGTAATACTAATCCTCTTTTCGTCGTATCTAGTGTTCTTAAGAACAACATCCTCTTTCTTCCTCTATTTAACTTTTCTACTATATTGAAGTAAAATGTAGAAAATTTAAAGTATATCAAAAGTATTTGATTAAATAAATGCATTTAACATAAAATCCGATTTAAACTTTTATCTTCATTTTAGGTGAATAATTGTATTTATTTTCTAGGTTTGTGCGGAAGAAAAATGCCCCACACTCGTGAACCTGGCTCATATGATGAGTTTGTACAGTACACACACGTATTCCAGAGACTGTTCAAATTGGATCAACGTGGTGTGCAGATACCTGCATGATTCCTTCTCAGATACAACATTTAACCTTGTGACTTACCTTGCAGAGGTAAATTTACATATTTTCATTTTTGACTGCTTTGTGGCAAAATCCTCAGGTGAATTTATCTCAAGCAACAGCACTACTGTACTAATGGTCAAATTATTTTTTAGTATGACTAGAGATGACATCTTTTAAAGATAGATAAATAGGTAGGCAGATACAGTAAAGAAAGTTTTTCCATGTCCCGTGTGTATTTATTTGCTGCTCTTAAATGACATAAAACACTAAACAATGTAAATTTCCCTGTATTTAATATAAAGTGAGTTTTTTGATCCTAGAGAATGGTTATGATTTTTGTCTTTAAAATCTAGTTCGAGATACTTTTCCAGAAAAATATTGCAATACAAAAAAGACATTGATGGATAAATTTTTATTTTGACAATATGATTGTTTCTATCTAAAATACAATTTTGAGGGACAAAAACTGAATTACAAAAATGAAGCCCTAGATCTGCATGAAGAGTTAACATTGATTCATCCAAAGTAACTTCATGGCTAGAAACCTAACCTGCTTAGTAAGTCACCACAAAGAAAATCTTAAATGAAAGGAATTCCTTGTCACTCTTATAATAAAATAATCCTTTCCTTTTAAATGTCAGCCCCAGGAAGTTAGGCATAAAACAAGCTTGAAAGAAATTATAACCAACTAAATATTACTGATACTACTATTTTAAACTTGGCTACGTCACTGTTGTTAGCTGTCATAAAAGGTGTCAGAACTGATAAATTCTTTAAAAGCCTGTTTGCCACTGTCGGCTTTATACTTCAGTAAACTAACAGGGTGAGCTGCGTGCCAGGCCGCTTCTTGGCCTGACTGAATCTGCCTGTCCTTGATTTATGTTGTACAGATAGCTTCAGGGTGAGAACCAGCATCAAACCAGGCCTAGCTGCCGTACTCAGCTTTGAATCTGGGCACCTTCATCCAGCTTCAGACACCTGCCACCACACAGCTCACCCCAAGGCAGCACCAGCCTGCAGGGTCCATTGCAAGGTCCCAGAGCATCTCACACATGGGCACCATTGTCCCTCGATCTAAAAGGAATGACTTTGGCTCATCTAAATTATCAGTGTAATCGGGCAACAGTATTAAAACACATATATTTAAGATAACATATCTTTAATTTAGTCTGCCCTACAGACCCTTATGAGGTAGGTAATATTGATATTGTATACCTTAAAAAAATTAAACTGGGCCAAGGATATAGCTCAGTGGCACAAGCACCTGCCTGGCAAGCACAAAGTTCTGAGTTTGAGTCTCAATACCAATACATACATTCATACACACATACATACATACATACAAACAATTAAAACTTAGGTTAAGGCAGTTGTACAAAATTACATACCTTATAAATGGCTGATATGATTGCTTTGTGAGAAGTTTATTCTTTGGTGGTGATGGTTTGGTGGTTTGTTTTTTTTTAACCTAAAATACATGCTACTTTGCTAAATTTGTTAAAGAACTAAAGATGAAAACTGATTATACATTTTTCTTGCTTGAACCAAAGAAAAAACAATAGTAGACATTACCTTTTGTTTCTGGACTTCTGACCTAACCATAAATTCATGAGTTAGACCTGTTACATTTTCCGCATTATAAATGTAAATACCATGCTTTTGTTCAACCTGATTAAACTCTACTTTTCAATATTAATTTTAGCTGTTAGAAAAAGGATTGTCCAGTATGCAGCAATCATTACTACAGATTATCTATAGTCTCTTGAGTCATATTGACCTGTCTGCAGCCCCAGCTAAACAGTTCAATCTGGAGATCATAAAGATTATTGGCAAATATGTACAGGTGAGTGACCACAGAATTTAGATATAATATTGTTTAGTTCAAAACAATTTATCATCCTAAAAACATAGAAACACCTAAATGTCCAAGAGTAAGGAAAAAAGTCACATTTTCAGGAATGTTTATGACGTGGAAAATGTATGTGATGAAGAAGCAGAATCTGACTGGTAAGTCAGGTGTGATTCCTACCTTAGATTCTAAGTTACAACTGTGAGTGTTTATTTTAGTAGTGACTGGGAGGATCATTCATACACAAATGGCAGTAGTTACCACCCTAAATTAGGACTGTGAGTCATGCTTTGTATCTGTTTGTTGACCAGAGTCTACATAATAAACAAATACTAGTTGTAAAAACAGAAGTCCTCTTTAAGAGTCTGTAATTTAAAAAAAGGTCTGTATTTCTCCTTAGTCATAACTTCATTAAATTAAGCTTTTTACAAGGATATGCTTAAAATATTACAACGTCATGTAGACCTTTGTATTATTATTTTGCAATTTGTATATCTTTGTATCAAGGTGTTAACTAAATTGCATAACTCTGTTGTGCCCAATATTTTTTCATTTTTTGTTTTGATAGTGTTTCCCTGTCTTAGTCACTTTCTCACTGCTGCTGGTCAGTATCCAGGATCAGCAATTAAAGAGACGCTTCTTCTGACTCATGTGTTGTTGAGGTTTCAGTCCGTAGGGGGCCATGTCCAGGGTAGAAGCCACAGGGTGGAGGGTCCTGCCCTGTAAAAGCTGTTCATATCACAGAGGCCAAGAAACAGAAGGGAATGGTGGGGAGAAAGAGTCCTCGTGGGTCATCCCTAGTGACCACTTCATGAGCACAGCCTATGAACAAGAGGCTTTTTGGAGACATTAGGTGTAAACCAAAACACGCCCTCAGATGTCCACCATGTATAATACCTGTTAAGATTATTTGAGTACCATAAATTTTTTTAAAGTAATTTCTTCTATGTGTTATTTTCAATAGATGGTAAAAGAAAAATACTGTGTTTTATATTATGCATTGATTCTTCTCCATATGTACATTTACCATGTAAATCATTCTCAAATTATGTTGGTGGGAGCATACAAAACAAAAAGAAGAGAAAAAGATCTCAATGTTCATACCCACAATGCAAGGGAGAAACAGTCCAATCTATGCAACGCCATAATCCCTGAGAGTATCACTTTAGCACAGGATGTGGCTCCTAGAGCATCAAGAAGCAAAGTGAAAAATATGTTTTGATATTTGATATATTTATGTTTAAAAAGGAAAGTATATATAAAAAGTTTTTACCTATATGACTTAATATATTTAAATTTTAGTCTTAAAATCATAAAGTTGGTTCTTCCGGAAAGTTCACACATACTGTGCAATCCTTATTTGCCACTCTTGCCAGATTCCTGGATTAGCCTTCTAATTTAATAGTTATAAAACACTTACTCAAAGACAATCCAGACGTTTCAACTTGGTAGTGTTCATTAGGAATATGGTGTCTGATAAACATAACAATATACACATTAACTTGTATTTTCTTTTATAACTTCTGACCTTCTGTTAAGAACCTCAAAGGAGAAGTCAATCATTTTTACAGATGTCCTATAGAAATAATATTTTCATATTTTATTCACTAAACTTCTGCTCTTAAACATGCATTTGTAACTTTTATATGTTGATTTTTTTTTTTAACTAGAGCCCTTACTGGAAGGAAGCCCTCAACATATTGAAACTGGTGGTGTCACGCTCCGCGAGTCTCGTTGTACCCAATGACATCCCCAAATCCTATGGAGGAGATATAGGTTCTCCTGAAATATCTTTCACTAAAATTTTTAATAATGTCTCTAAGGAGTTGCCTGGGAAGACCTTAGATTTTCATTTTGACATCTCTGAGGTAAGATGCCCAGGAATTTATACTCGTTTATTTATCTATTCTTTCATTCAGCCAGCATTAATTGAACTTGCGCTCATTGGTAACACTGTGATAGGTGCTATGAAAAGCCGATGGAGAACGGAAGAAAGTCTCACTGTTGGGAAGCTCTCGGTGTCACAGAGAAACGAATAAGCCTTGTGCTGAGTGCTTTGTCTGGAAATAAACCGAAAGTGCTATGGGAATATATAATGTTTCCGAGAAGGAGTTGTACCTGTGAATAGTCCGTGCAAAAGGGGACAACAGGTGCCCCAACAGAGGTCCACAGAACAGCATTATACTCAGGGAAGCAATAACCAGGGGAGATTTGCTGGAGAATGGAGCTCAGGAGGCATAGTTGTGATGTCTAAAGGTATAACCAAGAAGCACATCAGGAAAGAACTTGCGTGACATGCAAATGAGCTGGAGTTTTACTTTTAAATGTAAATTCAAAGCACTTTGCAAACTGTAAATGAGTTTTATATCATCATGGAATTACTGAAACAAAGTTATACATCCGTTGTAATCTGGATAGAAATTTTCCATTTTGAAGTGGTTGTTTTTAATGTTTGCTAAGGTAGCATTAGTGAAGCACACTTAATGATCTGTATCAAAAACCACTGAAATTTAACAAAAGTTAAATCTGAATGGTGAAATTATAGGTGATTTTTTAAAAAATTGTTTTTATGTTTTTTGAACTCTAAAAGGAAGTATATTTTATAATCATGTATAGTTTATAATCATGAGGAAGGAGACAAGCAGAGATGATAGTTTTTAAAGAAAGATATTTAAAATAGGAAAAAGTTCTAATCTCAGATTTGAAGTCATTATTACAAATAAAATCCAGTCTCAATGAAAAAACCTTTGGCTTTCATAACATTTGTTCTGCACTAAATAATCTCTCTCCTTATGTTGTATTTGTGGTTATAAAAAGTATCTTTATAGATATACTGTTAACCCTCCTAAGTTTTTCTGGTGTTAAAATATTTGCTAAAGTCAACACTGGTATTTCGTTTCCGTGTAGACACCAATCATTGGAAATAAGTATGGAGATCAGCACGGTGCGGCTGGGAGGAATGGGAAGCCAAAAGTGATCGCCGTCACGAGAAGCACCTCTTCCACGTCCTCCGGTTCTAATTCGAACGCCTTGGTTCCTGTCAGTTGGAAAAGGCCACAATTATCACAGGTACATAAGAACATCACGATTGAACACTTACAGAATAAGTTTTGTTAGATGTATGAAAACTTTAGTGTTTGTCTCATTTTATCAGCAATACTAATATTGAATTTCTTCTCTTTAGCGAAGAACAAGAGAAAAGCTAATGAATGTGCTTTCTCTCTGTGGCCCAGAATCCGGGCTCCCAAAGAATCCTTCTGTAAGTAATTATTAACACAAGTTAATGCAAAAACCATGTTCTTTCATAAAGGATTTATTCTGTTTCCCTGCTTTTCTAACTTAGTCATGGTAGTATCTAAGAAAGCGAAAAACAATTTAAAAAAGAAAACTTTCTCGGTTGTGATACCTGGTGGCTGAGCTACGTAAATACTCAGCTAATGAGCGGTGAAGGTCAGTGGTCAGCTCTGAATGCATGGAAGGTTGAGGCCTGCAGTGGCTCTTGAAGCTCTGAAATCTCAAGCAGAGTGACAAAGCTGATGGATGGACTCTTTTTTTGTTTTTTTGGTTGTTTGTGTGGTATCAGGTTGTATTTTCTTCTAATGAAGATTTGGAAGTCGGTGACCAACAGACTAGCCTAATTTCTACCACAGAGGACATAATTCAAGAGGAAGAAGTAGCCATAGAGGACAACACAAGTGAACAGCAGTTTGGTGTTTTTAAGGATTTTGACTTTTTAGATGTTGAGTTGGAAGATGCAGAGGTAAGAATGCGGGCTTTTTATATTTTTTATAGTATAGTTACAAATGTTTTCCAGACCATGCTTATTAATTTCAGTATAGGCTCCCAAAAGTAAAAACCTAAATTAGAAATTAAATATAATTATTACGGTTGGTCAGTAGCAGAAGAACTAAAGGAGGAATATTCAACTTTTCATCTTTATCTTTAACCTTTTTTTCTTGGCGGGGCGGGGGTGGTCTCTTTGAGAAGTATCTCACCTTGCAGTTCATTGATCTCATTTTGTAGCCCAGGCTGGTCTTGAACTTGCAATGATCCTCCTGCCTCAGCCTCTCGAGTGCTGGGATTATAGGCATGTGCCACTACACCCGGCTATCCTTATCCTTAAAACTAGAGTAAAAACAGATTTCTTCAAAATATTTTTAAGGTTCTAAACCTTTTCAAGGTTCTATATAGATTTTAACTTTCTGTATGAGTTATGCAAATTAATTTGCAGGAAAATAGTAAAAAGTATATCTATTAAGTTGAGCAAACATAATTGTAAAGAGGGTGACAGTTGTCACTAAACTGACTGTCACACAGGCTTTGGCTTTCTACAGCTCTGCCCTCTAGTTGCCTGAGATTCTCGCTGACCACATTCCTCTTTATAACATAACCAGCTCTCAGTGCCTCTTTTCTGGCTACGTAAAGAGCTTTCTCTGCAGCATGAAAGGCAGAATTCAGCATGTATTTAGTATGGCTCGCAGAGATCTTGGCTTCAGCAGCACGATGCCTGTCATTGTTGGGTGCCACCACAGATTTGCCGTCTCCGCCCCCACCCCCCCACAAGCATTTGGAGGAAGTGAAGGCTGCCTCCAGGAATGGGCTCAGGAAAATAAAGAAGCTGCTTTCCTAAATGCTCTTAGCAGATTTCTTGCATATTTTCTTGTTCCTAGTTGAGACACATACCAATCTCTAAAACAGTTACTACGGCGAGCGTAATAGGACTGTCCTGTTGTCTTAGGCAGTTAGGAACCCATTCCTATAGATGAGGTCAGAAACTGCATTCCAAAATTGTTGTAAATGCCTACATGTGAGAAGACTAAAATGCTGTTATATCATTGATACGTATTTTTCTGTAGAATCAGAATTCAGCTAACATGCAGCCGTCAACTCTCTTCAGGAAATCTTTTTTTTTAGTGCTGGGGACTGAACCTGGTGTCTTCCCACTGAGCTACGTTTTCAGCCCTTTTCTGTTTTGAGAGAGGATATTGCCAAGTTTCCTGTGCTAGGCTTCAATTTCAGATCCTCCTGCCTTGGCCTCCTAGACATCTGGAATGGCAAGAGCACCCACGCTGCCTGGCCAGCTAAGGGGGTGTTCCTTTTGGCTCTAATAAGTGATGTGGATGAACTGTGCTGCCCCACACCACATTACACTGCTAGCTATTAGGAGACTAGGGAGGTGAGATTCCCCCTCCTCAGTGAGCTCCTGTCTCCCCTGAAGATCTGAGAATAATCTCGGGGCTTGGTAGGCATACAGATGCTTTTCCCTGAGCTGGGGAGTATAGAGTTCCTGAGCAGTTCCTAGGAAGCCAAGGACAAGGGCTGTAGAATCAGCACCAGGTGATACAAATGCACAACTTCTTGAATTTTACCTCACATCCAAGCGTGTACATAGATACACCTTTAAAAACAGTTTCAAGAATACACATCATTACTCTGTGCTACTCCTGTAATGTCTTCTGTTCTTTTCCTTTTCATTTCTTCTCCCCCCCAAAAGTGTTTTTCATCATCCTGTGAAAGTGATTTTACACTTATCACTTAAAAAGTATATTGTAGAAAATAAAGCAGCCTTGCCCAGTGGGTTCCAATTCAGGAGACCTGCAGCCTCTCCTCTACCCCAAGTGATTTTTAAATTCTCCTGCAGTTACTTGTTTTTTTCAATTCAGAGTTTACATTTCTAAAGGGAATCTCGTTTGACATTTTGGTAATGGTAATTTTATTATTTTTTGTTTGCCTTTTCTTTATTAAAAGGGCACTGCAGATGCTTTCAAGTTCGTACAATACTCTAAAATGTCAGTGGTAATAAATACTGATTTTAGTAGGCTTTCGATCAGAATCGATTAAAGATACTTATTGAAGCTCTGTCTTTAACTCAAGTCACAGTAATTTGAGGATTTAACATAATTAAGCACATTATGTTATTTTTTATTTTTCAGTACTGGGAATTGAACCCAGGGTCTTTGCACTGAGTGGCCTCTCCATATATTTTTTAAAAGTTTTGAGATGAGGCCTCACTAAGTTACCCAGACTAAGCTTGAACTTGTGGTTCTCCTGCTTCAGCCTTCCAGAGTGCTAGGATTGCAGGCATAAGCTACTGTGCCTGGCTCAAATTATATGTATTTTCTGAAACCTAGAGGTTGTCTTTCTTAAAGCATAATAATAGGAAATAACTGACTAAAAAAGTAAACTTCATCATTAAAGAAACTTCTAATTTATCCTCCAACTTTGAAACCCCACAGAGTGTAGTCTTCTGTTTACCAAATATATTTTGAGAGTTATTGCCATTTTTCTGTGATGTGCTGTGTAATTATATTTGAAATGATATGTTCTAGAAATGTATAAGCTCTGACCTTCAGACCCCTAGAACTTCTAGGATACTTTGAGAAAGCCACAAAAAATACAAGAGCCAGATGGACAGAGTTCCTGGATCCCTTCTTCAACCTAAAATAGCTCAGGTTGTGCTTGAGTTTTGCACAATTGAAGTTTCTTTTGCTGTACTAAAAAGAAAAAAAAAAATTGAAAACCTCTATCTGAACAACTCTTTCCTTTGGAAAAGAACACAAATAAATCATACTTTGCTAGCTAACCAAGTATAATTTGCCATATCAGAGCAATTGTATCCTTACAAAAAGGAGGCTCAGTTTAGAATAATAGAAACATGTCTTACACAAATTGAGGTGAAATTGAAATAAGTCGTATTTTCTCTTGAGCTTTTGCAATTAGCAGTGGTTATGGGTTATGTTTTGATAGGTGTGATCTTGATTTTAAATTATTGTACAGTAAAAAATGGCCATTGCATTTAACCAAACCTACCCTACAAAATAAAATAATTGTGACCCTGTATGTTGTCAATTGAATGTGGATATTTTAAGTCAGTTTTTGCATTATACCAAGTATTAAATCCATGTAAAATTTGAAGATTTCCTTGGAGCTTGCATTGTTGAACTGTATCATAGAAACATTGTTTTAAGTGTCTGTCTCTGACTTTTTCACAGTATATTTTTGCATTTAAAAAGTACTTTAAGTCACATGTTGGCTGCCCGCAAAAAGCTTAATCCAGAGCTTGAATCAGTCTTTGGGCTTCAGAAATCACAGTTTTCCCAAAAAGTGTAGTGTATCTTTAAATGTTTGTCTTCGTTCTTTCTAATTCTGTGTGTTTTCCTTTTTGCTAACCAGGAGCTGCAGGTAAGTTGCAGCCTGGTGTTGTGTGATGTTTCTCTGTTGTTATCTGTGATGTACTTGTTCTCCTTGTGGTCACATTCATGTTTGTATATTAGTATAGAAATGGCCTAGAGTGTAGATTTAGTTGGTCCCCCAGTAATGCAAGATAGAGCATCAAGCAAATTACTTAGTGAAAACAGGTTATCAACCAAGTAATTTTGATCTCTTTAATATGACGATTTAATAATGTGTCAAAAGATTAAAGAAATTGACGGGCTGATTGAAACTCTGCTTTTGACGATACGTTCAGTATTTTTCATCTTGATCTGCTTTCCTGGCATCTTACATATACACTGGTAAGCATGTATTTGCAATCTTAGAAATCATGTCTTGCTTTTCTAGGGTGAAAGCATGGACAATTTCAACTGGGGAGTCCGCCGGCGCTCACTGGACAGCATTGACAAAGGGGACACCCCATCCCTCCAGGAGTACCAGTGCTCAAGCAGCACCCCCAGTCTGAACCTGACAAATCAGGAGGATACAGACGAGTCCTCAGAAGAGGAAGCAGCCCTCACTGCAAGCCAGATCCTGTCTCGCACACAAATGGTACCCTGCAGCCTTTGCATGCAGTGACAGTAGTCTTACTTAACTCTTTAGCTTGCAACTTAGGAATGCTTGTTTCTTGGTCTTTCAAATTTATTTCATTATGGGCAAAATATGCACAGAGAAGTGAACACCTGCAATCCCAGCAATAACAACATGTTCTGTTATTCATGACAGAACTAAATACGTGAGGTCAGTGTGTGTACCCATTAGCATCTAGGACACATTTTCTCTGGCTCCTCTCCTGATCATGGCGAGTGGCTCTGGGCACTTTCAGGTCCTCATCTGAACGATGCATATTTTTGGCACGGGTGTGAACACCACCACTTACTCCATGCCTGCCTTTCTCCCCTAGTAATGTGCAGTGTGCAGGGACTGAGCATCGCCTTGCTCCCTTCCAAGAGCACGGCAGCCGTACAGAGATCATGGCTTATGTCCGAAGGGCAGCTATGAGAGTTAGAGGTGAAGTGCAAAATGAGAACAGGCATCACCTGTTCTTTTAGAAGTGCCAGGGTGCAAGAAGGACTAAATTTGCAGGCATGGTAGTGTGGGAACTTAATGTTGGCAGCGTGTTGCATGGCCACGAGGGCAAAGGTGATAAGGGAACAGCCGGGGAACAGTCCAGTGTCAACAGGGGTTACACATCTGGTCGTGAAAGGCCTTTTGCAGGCCAGACTAAACTGCACCTCAGTTTAAAGTAGACCCCTCTCCCCACATGCTCCGTGCTGGGCAAGGGCCTGTGGCGATGTTGCACTGAGCTGGCTTTAGACAAAATGTCAGTTTGTAATTGACTTGTGGTCTTAGGAAATCTCATTGTTGTCCCAGGGTCTTTTGGAAACCACCCCCATTACATATTAAATGAGAAACTGCCGCTGCTAACAGCAGCCATAATTAGCACTTGCAGAATGGGGAAGTGCCAGTCTGCCCAAGGTATTTGCATGTCCTGGTCACCACAGCACTCCCCAGTACACAGGTATGCGAGGATATTGCAGTTCTAGAAACTAAATGAGCTGTGACAGACACACAGCTGGTAAATGAATTTGACCCAAGGGATCTTTTCTCTGCTGTGCCTTAGACGAGGCATGTAAAATGTGGTCCTCCTAAGGACTCTTCACTTAAAGAATGTCAAGTTCCTGGCCACCAAGACTGACTAAGGCATGGTTGGGCCCCTCCCGGCCAGCCGTGTGCTGGAGGGCTGGCTTGTCCTCTGGGTTACTATAACGCAGGCAGGGAAGGAAGCCTTGTTTTACTCACTGTGTAATGGTAGTCAAGTTACTCAAACTCGACTTTATAGCAGACCCCAATGAGAGTGGCCTCACGGGGGTTTCATAAGAAAGAGAACCTCCTGGTATATAATGTGTAAGTCCTTAATTAAGGACGATTATCATGAGGGCCAGAGGGGAGAGCTGACTTGTGAGGCCAACTATTCAGAGTGGTATTGGTACTGAGGTAAAGAAATGGTAATTTAAAGTTGGCTCCTCATAGAAAAAATTGTTTTGTTTCTATGTACCCTAAATCATAAACTTGATATTTATTAACCCTGAGATTATAACCCTGCTCAGAAGGAAAAAGTATAATATTTTCTTTTTTTAATTAATAACTATTACTTTTTTTTAAAAGTCACTAATATATTTGCCATTATAACCACTCAACTTTTGTGTGTGTGTGGTATTGGGGATTGGACCTGAACCCCAAGGCCCATATGTGCTGGACAAACTCTCCAGGCACAATTTCAACCCTGCCCCTCTGCAGGACACTTGAGAAATCACTTTGCAGACACAGGGAGATCAAGAGCAGCTGCCTTTACAAAGCCCCAGACTATCCAAACCACAACACGTGAGCATGAAAACAGGAGTTTCAGCTTAAAGCGAACATAGGTAGAACTTCCCCACCTGGCTTCTTTGGCCCAATTTTAAAACCTGTTTGAAGGCCTAGTTTTGCCAGGTTAGCTGCTTGCTAATGCAAGCAGTGACACCCATCCTGGTAGGACTGGATGAAATAAAAGATAACGAGGAAATCCCACACGCTCTTTGAAACAAAGCCCCTAAAACTTTACGTGACAGAAAAATGTCCTGTGGCTTTTGTGCCTGCCGCCGAGTGGTAAGTGAATCCCTTGTTTGGTCATCTCTCCTTTCAGCTGAGCAGTGACTCTGCTGCTGATGAAACAATGCCAGACCACACTGACCTGCTGCTTCAGTCTCAGGACTCCACCAGCAGCAACACCACCGAGGAAGTGCTTCACATCAGAGATGAGACCCCAAGTTTGGAGGCTTGTCTAGATAATGCTAGCAGCCAGCTGCCTGAGGTGGGGAGAAACAGGGCTGGTGCATGGCCAATCTAGACTCTGTAGCATTCTGTTACATCTTTTGCTTTTCTTTCAAAAGAGTTTTCATTCAATGTGCTAATTACTTGATTTTGTTTCCCATATTTCTAACCTGTGGGTTGTTCTAAACAAAATAGTAGGATCTGATTTTTTTAAAAACAATTTTGTTGATGGATTAAGGAAACGACCTACAGGTTAAAAATAACCTCGAATGTTTCAATGAGCATTTTGTTGTGCCTCGGTTACCGTGCAGGGGCTTTGCTAGGGATGGCAGGATTGTCTGTGGCACTGCGTTTTCTTTGAAGGACCGCTTTTGTTTTTCCTCCCCTTTTTGCTTTGAGTGGGTTTATGTGATTGGTGCTGTGATTGGGTTAGGACCTCAGGCCAGCTGTGTTAGCAGTTGGTACAAAGAAATCTTTTCAAAAGACTTTGGAACCACTAGTATTATGTGTTTTGGAAAGGCCTGTGAGAAGTAAGCCAGATTCAAGCTATTGACTGACCAAAAATAAGTAAGTACTAGTTTTCTTAGTGTTTTTTTAAATGTTATTTTTAAATGTATTTGTTATAGCTCTATGATAAATGCTGTTATGCTCTGGTAAGTATTGGAAACTGCTATATTTTGGTCAGTGTTAATGAAATTAGCGTAGTTACCAGATCTGGACTAATCTAGTTATTAGATCATGTTATTTTAGTAAAAAGAATTCTCATGTTCTTATTACATATTCAATCTAACAGTAAACAGATATATTTTAAAATGAAGGCATTTTGGCTTCCTTAGTAGCAGCTTTCAAAATGCTTAGGCGAACGTGGCTAAGGCTTAGATAATTCAGTTAATCAAATGTGTATTGTAATTTTATTAGATGCCAGGCATTCCAGCTAGGTGCCAGGAAGCATAGGGCATGACCTGTTCTTAGGGGAATGCTTTGTCTGTAGTAAAGGGGTGGAGAAAGCTTCTTAAAACTACGCTTATGTTTGAGAAAATCAGTAGCACACATATGTTCAAGACTTGGTGAAAATCCAAGTGAGAGTGACCAGTTCTGCATTAGGAGTGCTGGTGGTAAAAGATACCTCATGGCCACTGGGACTGTCCCAGCATGGGGACAAGACATGGAAACACACGGCAGTGTGAAATAGAATGATCGTTCAGGTAACTGCAGGAAGTGCAGTGGGTTTAGAGAATAAAATGGATGGAAGAAGACGAGAAACAATAGAAATTCCTGAGCGCCATTCTAAAGATCTGGGCTTTGAGATAATGGGAAGTCATATAGGTTTTTGGTCTTTCCAGAAACACCTTGTGTTGGCTTTGTGTTACTTAGTGAGGAAAGATTTCTCTTTGGCTCATGGTTGAGAGTGAAACTTTGAGTCCATGATCAGCTGGACCTGGGGCAGTGCTTCACGCCAGGAACATGTGGGAGAGCAGATGTGTTCAGCTCAGAGCTCAGAAGCAAGGGATGAAGGAAGTGGTCAGAGCGCCCACAGTGCCTTCGCGGCTACACACGCACTGACCACAGGCCCTGCGAGGGCCCGCTTCCGCCACCTCCCAGCAGCACCGTGCTGGGGAGAGGCCTGTACCACCAGGGGCCTCTGGGGCTGTTCAGGTCCACACCATACACCGTGGCTGTAAGGCTCCTGTGACAAGGACTGCAGATAGTGGATGGAAATGCAGCATAAGTGGACATTCACTCATTCGTTTCATGTGTTTACGGAGACCCTGATGCTAGATACTATTCTATGGTAGTGCAGAATAGACCAAAGCTCCTGGCTTTACGGTGCTTAATCCTTATAAGCATGACAGATAATTGACAAGATATGAACTATAAATAATATACTAGAGAGTGGTCATTTATTCGAGATTACTGTTAAAATCTAACAGTGGTATGTATTTGAGTGAGGGAGATGTGGAGGAACAGTGTTCCAGGCACAGGAAGCAACAGGTTTAGAGGCCCCAGGGCACATGAAAAACAAAACCCTGGGGAGTGGGACCTGAGCACAGTGAACAGGAGAGGCTGGGGGGAAGGAGCCCAGGGTGGGCCACAGTACAACAGAGTCTCTACAATAGAGGTATGGCGGTGGACTGGAAAAGACAAGGAGCTAATCTGGAACAGAACGTGCTGGAGATAACACAGCCTGAACCCCACAGCCAGCATAGGAATAGGAAGGACGATGCAGGACTGAGAGGGGCAACCTCCGCCGCGTTCCTTTCTTCGTGTTGTTGGGAGGCAGAAGCAGGCAGTGCTACTGATTGTTAATCTGATCTGTCACGAATCTGATCTGTCACGGCCAGTCTGGATCATGGCACATTAAGAGGTCAACAGATGTGTTCATCTGAAACAGTGAAAAACAGACTAATGCCAAAAACACCTTTTTAACAAAGGCAGTGTGCCTAATGGCTGGGTATATTAATTTCATCAACAAAGGTTGAGATCTTTTACTTTTGGTTATGAGTTACAATCATAGGAAGGTGCCTCCTATAAATAATTCACATAATACTTTCATGTACTAAATACTCCAATTTAGTGTTTTCTCCCCTTCATAGTAGTGAGTTCACTGTCACTGTACACATTGTATCACTGGGAGGTGAGACTGAAGAGAGTGTTTTAGAACCATGCCATTTCATGTACAAACGGTTCTGATGAGAGTGGCTGTCCACAGGGGAGTAACACAACACAGCATCTCATGAATACACAGTATTAGCCTAATTTGTTTTTTCCTGATGTTTATAATAGTGGCAGGTGACCCAAAATTGCTACTTAAATTTTAAAAAAATAGGAAAGCACCAAAGTATTCAAATAAAAACTATTTTAAAAGCAACTTGTGAAATGTTACATGAATTAAAGGCACACTTCTGTGTATTCCTGAGAGTGTTCATTTTAAATCGTCCCTTAAATTATGTTAATACTGTGAAGATGGAATAACCTAACACATTTCATGACATGGAGAAACCTGCAGAGCTGTTTGTCACTTCCTTCTCTGTAACATATAGGAATAACTGCTCTCTGAAAGGATCAAGGTCTTCACTTATATTTATTATTATAATCTTCACAGAGGGTTGTAATTAATAGCTTGGAATCTAATTCATATACCACAGAAAATTTTTCTTTAAGGAAATGAGTCTTTGTTACAAAGCATGTAAATGTGTCATTGTTAGGGGCTGGGGATTTAGCTCAGCAGCATAAGCGCCTGCCTTACAAGCAGGCAGTCATGAGTTTGATCCCCAGTACTGATAAAAATGAAAAAGACAAAAAATGTGTCATTGTTTAGGAAGATAATCCAAAGAAATTTGAGTCTTATAACCTGCATATAAACAATTAAATCCATTCCACTAGTCCAAAAGCATTTTCTTCAAGAAATCTAGATGTTATTAGAAAATTTTAGTATGTATTATATAATAGTAATTACTGATTAAAAAATGTTTGAAATTACAGTTCAAGGACAAATGATAACCAAATATAGGATAAAGGGATGAATAGTGAGAGGCTTGAGCTAACACAGTATGTTCAAACTGGTACGGAAAGGAAAATTAAAACCAAAAAATTTTAGTTGTTAAAACATTTCTAGCACTGTTTGATAAATTATTATTTCCAAACAATGAATAGCTTACCTCTTTAAATAAAAAATAATTCAGATGAACACTGTAACATATATTCACTATAAGCCTTTGGGGTGATTAAAAAATTATTTTACTATATTATCATGATTGGGAAAAAGAATTTTTTGAATCCAGAAAGGACTGAGCTATGTCCCACACCTTTTTTTTTTTTTTTTTAATTGAGACAGAGTCCTGCTAGCTCAAACCTGGCAGTCTTTCTGCCTCAGTCCCCCTAGTAACTGGGATTACAGATATGTATCAGCCTGCCTGGTTTTTACTGTTTTTAAATACTTTTCTGTGAAGACTCAGGTATGCCCTTTTTCCCACTTAACTATATCCAGATCCCTATTCCATGAATACACATATTCCTGCGCCGTCCTAGCCCTCCTCCTGGAATATCAGCTCTATTTGTCTTTGTCCAAGGCCATCATAATGCTGTTTTTCCCAAAGAAACTTTAGATTGAATTCCCACAGGCAGACGTGATCTTTCTCTTGAGTATCAGTGGTAGGTTGTGTGTTGCTGATTGTAACTTAAGTCTAACTACTGAAAGAAACCAATCTTTATTCCTAAGACTGTGAAACTGTTAGTGTTTATATTCACCTGATTAAGGTAATATGCTCACAAATTAAAAACTGCTGTTCACACCATTAAAATAATTTTGATAATGGTAGTTGAGTTTCTACCCCATGCCTGTCACACAGCAACATGTCTGTAACATTCACAATGGGACAGGAAGAGGAAACCACTAGTATTGTACTTTGTAATGCATATTTTCACTCTTACTAGGGCTAGGAGAATGCAGCTATTCTTTCTGTTAAATGAACTTGCAATTCATTTAATTACAAAAGAGTTTAACTTTTCCAAACCTTTTATAAACTCTAGCTCAGTGATGAACCTTTATCAGTACTTAACACTGAAACAAGTGACTGTGGTCTCACTAACTGAAAACAGCCCTACGGGCACGAGGTTCCGTCCCCTGATCACAGGAAGACTGCCTGGCTGTCTGGGCACCGCGTCCTTCTGATCCATAGCACCTGTTGCAGCTGTGGGCCGCCGCACAGGAGCAGGGGTTCACTGGTTCAAATCATTTCCCCTCCTGATGGCCAGAATTGCTTTTCTGATGTGACTGTAGAAATGGTAGCTCAGATAAGAGATCATTTATAGTAATACTGTTTTACTACAAATATAATAATATATAGTAATAATGTAATGTTTACTATAAAATTAGAAAATGTATTTCCCATTATGGGAAACCAAAGACCTATTTCCAAGTAAACACTTGAATTTCATGAGACATGGGGCGGGGCGGGGTGGGGCGGGAGGTGTGCCTTGAAGTTTCTGTGTGGCAGTAGGTTATATAATTCCATTGAATTGTAGCACTGGGGATGTAACTCATGTTAAGAAAAAGCGTACTTAACATGTGCAAAGTTCTAAGTTTAATCCTCAGCACTGCCAAAAACCAAAATGAAAACCTAGGACCATTTTAGAAAACAGTTTTACATGAGAGTTTAAAAACTCTTGAGATCATGTCAGTGAAGACTGTCTGGTAAAATAGATGAAAGTGGTCATTTATTGTGTTGATAGAGTCACAAAAATAACGTGATTGTTTCACAGGATACAAGATCAGTATTAAAGGAGGAGCATGTTACAGACTTTGACGATGAAGGACCGTATATTATTCCAGAGCAGCAGGACTCTCTCCTGTGTCAAGGAATTCTTGATCTAGAAGAAACCGAAATGCCAGAGCATCTGGCTCCTGAGAGCTACCCTGAGTCCATCTGCGAGGAGGACGTTACCTTAGCCTTGAAAGAGCTCGACGAAAGATGTGAAGAAGAAGAAGCAGATTTCTCTGGCCTGTCCAGGTAAGAACAGAGTCACAGACACCATAGCCACGTGATTGTTCTCTCCCTCGCCCTCCCACAAGTGCCAGTTTACTTACTTTTCTTTACTTTTGTTTTTGTTAGCAATCCTACTCTCTGACTTCATTTTTAAAAAGGTCTTGCAATGATGGGATATTTTTCTCCTGGATGTTCACATAAAGAAGCACAAGTAGGCCATCCCCAAACCATAGGAAGCAGCATTCTGTGGTTAGAAGCACACCAAATACCTATTTTGGCACGATGCCAAATGGCTAATTTTAAAATTAATAATGGAATGAACTTCTGTGATATCAAAATAAATCCAAGAAGGCAGGTGTGGTGCATGTCTGTACCCCTCCCCCAGCACTTGGGAGGCCGAGGCAGGAGGATTTGCTGTGAGTTCAAGGCCAGCCTGAACTGCATAGCAAGACCCTGCTCAGAAAAACAAAAACATCTAAGACATATTCAAAACTCTTTTTATTGTTCCTTTATCTGTGTCAGGTTTTAAAGGTTTGATTTCCACAATAAACAGAAATGACAGTTTCTTAATACTATCTGAACCTAGGTTGTTCCTTTTAAATGTTTATGCTCCATATATTGAAAATATATTTTCAGAAAGTATGAGAACTTCCCAAGTAAGACTTTATCTCCACTTTTGGCTTAGCTGACCAGTCAACTATTACATACAGTTCTTACAGGAAATTTTGGTGGCTGTTAGGAAACTTGCATTCCAAATAGCTCTGTAATGATCAGAATTATGACAGCTTAACTTCTATTTAAATTTTAGAAATATGTATGGCTCAAAATAATGCACTAAACGTATCTAACTTACTGCATTCGATCAGTACGTTCTGTGTTCCCATTCAGCATTCTGAAGCTCCTTATTGTTATACAAATTTAACATTTAATAATGAAGTATTTCAGAGTTTTACAATAAATATTATGCCTTTGTAGTTGATGTAATGAGTTTTAACACATAAAACGTATGGGGGAGTCTCACCCTCAGTGTATCTAGCATGCTTTCCTATAAATGAGGCATGCTCAGTTGTTGACAATACATGTTAGAGACATCTTTTTCATGCTGCTGAGTTGGATATAGCAGTGGCCCATATAATCACTCAGTCGTGCGCACATGCAGGGACAACAGACGTAATATTAAGGTAAATATTCTTTGTCCGTCCAAAAGGCTGAAGCCAAACATTTTTTTTCAGCAAACACTACAGGTGGGATAGAATCAAGCAGCCCTCATAAACGAGAAGGTGGGGGGACAGTTTGTTAAAATCAGTCACCTCAGTAACAATATTAAAACTACCCTTTTTGAAGTATTGTTTGCCTCCAGAGGTCTACTTTATTTTGATATTTTTCTCCCATCTTTACTCAGGTCCCTCGATGTCACATGATTTGCTCTATAATTCCTACAAAGGCATATGGCACTATCTTGTAATGTGACCCATGCGATTTTCAGACTCTGAGTGATACACGGAATGCCTCACACTTACTCTCTTTACAAACTCAAGCCATAGACTACCCAACCCAAACACATCTTAGTGTTTTTTCCTTGTTCCTTTCATAGATGTTATCTGGTAAGATTATCAGTTTCTCAGAAAAAATGACCAAGTCTTACGTTTGAGTCAGTTTTACTGTCTGGCACACTACAAGACACACTGTGGTGTGCTCCCGAAGTAGCTAAGGTGTCAGTACGTGCTGGCTAACAGCACTAGCTTTAAACCTGTACTTGTGGGTGCTAAATTCTGGCTCGGCTACTTCCTGCCCAATAATCCAGGCACATTATTAACTTCTCTGAACTTTTTTGCAAAATCAGGATAACAACGGAACCTAATGTTCTCAGAATTATTGTGAAGATTAAATAAAATGATCTATATAAAGCACCTAACCTGATCTTTAAAACAAAAGTAGTAAGTGATGAAAGCTTTTCACTATTAATATTAATGGGAGCTGTTCAAATAAAAGTGCCCCAAACCGACCATTTAAAATGAAAGCATTCTAATCTGTATGATTCGTAACACTGACATTAGTTCTTAGCCAGGGGACAGTATAGGACTTAGATTAAAGTACTTGCATGAAATTAAGAGCTGTGTTCCAAAGATGCTAAGTATTAAGAACACTTACTCATACCTTCTTAGACAGTTTAGGTTGTTGTGGTATTTTCTAAAGAATGTGTATGTCAATAAAAAGTCAGTGTGAAAGCACTCGCATCTGTTCCTTTAAGATAGCTCTGTGTGTTAACCGTGCTCTGTGTGTTAACAGTCAAGATGAAGAAGAGCAAGATGGTTTTCCGGAAGTGCAGACATCCCCTCTACCATCGCCCTTCCTCTCTGCCATCATAGCAGCCTTTCAGCCAGTGGCGTATGATGATGAAGAGGAAGCCTGGCGTTGCCATGTCAGTCAGATGCTATCCGACACGGATGGGTCCTGCGCAGTGTTTACTTTTCATGTGTTTTCTAGACTGTTTCAGGTCAGTGGGGTTTAAGGTTTTCTTAGCTCATGTTGTAATTATCTGATAAAATCTGTACCTCAAATTTTAATATTACTATAGGTTTTAACACTTTCGTTTTCTAAATTAGTGGTATTAAATTTATGGGGTGACCTGGTAGTACTGCAGTACAATTCCTGTAGAGCTAAGTCCCCTAAAGCAACATAATAAGACTTCAACCCGGCATCTGATCAGTAACCTGCAGTATGCTGGGCAGGTATCATGGAGTTTCTTTTAAATTTTAATAATGACTGTAGTACATAATTACCTGTGTTTCGGGAAGTCAGTATGTGTACATGACACATCTTAATTCTGTTTTCATTCCTTTCCGCTCTGCTCCATCTCAGTTCTTCCCATTTTTTTCTTTTTTTTCTTTTTTTTTTTTTTTTTTTTTTTTTTTTGACTTTTTCGTTTTTATCAGTACCAGGGATCGAACTCACGACTGCCTGCTTGCATTTTTTTCTATTTTTTAACTTGTCCTTTATTTATGCTTTGGGATCCTCATTTAAGAGAATCCATGCAATAGTTAGGCTTGTGGTTTTACTTTACATTATGGTCTCAAGGTGCATCTATTTCCTGCCAAATGATTCACGTTTACTTTATGGCAGAGGAGTGCTCCCATGGGGTATAAATACATTTTCTTCACTGTCACTTCCACAATTTAGCCATCATGAGTTGTGCTGCCATAAAGGTAGGTACACATGTATTACAGTAACAGCTATCTTGAACTCTTTTGGAATACACCCAGAAAGGAAATAGTTGGGTCAAATAGAAGCTTTAGTTTTTGAGGAATCTCTATTGTGGTTTCAATAGTGATTGTCCAAGTTTACATTCTCATCAACAGTGCAGAAGGGATCCTTTTTCCCCATAGCCTCACCAGCATTTATTATTGATGATAGTAAAATAATCTTGGTGTCATTTTCTGTTTCTCTAATGGTCAGAGATGTTGAGCTTTTCCCCCTGTTTATTAGCTACATGTAAGAAGTCTCAGTTCATTTCAATTGCCCAGTTTTTGATGGGATCTTTTACTTAGGGGAAAATTTTGTGAGTTCTTTACAGTCTAAATATTAGTTATCTCTGTTAAGAAATAGCTGGCAAATGGCTTCTCATTCTGTAGGTCATCTCTTCACTCTGTTGTTTCCTTTGATGTGCAGAAGCTTTTTAATTTGATATAATCCTATTTGTTGGTTCTTGATATTTTTTATGCAATTGGGATTCTGTTCGGAAAGTCCTTCCTATGTCAAGAAGTTTAACCTATTTATCTTCCAGTAGATTGTTGTAATATTTAGGTCTTTGATCCATTTTAATTGTAGTGTAGTACATAGGGAGAAACATACATCTACAATCTTCTGCATGTGTGTGGTCAATTTTCCCAGCACCACTTACTAAAAAGGCCATCTTTCCCTCCTGCATATGCCTGGGATTGTTTCTGAATCCTGTTTTATTCCACTGACCGATGTCTGTTTGTGCTAAAGCCATATCCTTTTTATCACAACAGCTTTGTAGTACAATTTAAGCCTGGTATTGTGGTGTTTTGCTATTGGGCTCTCTTCTAGTTCCATATGGCTTTTACAGTTGTTCTCTCTAGCTCTATGAGGAATGCCACTGGTATTTTTATTAGGATTCCATTAAATCTATGTATCAATTTTGGAAATATGGTTATTTTGACAATACTGGTTCTACATAACTAGGAGTAGGCGATCTTACTCCATTTTCTGATGTCTATCTCCTGTTTCAGAGTACTATAGTTTTCGTTATAGAGCTCTCAAAGTTTATTAAAGAGCATTAAATTCATGCTTATCATTGTGAGACCTTACCTACAGTTATTAAGGTTAAAAACCTAGTAGTAATAAAAGTATCATGTACTGAATACTCACTGGGTGCTAAGCATTAATATGTTAAATGCCTCTCAGTAACTATTCTCAACATTTTGGTACTAGAGACTGAACCAGCGCCTCCACCCTGAGCTACATCCCTCCACTTTTTGACACTGAGCCTCACTATATTGCCCAGGTTGAGCTTAAATTTCTAGTCTTCCTCCCTCAGTGCTGCGGTTATAGGAGGCACCATCACACCTGGATCCGTAACTACAGTAATTTTTTTTAATTTGCCCTAATTGTAAGTTATGCTGCTTTACTTAGTGAAAAAGGGCCTTCTTAAGAAATATTAAGCTTTTCCTTAATGCCTTTTCCCCTAGACAATTCAAAGAAAATTTGGAGAAATAACTAACGAGGCAGTCAACTTTCTTGGTGAGAGTCTGCAGCGCATTGGTACCAAATTTAAAAGTTCATTGGAAGTGATGATGATGTGTTCAGAGTGCCCAACAGTCTTTGTGGATGCTGAAACGGTACGTTTTTATACAATTGGAATGGCGTCATTCAATTACTTTTTTGTAAGTAATTCTAAAGTGTCATGGTTCTTTTCAACTTGATTGTAACTATCTGACAAAATACCATTCCAGTGTATTACATGCGATGCCCTGTGATCGATTCCAACCCCTCTGTACCCGCTCAAAAGTCCTGGTTGGGAGGCTGAAGAGCCATGCTCTAGAGATGCGTTCTTTCCCCTGATTCTTGAGTCAGAATAGGTAAATGCCTAGAAATAGCCAGGGCACCCTGGTTTCCCCTGACTTGCCAGGTACACATAGATTATATAACAATATATTTAAAGAAATGGTTTTAGGGCTGCGATTTAGCTCAGCAGCATAAACACCTGCCCTGTATGGTGTGAGGTCATGAGTTTGATCCATGGTACAAAAAAAAAAAAAAAAAGTTTTAAAAGCTTCAAAAATGGTGTCTTTGGGGTGTCTAGTGCTCTGACATGCCAATCTTGCTTTTGCCACTTTTTGAAAGTATCCCTGTCCTTGCTGACACCTCCCAGTCTCTGAACTGGAAAACCAGCCCTTAGAATGGGACAGAGTACAATAACAGAGTGTCTGAAAGCCAACTAACAGATGCTGTAAGACCCGAAAGTGGCCGGGTCGTGACTGGCTTGGGAATGGTAACCAGGATTGATGTATTTGATTTGACAGCTAATGTCATGTGGCTTGCTAGAAACACTCAAGTTCAGTGTTTTGGAGTTGCAAGAACACCTGGATACATACAACGCCAAAAGAGAAGCCGCTGAACAGGTGAGTCTCCTGTGATGAAAGTGCTTTGCTTATCAACACTGGAAGAGTTGAGCTCACACAGGACAGGAGAGCCCTGGCCTGGGGGTGGAGAACAGTAGGTCCTGGGTGCTCTCCTCTTTGCCCAGGGAACCAGTTTTTGCCTTTAAGAAACCTGCCCTCCAGGAACACAGTGAAAGATCAAAGCTTTGTGAGGCGCTGATGTGTGGAGCTGCTCAAAACACTGGAAATGGGGAAATGAAGCAATATTTCTCATTGAGTGCATTACAGAATTGCGGTCTGAAAATCTTCAGCCTTTGACAAAGCCCAGTTTGTCCCTGTGACGGGTAGGTGCACATGGGCAAGAGAAAAGGAAACACATCCTGGATTGCAGATACTGCCTGCTAAGAAAAGGCTTTTCAGGTCCAGTCTGTCATGGAAAAATACCACCAGCCAGTCCCCTGAGAGTAAATCCAGTACATTTTCATCTGGCCTGTGCAGAAAACAAAACAACAACAAAAATGCTTCTTCCCTTTAGACACATTGTACTTAGGTGGGGTTTTTTTATGATGGATAAATCTTTTGTTATTAGCTGTCTGTCACATGTTAAGACCTATGAAAAATTATGTGTGAAACCTAGGCATTTCATACTGTCAAGGAAACCTGAAGGACAAATACTGTATATCAGATAGGCTGAGCATCTTTAATCCAGTCATCTAAAATTCAAAATATGAAACATGTCACAAATTAAAAATTCCACACCAGACCTGTGACAGGTCGTAGTCAAAAAGCCAGCCAGGGGTAAAGACACATGCCTGATTCCAGCATCTAGGAGGCTGAGGCAGAAGCATCATGGAGTTCAAGGTCAGCCTGGCTTGTGTAGTGAGATCCTGTTTAAAAAAAAACCAACCCAGGTGTATGAATGCGCAAGGGATGATGCTGATGCCAGACCAACACAGGCTGTCCTCATGGGTGGCCGAGTGACCCCTTTGTCTCTGGTGGTTCAGTGTACACAAAATGTATGTCCTGCAAGTTATTGTCTAAGACTGCTATGTAAAATCACCTTTAGGCTCTGTGTATAAGGCATATATAAAACAAATTTTTAGAGTTGGGTTGCATCCCAAGATACGTCATTATATATACATGACTCAAGTTTATAAAAAATGTTTTAAATTTTTTAAATTGCCGTAAGAGATACATTGTAATCCCCCTCTGAATATTCTCCCCTTTCTTCCAACACATGTATTCCACTGCACATTTTTTTTTTTTGAGACAGGGTCTTGCTGTGTAGTTCAGGCTGGTCTCAAACTCAGTGATCCTCCTGCCTCAACCTCCTGAGTGCTGAAATTAGACACATGCACCACCATGCACAGCTCGTCACTTTCTGAAACAGTTGTAGAAATCTGTTTTTGTGTCTTTACTGCCTTGATGTGCTAAATCAATTCAAAAGTTTACCTTTCATGATCATTTTGACTTTGAGGAAGAGCCACAAGTCACGTAGTGCCATATCTAGTGACTCAGGTGCATAAGGCCACATCTTAACAAGCCTTACAGTAGCATTCCCAGTGTGCTGCACACAGCTCAAGACACTCATGAAAGACTTCCAGCCCAGCCTGTGCTAGTTTCATTAAATGTTTTTTAATTATTCAAGTCTTCTAAAGCTCACAACCATGAGATGAAGTATCTGCTTTGCTTTTGGCCTCTTCTCTTGCACATGATCAACAGAACAGCAAGTTCCCCAAGAGAAAGTACACAGAGGCTGTCAGACTCAGCCCTTGAGCTCTCCTTTTCCCCAGCATCTTGGCACTCAATACCTCACTGTCCTTATAGTGTGCAAACTCAAGGCTCCTACTATGTTCAGCTGTTCTGTCCAGCAACAGGAACAGGCACATACCGCTTTAGTAAGAGACGGGGTTCACTTCCATGCTTTCAAGTCCCCAAGTCCTGGCTGATGGTATTTAGCTTCTATAGTTGTCCGTGAAGGATGGGTCTTTTTATACAAGCTGCTCTGTCATATCCAGAAATGAAACCTCTTCCTCCATTAAATTTTAACCTTCATTTGAGCCTGGAGTAAAGAAAATATCAATACAAGACAGCAGGTTAGACAGGAACATGAGGGTATTCTCCGTACAGACTCCTCAGTGTCTTTTAGACGCTGGAAAGCTATAGAGCTGTCAGGATTTGCTTTTGACAAGATTAAAAAAGAGAAATCTGAGTAGTGCCCTCCCAAAATGCTGTATACTAGGTAGACGGTATGCAAAGCTTAATTTAGTAAAAGTGTCATCCTATGATCAACTCAAACTACTCATTTTCAATTTATTCCGTATACTTGGACTGCACTAGCATAGTGTTAAGTATATAAACATTTTAACATTGTGTATGAAGATTAAAGCACAAACTATGGTAGGTGGCAAGTGGCTTTTGCTGATATGAAGAAATCTGCTGATAGGTTTTGACAAGGACTGCCCCAGGGCATAACTCACCAGAAAGGCCCAACATGCTTTTCTTCAGAGATGCTGTCAAGCAAATAGCTTAAGGGCCAGTGCAGTCTGAGTGACTGGATAACAGTGACATGAGGTCAAAGATTGTTTTAGAAAGAACAGACATCTAATTCTGATTCTTTGTGTGTACAACATTAAGGTAGAGTTGAGAATTTTAAATGCCTAATACTAAAATGTTTTCAGAATAGCTACTTAGTATAATCAGTAGTTTTCTCTAAAAGTCCTAATGATTCTAAGGCAGAAAAAAATAGGAAGTCAGCAAACTGACAGTTTCAAAATTATCAAAACCTAGGAGCTTAACTTGAAGACATTTAGCTTTTACTTCAGTTTAGAAATTTAATGACTCAGTGATCTTTTCTACTCTGCCCATGCTCTTTTCACTTGACTATAACAGCTGTACCTTAATATTAACTTTAGGAATAGCTCCTGGATACAGAAAAAACAGTTGGCTTTGCATCCAGTATTCTCAAGATAACGTGTTTGTCATTCATAACCATCCAAAAAAAGGAAGGAGTGAAAAAAGAAAAAAAAAAGATTTAAAGGGATCTTGGTTCTATTTCACTAATGAAAACTGACACCAGTCTTCTGAGACTTACACTTCGGATAAGCAAACAGACCTGGTTAATTCTTTAAATTGCCTTTATTAAATTGACCAGAGGAAAAGTAAATCTTTCATTTCCCCATCTGATATTACACAAAGGTCAGGTATAAGCTGTGAAGATTTCCAATAAAATCTGCAAAAGAATGAATCTTCTTTACAGAAATAGCGCACGACAGGCCCCTCAACTGGGAGATTGGCTGTGTTTTTATTAAACACGTGAGGATCTTGTTATACTGGTCGTAGCCTACTTTTGTTTGTTGCTGGAACATAACTAACCTTTTAAGTTTGTTGTTTTGTATAGACTGGTATCAGTTTCTACTGTGCATTATGCAATCCGTATATCAAACTTCCATTTTTTTTAGTGGTTAAACAATTGTAAAAGGACATTTGGTGGTAAAGAAGACATGTACAGGATAAACACAGATGCACAAGTAAGTCTTCTCATTTTTGTTGTACTTCTGTATCAGGTGAAACAGTGTATAAAGCTGTCCTTGATATTTCTAGAAATAGTATTTGTAAACATTTTCATTTTGGTTATCAGAACAATCACTTTAAAAGTTAGGTTTAATGAAATACTGACTTTAGTAATGAAAATTCCATTTTAATAAAAATGAACCACCAGCTAGTGACTGAAGCTTTAATAACATTCAACAGATAAGCCTGATGGCTATCTGGGGAGCCCAAGGTGAATTTCAGTTGCGCTCAGGAGAAAAATATTGTTTCTGCATTAGTATTTTGAGGATAAATTGGTCGGGAAAGGAAACCTACGAGTAATGTGATATACATCCATATGAAACTTTCTGAAGGTGACATTCTGATAAATTATAACATTTCTCTCTAGTACAGTGAAACTAGCAATATGTTTTCTTAGCGAAATGTACAAACATACATTATAGTAAGAGAGGATATTCATGGGGGAAAGTGCTTTCTTTCACCAATTAAGCAGTTTCCACAAATGACATCAGAATTCTTGTCTTTTTCAACGTCATTTACATTGTAATAGATTCCCTTTTTCATAGTGCTGGTAATTAAACCCATACTAGGATAGCACTGTATCGCTGAGCTACTTCCCCAGCCAGGTTTCTTACCTCTGTAAAAGTTATTCTACTGTTAAAATGAAAATTAGGAATTTTGAAAATACTAACATGTTAAGAAAAACCAAAGTGTAGTGTAGTAGCCCTTTCAAGTACTGCTGATATAGGACCTTCAAATAATATAAGAGAAATATCTTTATCTTCTAACCCATTAGAGGTCCAAAATGCCAAGTTCATGTTCTCTAAAATTGAAGAATGAATTCTGGAACAGCTGAGGCTAAGAACTGAAAGAATTTGAGAGAAGGATAGTTCAGTCTAAGCTAGAAGGGATCCCAAAAGTGGTTGCTCACTGACGCTGCTTCTTAAGGGTACTTGCAGAGCCGCGAGGTGAGGCAAGTTTTAAGGTGGGACAGAACTCTGATCAACTACTAAGGTTATGAGTATCACACGTGGGTGTGAGGTGGGACAAAACTATGGTGAACCAGTAAGATTACAAGTACAGTTCCTGGGGCTGGGTTTAGCTCAGCCGCATAAGTGTCTGGTTGGCAAATGGAAGGTTGTCAGTTCACTCCCTGGCACCAAAAAAAACAAGTATAGTTGCTTAGGTAATATTGATTAAAAGGTGATCAAATGGGGAAGCAGGTCACACACAAGTATACAGACCAAACAAGGACTTTTCTTAGAGGAGATGGGTCAGGGACACTTCCTGACCCCCCACCCAGGCGACTGATTGACTGATTATTGTGTGCCTAGGGGAAGTCTGTGGGTATAGCTATTCCATCTTTTGTCTTGAGGTCTGGCCTCTAAGGAAGAACCTCACCCCTGCCTCCCTCCAGGGCCTGGCCCTGTCTGACTGGCTATGTCTACTTACTGTCTATAATAGATAAACCAAATGCTTTATGTCCACTCTACTTGAGAATGAGATCTTCTCCAAGAATAAGTCAAGTGATATAGCTTGAGATGGTTCTGTAAGTGAAAACCATGCATTTAAGACATTTATTTATATCTTTCTTCTTTCATGAGCCTTTTTTTTTGTCTTTTTCGTTTTTATCGGTACCAGGGTTCGAACTCACGACTGCCTGCTTGCAAGGCAGGTGCTTATGCCGCTGAGCTAAACCTCCAGCCCCTCATGAGCCTTTTTGACTTAATTTTATCTCTGTCAGTATATTTTTTTGGCATAATTAGCAACCAAGAAGTATTTTAATAAAATTTACATGCAAATTTCAATGTACCTAACAATTTAAAATGTATGTATACTCATTCTTTTAACAAGTTTAGACTAATTTTGGTAATTAAGACCTACACAATTATATTGTGCTATTTTCTGTAATTAGGATGTTCATGAGCATTCGTGATTTGTTTTCTATTACATCTGGAAGTAGAGGCCATGATTACACGATTATGTGTAAACTCCAGTCTATTTTATTATGCTAATAGAAGTGAGAAAAGGTATTTAAAACTCTAATTTCCACATGAAGCAAACTATATAAAAAGCCTCATAAGTAAAAACTCCTGCTGATACTATTGGAGTACGTTCAGCTAATGTATACTGAATCCACGTAATTTATGGTAAGCAAAAGTTCACCTTTCTAAATTGATAGAAATACATTTACATAAACAGACCAGAGGAAACTAGAAAAGCAGGCTTGAGAGTGACTTCTAGAAGTGACCCTCCCATTATAACAACTGCTATTTTAATTAGAAGCCTCTTTTTTTGTCTTTGTCTTTTTTATTGGTACCAGGGATCAAACTCACGACCATACATTTGCAAGGCAGGCGCTTATGCTGCTGAGCTAAATCCCAGCCCCTAGAAGCCACTCTTAATGAGACCAGGTCCAAAATACTGTAGCTACTTTAATGTAGCCCATGAATTAAGAATTTTCACTGTGTTTTACATATGTTATCTCCTTTGATTGAAATTTGGTTTGAATCCTATTTCTGAAACTTAGTTACATCTGGAGTGCAGTCTAAAACACACATCTGCTTTAAATAATCTGCCTAGTGGCCAGCAGCAATTAAGGCCATCTGGGAGACACTGAAGGGTTAGGAAGCCTAGAATAAGCCAGACCAGAAATAATCTCATGGATAGGTAAGTATTCACTAAGATTGTAACAGTGGTAATCCATTTGCTTGTTTTCTATTTTACTAATGGTAATTTTATTATAATTGAGTTTTGAGTTTTTGTTGTTTGGAAAGGTCAGAAAAATTTAGCCAAATTTCCCAGGGTCACATTAGTTCTGTTTTTATCTTCTGTAGCTTTTGCACAGAAATAAACTAATAGTCTAAAATGTATTTTAGTTATTTGGCAAGAAGTTGAAAAATTAAAAACACCCTGCATTGTTGCAATAAATGTCTATAAAGTTGTATTGGAAGTATCATAACATTTTCTTGGGGTGTCTAATGTTTTTCTTTTTGCCAGGGACAGCTGTGACCCAACTTAAAATGATTTCTTACACTAATTCTTGGTCTTTTTCTTTCTATTTTTTTTGTGACCGATCACCTTGCTTAGCAAATGGAAATTCTAGCAGTAAGTGACCCGTCTTGATTTATAGACTACTTATCCTTACCAGACAGACTGGTTTTCATCTGCCATTTGTCCCACTGTGACCTAGCGATGTTTTGTCATGAACTACTTTCAGAGTAGTGTGTGCTTCAGTTTTGTGTAACACTAATCCATGAAACGTTGATTCTATAAGAGATTTTATAATTAATATGTATGTACAACTAGCACTTGCCTTTTTCTACATCTCTGACTAACATCTAAATTTTTTAATTTTAAAAATCAAAATATACAAGTCTCATTTCAGTGAGATTAATGAGTGACTTTCTTCAGAAGATAGGCTTTTCCAAGAGTTTACCCAGATTGTTTGCTTTACAAAGCACTTGTTGATAAATGCAGAAAAGCTATTTTCAATGTGGGCAAAATTATGCATTTTAATAATCTCTTTCCATCGTGAATTTAAAGATTTAAATTAGAGTCCTTTTTAAAGCACCCTATATATCGCTTCATATATTCTCTTTATCCGGTGTTAAAGTTGCTCTGTACTAAAAATGAGTTATGTAACCAACAGAGATCCCATTTGTTTTCTGGCCAGTTGTCCAAGCATCTTGCATCTGCCTTCCATCAGCCTTACACCACATTAACTTGCTTACTCAGAAAAATAAATGCCAAGACAGTTTTAACATAATTACTCATAATTTTCTACTGAAAATATGCTGTCTAGTAAAATATGGAAAACACCACCTAAATTTAATATAATATTATTTATTTCTAGGAACTGGAGCTCTGCCGACGGTTATACAAATTGCATTTTCAATTGCTACTTCTGTTCCAGGCCTATTGTAAACTTATCAACCAAGTAAATACAATAAAAAATGAAGCAGAGGTAAATATTCAGTTGTCCTAGGCATTAATAACCGGTTTCAAAAAACTTAAAGAGTTTATATTCTTTGTTAGAATAGCAAAGTCAAAAGTCACTTAAAGTTTGAGTCACCTTTTTCAAATGAAGTTCCTTTTTGAATGACATACTATGTCAGGAGGTATTAAGTATATAAGACAGCAATATCCACTGGTTTTTAGAGGATCAAGACCTTAAAGGTTTTAATAGCAAATATAGTCACTTGTAATCAAAAGTTATATCCATAGACATTAAAACTATATGATGAAACCCCTAACACCTTGACTGTATAATCTGTAATTGAGATGGAAAAGTACAGTATTTAACTTTTTCAAGGTTTATTATAGTAAAAGATGTGTTGCCTTTAATCCCTCTCAAAAGACTCCCGTCCCTTGGACCTCTCTCTCCCCATCATTCTGTCCGCAAGGGGTTCTGGAAACCCTCTTTCATGCATGTCTTCAGCTGTGCTGTCAGAGTACCTGGATCTCCTCAGGTCCTTTGTGGTCACGCTGACTTTGGCACAGCCAGGAGCTGCCAGGCCTAGTGAAGAGCGTTCCCTGCCTTTCCACTGCCTGGCCCTTGGCCGCCGCGCTGTTGCTTTGATTACACCTCAGTAAGACTTGAGAGAGAACTACCAGAACTGCCTCAGAGAATGGCCAAAGAATGGTGGCATAAGGGTGTTCAAAGTGAGGGGCAGACCTTGAAGGGGACTAATGGCAATCTGTCTTGTACTATAATTTTTAAAATTTAAATATTTACTGCATCCTTGATCACCCCTTGTATATGAATATACATGAGAATAAACGTGTTTTTAAAAAACACTTAGGATGTTAAAAGTCATTCATATGTACAGGTTCATAGGTAAGTTAGTCTTTTTTTCCCTTACTAAAAATCATTGGGAAAACTAAATTTTTAAAAGTAAATCTGTGAAAAGAAAACATATGTACATGTATGTTTATATAAAATAGTGACTAAATAGCCTTTTAAAATACAAAGAATTTCCTGTCAAAAATATTTTAAATAGATGTACTTTTACTACTCAAAATATAAGTTATAAAATTTAAACTAATATGTAAACATTCATTACGAATTGTTTTATCAGGAATATTTACAGACTGTTGTTTGGTGACTGAAATTATTCTTACTGAATGGAGAACTTGAAATATCAACTGTCTTAAATGTAACACTTGAAAGTAAACTTTAAAATGAGAAAACACTCCTACAATCAGGTCTATCCTCAAAGCCAATTAAATGCATGTCACTGAACCTACAAACAGACCTTTAAAAGTGTCTTTGTTTTAGGTAATCAACATGTCAGAGGAACTTGCCCAACTGGAAAGTATCCTCAAAGAAGCTGAGGCTGCTTCAGAAAATGAAGAAATTGATATTTCTAAAGCTGCACAAACCACCATAGAAACTGCCATTCATTCTCTTATAGAAACTTTGAAAAATAAGGAATTTTTATCAGCTGTAGCACAAGTCAAAGCTTTCAGGTAAAAATGAGGGGATTTAAAGTTGTCTTTATATAACCACAATGGAAGTTTACTGGGTGTAGGTTTTGGTTTTCTATTTGATGAGTCAATATCCCGTCTTTGTGAAGGGACAACATGACTTTTCAGCATTTATCACTGAAGTGATACTGATACTGTTTTTTCACCGTCAGGTGGTACTGGAGTAATGTATTGGCTCAAATATTAAAATAGATCATCACTGGGGCTGGAGATTTAGTTCAGAGGCATAAGCGCCTGCCTGGCAAGCAGGCAGTCGTGAGTTCGATCCCCGGTACCGATAAAAAGGAAAAAGACAAAAAAAAAAAAAAAAAATAGATCATCACCTATTCACCAAGAAAATTTATGGTGATAAGTAGTACCTTAAAATATAGTTCATCTTCATGCTTACATCTCCGAGTTTGTATTTCCAGGTCTCTCTGGCCCAATGACATCTTTGGCAGCTGTGAAGATGACCCCGTGCAGACGCTGTTACATATCTACTTCCATCATCAGACACTGGGCCAGACGGGCAGCTTCGCGGTCATTGGCTCCAACCTGGACATGTCAGAAGCCAATTACAAACTGATGGAGCTCAACCTTGAGATAAGAGAGTCTCTCCGCATGGTGCAGTCCTGCCAGCTTCCGGCACAGCCCAAACCTGTTGGAAACATGGTGAGCCCTGGCTTCTGAGAAACCTCAGGCATTGTGGGGAGAAACTGACCTGAAGAGGATTAAGACTATTAACCAAGCACCTTTGATGAACCCTTGCGATTCACTGATGACTCTTCTGGCAGCATCTGCAACTATAGTGTAACTAGAGTCAAACTCTATCCAAAACAGATCTCAAGGAAAAAAATCTAATTGTTTTAACAGCTGCCAATACCTCCTACTATAACTGAAGAAGGAATTTTTTAATTAACCTACGTGAAAAGAAAAGGGCTAAAAGTGATGCATACAAATACGTTGCTTCCTAGAGAAAGAAGAATTCCAAGAACGTTTGCAATAATGGCCTCAAATACTGAGACTTGGGGGGCAGGTGAAATGAGGCTGAAGTCAAGGCTGGGTCGTTTTAGCCGAAGGCCTGCAAAAGCTGCTTGGATTTCTAGGAGTCAGCAAGCTAATCAAACGTGGATGTTTAGTCATCCCCATGAACATCCATTCAGATAGACACAGAAAGACTTATTTGTAAAAACCATTGATTTTTCTTTTTTCTTCAAACTTATGGGCTAAGGGTCTGGGGTGTTTTTGTTTTGGGGTCTGTGTAAGGAATTGTGTGTGTGTGTGAGTTGGGATGTGTGGGTATGTGACAGTCCTATTTTCAAGATGTGGGTGCCTGATGATAACGTCTCAGAGCATGCCTAAAAGAGCACTGCAAGATTATTTTTGAAAAAATTTTATTTTATTAGATCTAACTCTTCATAGTGTGTAAATGTTAGAACATTTTAATAATATTTTAAAGCTGGGCTTTCCCAGTATTTCAAAAAGAAATAATATATCTGTTAACGTTATTGGAATGCTGCTCAGTTCTCTGATCAGTGCTTATGTTACAACTGTTGATAACTAACCAAAGTAGATTGCCTGCAGAGACTTTAAAATGTAAAATAAAGGTGTATGCTGCCCGTCAGCTATTCCCATTAGAAAAGTTAACTTATTTTACTCCATAATTATTATAGAAACTGTATAGACTAAAACCAGTATTTTCTTGTACATCTGTGCCATGCACTGCTATACAGGAATAGGTCTACAAAGCTAAAGGAAAAAATGTGGTCATGTTGGTAGAATACAGTATCTGGGCTGCAGGCTCTGAGGTCTGCAGAATTTGAGAGGAGATGCAAACGGCATTTCTGTATGTTGATTCAGGACTTACATGTTCCATGCTACAGGAACCTGGGGCTCTGGGGGAAACGAAAGAAGCCTGAAGACTGCCTACCACAACACGCAATATACATATTCACTGTCTGGTCTGTCGCATAGCACAGACTGCATTCTCTGTCCTTTTTTTAAAAAAATAGCATTTTGTAAAAGAATGTAGTCCCACAACTCCTCTGATTTGAAAGGAACACCTTGTATTTTTTATATGCATCTCTTATCCACTGTGACTTTTCAACTGGGCTCTGCGATTCCAGAGTTTGGAATGTAGAAATGAAATACTTAGCTTTGCCTTTTCTTAGGGGTGTGGACCTGCCAGAAATGTAATTATGCTCAAGTGCATTAATTGAAGGCACTGTGCACACCACCATTGGACTGCTGACCATAGTTATGTTTCCTGTAAAACTCCGTAACTGGTCACGGCACCTTCATAATCACTGTATTTTTGACCCTTATAAAAAATTATTTTAATGGTGTTCTGGTACTGTAAATGGTGTCCTTTAAATTATTTAATAACTTGGGTGTGGGGCCAGCAGAGAGGGATGGTGTCCAGAGACACAGCACACTTTATATCCTATCTTACTCTCCCCTATTTTTCTTATCCTTACATCCTTTTTGTTAAAAATAAAAGGCATTGTAGCTGTTGGTCTGTGTGGTTTTTTCTTTAAGGATAAATGACCTTTTAGAAACTCCTCCAGTGTCATCTGAATAATTTTCAAGTATAGTTTTCCTTGAAAAAAATTGATTACCCAAACCAAAAGTTTTGGGGCTGGGGATATAGCTCCTGCCTGGAAAGCACAAGGTCCTGATTTTGATGCCCTGTACCACACGTGCCTCCCCACCAAAAAAGCAAAAGTTTTGGACAGTCAAATTTTGTTTTGTATTTGTTTGTAATGAATCTAGTAATAATGTAATAAAAATGAGTTACCTTAAAAAGCAAGAGGCAAGCATAACTAGGATTGTTTTTGTAGCTAACTTTCCTCACATCTAGCCTTTGCTCTTCCCTCCTCTGAATCTTGTTTGTATTTGACAGAAAATAAAGTGCTTAATTTATTCCCTTATTTCTTTCCATTTAAAGCCTAATTTTGCTACACAGAGCCCTTTTACTTTTGTCCACATTATTTTAAAATAGTGACTATAATAGCCAAAAGGAAAAAAATCTGTCCATTTGTATGCTGCTTCACAAAAGCCAAAAAACTTCTACACCACTGAGTATTTCCTATGTTTAGTGATGTAAATAGAGGATGTGGTTATTCTCCACCGCTTACCTTAAGTTGAGGAAACCACTACGTGTTCTCATGGCAAAGGTTCAGCAAAGGCAGGCCCCCTCGATGAGGTCTATGGGTGATGACTCCATGTCCCACACCAGCATAGTCTAAATGGAATAAAATATAAGAACCACAAGACTATCTTCTTTAATGGTACAGAGAAACCCAGGGCACATAGACTACATCCCCACCACTTTCTGTTCTGACACAGGATCCTGCCAGGTTCCCCATGCTGGCTCCAGTGTGCCACCCTCCTGCCTCAGCCTTCCAAATAGCTGAAGACACGAGCCACTGCGCTTGGCCTACACAATGTATGTTACAGCATTTTCCCCTTAATTTTCAAAAGTAAAGGGCTAGGGGTTTAGCTCAGCAGCACAAGTTCCTGCCTGGCAAGTGCAAGATTATGAGTTTGATCACCAGTATCCAAAAAGTAACATTATCCCTTTGGGACACAGTGATAGTAGGGGTTGAAACCAGGGCCTTTGCACTGAGTTCCAGGCTTTTAATTTTTTTTAAATGAAACCAAAATGTTGCTTTTGCCTTTTTCTGTAACACAGGTAAGGTGTTTAGAACAGTGGAAAGTGATGGCACCTGGCTCCAGTTGTGTGGTTTCTGTAATTAGACCAATACCCTCAGTTCCATTCGAAGTACCTCAAGCTCTAAACTCAGTGCCACCTAGGACCAGGAGTGCCTGGCTGTGCGGTCCATTTAGGAAAGCTATTAGTCTGAAGAAAAATCTGACTGCAAGCCCATAAGGACAGTGAAAACTATTGTCTGTGTCTAACTCAACCTTTACAATGCTTTATAAAAAATTTTTTAAAAGTTAGCACTTTTAATTCAGTTGGTCAGTTATTCATCTAAATCACCTGTCCACAGCTGCTCCTCCAAGCCTCACACCACGCTGGAGGCACTGACCCATGAGTGTTAGTCCCCCAGCAGTTTCCCTCTGAAGCCAACCTAGAGATGCTAACACTCCCCATCTACACACCCCAGAAACCGTTATTATCCATCAAGGCATAGCTCTACCTTTACCTGCCCTGAAAGCCAGCTGACTTTCATGGTTATGCAGCTTTTAATTCAATTAACACTGGACTGCAGATCACAGAGCTGTGAACCATCTCACTAGGTCTCCAGTGCTTTTAGCCTAGTCAGCCTAGCCCACCTTAGGCCATCAACAGAGATGCAGATGCGACAGGCCAGGACTGGTAGCACAAGACAAATCGTCCTCAAACTTTATTTTGAGACAAAAGATTTTATGCAACTTACAAACTTTTGCAATACCTTTATTTGAAGGCTTTGTCCAAATACATTGCCTCTCAGGAAGTATTTTAAGGAAGGAGAGGTGGAGAGAAGGCAAGGAGAGAGCTCACTTGTCTGCTCCCTTAGCACACATGCAGAACCATTTTTTACATGCGCTAAATGATATATTTAAAGCTGAAAGTGCTGTCACAGGACAGGCGTTTGCCTTTGCATCTCCCACACAAGTCTTGACGATGGGGGCGTTTGGGGTCCACGTGGCGCAGTCTTACTGGGCAGGAACATCTAGTTCTTTTACAACTCTGAAAAATCAGAGTGAGAAGTACATACAAAAGATAAAACCTCTTGGTGACTTCCTAGGACTTCACAATGATTAAAAATATAGTCCGTTCAAATACTTGCAAATGCACACTAACCAAGTCCTATACACTAATCTTGTCTACACCCCTGCCCAGGAATGATGGGTTTAGGAATAGAGGCTGTTTTCTGTGTTGTAGATTCAATGCTCAGCTGTGAAGTTTCTTATGTAACTGTCTAAGAAAAAGATCTTTTCCTGTACTTGAAAGGTGTGGAATAGCAGAAAACAAGTGAGAGACAAACTGGTCGGCGAAAGCCAAGAATCCAGTGACTAATGCATCTGACTTTAGGAAGGGTGCCTGACCTAAGAGGTTCTGAATTGTTTTCCATAGATTAACACCCTCAGGTATCAACGCTTTCAATACCCAAGATTGAAGAGCATTGATTAGGCCTTCTCGTGGCAAGTCAGGCTCATTAGCTATGTGAACATAGGCAGATTTAGTAATTTATTTCTTAAGTCCCTTAGCACAGCATTATGAGATGTTAAGAGGCAGCAAGCCATGTTATTTAACTCCATAAAGCCAGGCACCTCAGAATCATCTTAAGCTTCATGAGCTCTCGGGCAAGAAAAGTCCGCTCCTGTGCTATATTAAATAATTTCACTTGAATATGTGCTTCCTTAGAAGCACTTGAGTGAAGCAGCCAACATTTGCCACCTCAAGGTAGACCAGCATTGTTTCTCAGTTTGCCTTCTCTGATAGGCTAACAGGCAAGGCAAGCTTTCTTCCATACTGCTTTAAAAGTTTTTACCAAGGGCAGAAGAAAGCTTTTATCATCTAGACACCATTTCTAAAACTTCGAGCAGAAAGCAGTGAAACCCTAAGGTCACTGGGAAACTAGCCTCTTTTAGGAAACATAGTCAAAGAGAATAACCTTCTTCCCCCCAACAGACACAAAATGCAAACATTCAATTTACTTGACAGGTGATATCCTCCACTCGGTAAGGGTTGTAAGACTTCTGACAAGTTCTGCAAAACTGTTTGAAGTAAACCTGTGATGAGAAACAATAAACTTAAAGAAAAAGCACCTCAAACTTCCACAAAATGACGCCAGTTACATGGGGTTGCTTACCTTGTTTGTGCCCTGTACACACCACACGTATGCACTCTCCCAGCGGATGTTGCAGTCCTTGCAGTGATAATAGCCGTATTTCTGCTCTAAGAACTGAACAGGATACCAAAGGTTACCTAACATGACATCCTCACTTAACCTTCATTTCTGAAGCTGGGAAGGATCCAGCTGCTGCTTAAAATCGGCAACTTTATTCCATACAACAGCAAAGTAAGGTCAGGTTTGGGTAAACCTCTACAATAGAATCACTAAGCTAATGGCTCAGTAAATCCCATAAGGAAGGAGTAGGCCCAAACTTAATTTGATGCATAAGGCTAGTTGACAAGTCAGTGTTTTCCACAGTCAGGTAAGGGGGGAAAAAAAAAAAAAATCAAGACATCTGGGGGTTCTGAGAAGCTTGGGATTGGGATTCTTCAGGTAGGACTTTCTTTGTAGGAGAAACTCTGACGTTAGAACATCCACAGATAAAGTCAAGCTGAAAAGGAAAACTGCATCTGAGATTCTTCATGAAATGCTCAAAGTTGTGTACACTAAATTCCATCAAACGGTAACGTCACAAATCTCTAAGCATGGCCCATTTAATAAGAACTAAGCTTTTCTTTCTTCGCAGCCAGAAACAAGCTGGGAAGTTTTCAGAAGTTGGCCTTCGGAACTAGTAGAAACTTTGGAGAGCACTTAATGAGATTTCACAGGCGAATAAATAGCATAAAGGCCAAGAAGCTTAAGGCTCGCCTAAGATGACACCCAGCTGTGCGCAGCAGTGGCTTGAGACTGACAGCTCTGGCTTCTAGATTTCCTCCTCCCCTTCTTGCACTCCAAAACCCACGGAGACCTAGAATGACTGGAAAGCGACACATGACACTCCTTCCTTCCTCCTGCCTAATTACAGGAGTTACAGGAGTTACGGCTGCCCACTGTGCAGCAGTCCCGCAGGACCCAAGTCCGGGAGATTCAGAATGGGGGGCTTTAGAAAAGCCCGGCAAGGTCCTAGAAGTGGCGCTAGCGCAGCTCGGCCTTCCGGCCGACTGGGGCTGGGATATACGGGTCAGAATCAGAGGTCAGCCTCTCAGGCCCCCAGTGTGTCTGTTACGGGGTTTGTCCTATTTGTAGGCAAAATGGTACAGGGTCTTTGGGAACTGCCAGTCCCTCCTGCAAGTTTGCTTTCCCGTGCTGTACTGTGTTGGCGGAGGCGCGGTGCAAAGCGCCCGCCAGCCCGCCCGCCCGCCGCAGCTGCTGGCTGCGACCCCGCACACCGCAGGGCCAGCGCTGCGGGCACAGCGGCGTCTCCACCCTGGGTCCCGGCCTCACCTGGAAGCGCAGGCGCTCCTTGGCCGGCTCGGCGCCCGGCGGCGACCTCTCCTGCGCGGCGGCGGCGGCGGCGGCCCCGCCTTCCCCAGCGCTCCCCACCGCAGGAGGCTGCTCCGGGGGCCGCGGCGTGGGCTGCGGGGCCGCCTCCTCAGCTGGAGCCTCCCGCGACGGCGGCCGGGCCCCGGCGTCTTCCTCCTCGCGCCGCTCCTCCCCGGTCCGGGATGGCAGGGACGCCTTCCTCGCCGCCCCCTCGTGGTCCTCCGGCGGCCCGGGGTCCGCCGCGCCGCCCGGGGCCTCCTCCAGGCAGGCGGTGAGGTAGCGCGAGACCACGGGCGAGTACACGGCGAGGGAGCGCGGGAAGCGCGCGGGTGCGGCCGGGGTCCCGGGCTCGCGGGCCCTGCGCGGCAGCGTCTGCCGCCCGAGCGCGCACTGCACCGAGGCGTCGCGCCGCGGGTTCACCTGCACCCCCACGTCGCGGCAGCTGGGCCTGCGGGGGCGCGGCCCGAAGCCCGGGCTCGCGTGCGACAGGAGCGCCAGCAGCTGCGCGCGCTGGTAGCTGTCGAAGTACTCGGCGGCCGTCAGCTGCCCGTGGCCCGGGAAGGACGACGAGGCCACCCCAGCCGCGGAGGAGGACGAGGCAGGCGGGTGGCCCCCGCCGCGGAGCCGCCAGCCATCGGCGCCCTTGGCGGCCGGCGGGTAGGGGAAGGGATAGGAGTAGGGGGCGCACGTCGGGTACATGAAGGCGCCCAGCACCTCGTCCCCCACGGCAGCCATGCGCGCGGCCCCACAGCTCGCCCGCGGCGCGCCCTAAATAGGCCGCTCTCTCCGCCTCCCAGTCCCGCGTCCGGAGCTCCGCGCGGCAACCCCTCGCGGCGGACGCGGGCGGGCAGCCCTAGAGGATCCCAGCCGAGGCCTCTCGGAGTGATTTAATCACGATTTGTACGTGAATGCGCAGGCGTGAGGAGCGGTCCGACGGAGTTCTAACCCGGACCAGCTGGGCCCAACGGAGCTGCCAGGTGATCCGCGCCGCCGCGCGCAGAGCGTAGGGGCAAGCGAAGCCGGCACCTCGGGGTGTGGGCCGAACGCCCGCATTTGCGGACTGCGCTGGGTCTGTTACCCATTATCTCCGATTACGGCTCAGCTTCGTCAGAGTGGCGCAGAGAGGTGTGCCCACTGAAGCCGCTCGGCAAACACGCGGAAGCCCAGGGCCTCCCCATCTAGCTGATTGTTTATCCCCTGGAGCCTCCCCCCACCAGTGGTCACCAGGAGGTGCCAGTTCGCTCTTCTTAGGTAAATGCTAGTTCTACACAATTTCCAAACCTACTCCTCCAAAGATAAACTCATTTGTTTACGGATGTGTTGAAAATAAATGCAGAAGACCAATTGTGCAAAGAAATCACCTTATCCACTGGCAAAATGTTGATGGTTCATTTGCAATAAACAGATGTCAGATCAGGTAATCAAATATATTAATTTTTTTTCCTCTGGTCTGTTACTGGTTTGACAATAAAATGCTATATTTCACCGTGTCAATGACCTGTGGGGATTCTTCTGAGTACAGATTAAAATTCCACATTGTTCATGTAAGGCTCCAACCGGACCTGCCCCTCCACCCCCACCCCCCACCCCCACCCCGCCTGCTTGTCCGCAGAAGTACTGCTGTCTGCAGGGAGCTCAGCTCTCAGCGGGGAACGCAGTACTGAAGTTGTCATGGCAAGCACAAGAAAAGTTTAACACAGGACAAGGAATTTTGCAGGTCCTGAAGCCATCTAGAGACACCCAAAAATTTATACCAGACACATGGACTCTGCCCACTGAGGTGCAAGACTGCCAGAAAACTTTGACCACAGATGTTTATTAAGATCTTTCCACCTAATGTCTCCTTCTCTCCATCCCAATAAAAGGGGGCCACTTCTCTTTTTTCAGGTCTTATTCCGCTCTCTGTCTGCATCCAGGCACAATAAATTCCAGGCTATGTTGCTTTTACATATGCCTGGTGATCTCTGTATGTTAGATGTTATAGTTATGTATTTACAGGTTGAGCGAGCACACTTTTCTGTTTTATGGTAAACTCAATTATGCTTTATAGATAGCTTGTCTTTACGCAGCTAAGACACTACATTTCCAGACCCTGCTTTCTAATACAGTAGTTTCTATCTGTGAAGCAGTCATAGAAACTGATAGTGGCAAAAATCAAAAAGCCTATTGAATCAGATGGGGCTTCACTTTAGCTGAACCACACGGAAGTTAGAGTAAGACATTGATTTGTAGTCTATGGAAACACTAGGTCACTACAGCAGTGCAGCTTTACAATGGAAAGATCAAAGACGTCACATGTGATGCCCAAACCAACTGTTATCCTTTATGTAAACCATGTGCACTACACAGGCCATAAATACGAATTAATATTTCAGCACGATAGGAGCTCCTATGTGTCTCCACATTTAGAGAGAAGTCTGGGCAGTTTCCATCGTTATCAAATGATCAGCTTTCACTGTGCCATAGGAGGTGTCTGCCATTTCCTCTTCTTTTAGTTTCTTATAAGAAATATCTGTATCTTCATCTTCATCTAGAGGATCTTGCTTGTGCAATATTTCACTTCCATACATTTTATATATTAAAACAAAAATCCCTGCTTCTGCAGACTGGAAAAGAGCATAGAGCAAGGGAAACATGTACATGCTCCCTATGAAGCGTGGCGGGAAGGCCAGTTTTAGGATGGCAGTGCAGAGCTGCACGTTCTGACTGCCGGTTTCCAGGCACACAGTCCGCTTGCAGTTGGGTGGGAGGTGGAAGAGAGTAGCCAGGCCATAGCCCGAGGCATAGCCTGCCAAAGGCATAAAAATGGCAACCACGTAAACAGCCGCAGGGATACTTGCCAGCAATTCAGGTCCTAACATTGTGCCAGTCAGTATGAAAAGGACCACCAGCGTCACTAGCAGGGACCACAGGGAAACCTAGTAATAGAAAAGGAATAGACAAGCCATCAGCAACAAGACTGTGGAAGATGACTCCAGGTTCTTGGAAGAAGGTACCCATCTAGTCTGACCTCCCCCACAAAATGAGATCTTGCATGTACACCCAAAGAGAGCTGGTCAGCTCATGGGGAGCATTCTGACCCATGCTGGACAGCTGTTTCTTTTTGGAGGCCTGTCCTCAGGTCAAGCAACAATTGGCTTCTGTATCTTCTGACCATTTCCTTGTTCAGGTCTCCAAGAGCAATAAATGACCAGTCTACTTTTGAAAAATTACACTTTGAAAGTTTATAAAGCAGTTATCAGGGCTGGTTACTCTTCTTCAGGTAGACTATGCCCAGCCCCTCAGTTCTTATCCCATAACTTTGTTTCAGTGCTCTGACTCTTTTGATTTGACATTTAGTTTTCTCAAAAAACAGCAGGTAAAATTGAGCCCAAGTGAACAAACCCCAAGTGTTTGATCTAGTGAATGGAGTAGATGGTGGTCACATACTGAAAAAACAACATTCTGTGTCAGGGTGAAATTAATTCTCACCTTACACATGAAATGAAAAGCTATCAAAGTATATATGTGATATTTTTAACCTTAAAATACACCTAAAAGGACTGTTACCAGGTTGAAATAAGTAAGATTTTGAAAGAGAAAAGAAATAAATGTAAGAGTTGAGGAATTCTTTGCAATTTTGCAACTCCCTCTTTTTCATTTGTTCAGAAGAAACCTCTCACGTGTAAGTCGGTGCTGCAGAATTACTAGGTAGGGATAGATGGCTACTAACTGTACAAAACATGTCATCTTGATATTCTGACTGGTAAACATTTCACTCATTCAAATAAAGGCTGTATAAATCATAATGCAGAAACCTAAAAATTCCTCTTTGATTGACTCTTTTTTAGAATGCTTAAAGTAAATGTCATTGAATTCATGATTAAACATTATAAATATATTACATTAAAATGTATATTTACATTTCACATATATTTATTACATCCATATACACATTTATTGTGGAATAGATTTTTTATTCAAGGATAGATTTAGGTACAGAAAAGAACCCTCTATTTCTCATATTCATAAAGTTGGCTCTTCCATATAATAAGATTAGAAAATAAACTAATATAAGTAAAATACAAAAAAAGTATCTTAAATCTATATGATTGAAACACTGGAATAGCTTTCTCATTTGTCTAAAGAAACTTGCCTCTGCATGTTACAATAATTGACTAACTTCCTAAAGTGACATCCTGTTCATGGTTTACTCTCTTGCACCATTTTTGAGTTTTCAAAAAAGTTGAACTTACAAATATTTGATTTTTTTCTCCAGTCAACTATTAAAATCTCTACAAAAAATTTTTAAAAAAATAATAGAAATCCCGTATTTCAGTATTTTTAGAAATCATATAAAATATGAAATAAGGAAAAACAAACAGAAATCTGGTAATGACAATATAATCTACATTATCCAGGACCCAATTTTATTTCATGCTTTCAAGCCAATATTTGTGTATTCTATTCTATTGCCACAGTATAACTTTTCAATTACTTTTAGCTTTATAGTGTCAACTTGTTTCTTTGGTTCTTTTTAAATTAATAAAACAGGCTTGGGGTGTAACTCACTAGCAGTACACTTGCCTAGCAATCCACAGCCTGCAAACAAAACAAAACATTTTTAAAGGAACCAACTATAGTATTTCTTAGAATTAGAATTCCACTTTTGAAAATACAGTAATGCATTTCTAAAATACTGCACAGACTATTAAATAATTTTGTTGACTATTTTGATTTCTGGTAACAGATTTAGTGGAAAATGTTACCATTGGATGACATCATCATCTCCCTTATCATGACGTTTCCTCCCCAACAGTACTGACATCACCAACGCTGTTTTATTTTATTTTATTTATTTATTTATTTTTTTTTTTTGTCTTTTTCCTTTTTATCGGTACCGGGGATCGAACTCACGACCGCCTGCTTGCAAGGCAGGTGCTTATGCCGCTGAGCTAAACCCCCGGCCCCACCAACGCTGTTTTAAATTAAGCTACGTCCCAATTAGAGTTATCGTTCTAGGAATTCCAAAAGGTAGAAAATATCTTTGTTGCATAGACTTAAAATTCACCCCTAGAAGTCCTGGTAGGTCCTTTTCTTCCTTCACTTTCTTTCCTTAACTTCCTAGCATTTCAGCACAAGGCAGCAGCCAAGGCCCTCTGGGTGACACGGAGGGAAAGGGGTCCTCACCTTCACGATGTAGTCTGCCACACGGTTGTATTTGTAGCGGATGAAGACGCCCAGCCCGATGGGGATGAGGGTACTGCAGAGGGTCAGGGTCACTGCCCCTAGGGGCAGTAACTGTACCAGAGGGGTGTCGATCCAGGCCCGGCTATAGATCCACAGGCACAGGGGCATCAGGACCAGGGCCAGAAGTGTGGAGGAGATGGTCATGATGATGCTGCAAAACACAACGAGCGGTCAGAACGGGCTTCGCACCCAAGAGCCTGCCGACCCTCTCCTCCATGCTGGGTAGAGGGGCACCAGGCAGCCCGGGAATCCCTCCGGCCTGAAGTCTGGGGAGAATCTACTTCATTAGGGGCGGGCCAAGAAAGCAGAGCCTAAATCCAATGGAAAAATGAGCCAGAGGCAAAAAAAACAAAACAACTCCAGACTGTGCCCTGGGCTTTGTAAAGCCAGTTGAGTCTGGATGATTCTGAAGACAGGGGGCATCTTTCTTTGCCTGTTAATCCTCCCAAGAGCCCTGCATTGTTAGATGCAGAAAAGCTGCTGGATGCTACTTGTTGGATTAAACTCAATTATGTTGCACTCTCTATGAGATTACTTTCTTTATTGGGCCAATAGCCCTGATTTGCTTTTCCATTTCCGGCGAGTCCTAGCTTCAGACTCCCCCCTCCTTTCTGTCTGTCCGTGGCCCCAGATCAGCGCCTACCGACAGCCCCCCGACTCCGGGAGAGGTGGCAGTGGGGAAGAGCCCCCTGTGGGTGACACGCAGGCCCTTCTGTTCTAGACCGTTCCTACCACACACTGCTTCGTCCACCCCAACTTCTGAAGCCCCGGCGTCCACACTGCCTCCCTTTCTTCCTCTCCACCGCTCTCTCTCCTCCCCTGGCACCCGGGCTGTCGACGCGCCTGGCGCGGTACCTGAGGTTCATGTCGCCGTCCACCAGCAGGGACATGAGATTGGAGAGGTTCCCGCCGGGACAGCAGCCGCACAGGAGCACGGCCACCGAGGCCACCTCGTCCAGCTTGAGGGCGAGGGCCAGCAGGAAGGCCAAGAGCGGCAGGAGGCCGAACTGGCAGAGCGCGGCCAGCAGCGCGCCCACCGGGCGGCGGACGTGCGCCCCGAAGCGGTTCACGTCCACCGTGCAGCCCAGGCCCAGCATGGTGATGCACAGGGCGGCGCCCACGAACACGTTCAGCCCGTGGTTCAGCGGCGACTCCCAGAACGGGAGCTCGTGGGGCGCCCAGGCCGCGGGGGGCAGCGAGGCGCGCGGGCTCCCGACGAAGCTGCGGGCGGTGGGGCCCGGGCTGGAGCCGCCCGGGGTGGGCGCGGCGCTGGGACCCGCGCTCGGGGCGGCGGCGGCCGGCAGGGTGTAGTTGTCGGGCGGCAGGAAGGAGTCGAGCGGCCACCGGGTGCTGTTGCCCGGGCCGTCCATGGCGCAGGCTGCACGGTCCGCGCTCTCCGTGCGCAGCGCCCCCCGTCGGTCCGCGCCCCCGGCTCGGGGTGCGCCGCTGACGTCGGAGCGGCCGCCCGTCCCGCACGGCGGCCCCGCAGCCCCGCGCCGGGTGGCACCGAGGACAGCGCAGCCCGGGCCCGGCGCGCCGCCCCGCCCACAGCCGCCTTTTAATCACCGCTAAGTGGCTCCCCCGGAGTTAGCCAGGGGCGGAACAAAGACCTGACAAAGGAGAGCAGAGGAGAAGCAGCCTGGCTGCAGACCAAGTCCTCGGATGGGCTCTGAATCCTTTTCTTCTCTTCCTATTTTTAAATTACTGTAAATAAATTTGCCTAATTCATACGTAAGAACATGAAGACTGTGATGTCTGTGTGTGTGTACTTTGTGTCACGTTCAAATCAAGTTAATCACACACCTACATCCTTAAATGTGTGTCATTTCTTTATGATGAAAATGTTCAGAATGCTTTCTCCTAGCTTTTTAAAGCATACAGCACATAATTGTTGTCTCTGGTCACCCTATGGTGCAACGGCTCATCAGAACTCTGCCTCTTTGATAATGAAATCTGGGGAGCCAGGCACATAGACTGGGGGAGGGGGAGACCCAGGCTTTTCCACGCGCATACACATAACCCAATACACAAACAGTCTAAATAGCCTGCAGCCCTCAGCAACAAGAAGGAGCCTGGCCTAATATGAGCGATTTTCTAGCAGCATGACACAATGTCTGGCTTGAATTTGCAAACAATTTGTCATGGCTTTTATGTTCAATCGTGAAGCAGAAACAAGATGATCTTAACAATTTGGAAGCCAGGTACTGTGCAAGCATATGTGAATTATTTCTCACAGCAAAGCCATGAGATAGATACCATTTGTTCAAACTCCATTTAAAATATATTTACTTTTAATTGACACAAAGTAGATATTTATGGGGTACAGTGTGGCATTTAATATAGGGATACAATGCTAATAATCATATCAAAACAATCACGATATCTATCACTTGATACAATTGTCATTTGTTTTTCATTTTGTTTTTGTGGTGCTGGGGATCAAACCCAGGATCTCCTATGTGCAAGGCCAGAGCTCTACCACTGAGCCACACCACCAGCACTTTTCTTTGTTGTGAACAATTGAGTCTTCTGCACCAGCTATTTTGAAATATTCAGTTATTTGTGTCCAACTGTAGTTATCCTCTTGCAGCAAGCTTGGCTATATATTCATGGTGCTATGTCCTTAAAAAAAGACCACAAAGAGCTCAGCTAGGAAAAGTTCTCATGAAAAATGTGTCTTGGAAGTTACTGGCAGTTGGGGAGAAGATATTTCAGTGGTCACAAATTTATGAAGTGTTGTGAGTAAAGACTCAGCACTGGGATTAAAAGACTGAGAAGAGATGAAGTGCTGAGATTCCCTGCTACAGACAGATTTATCCCAAAACAAATCAAATTCAGTTCTCAGGAACAAAGACATAGTAGCATTCGGTCAGTCACTCTGTGCATACCAAGGAGGGGGTACTTCTTGGAGAGGCTGTGAGTTATCCTGATGACCATCACCCTTTTGACCAGTTGTTTTGTGAAAGCCAATGTATGAATGTCTGGGCTCAGTGCTAGCCCATGGTTACACTGCATGGAGCCAAAATAGACTGAATTCTCCTTCCTAGGGACTTATCACTTCCCCTTCCCTGATACAGAAGAGACAGATGACTTCCATGCCTATTGACAGACAGAGCCCAAGTGTTGGCATTTTCCTCTCCTCAAAGATCATGAAAGCTGCAGAGAATATGAAAAATAAGACTAAACTGGTCCCATATTCACACTTAATCAGAAATTTTTTCTCCATAGACCATAAATTCCACCAAGGCAGAGAGTTTGTGAACATTTAAGAAAATAACACTAAACTCCAGGAGAAAAAGTGTGGTAACACCTACACAGCTTGGAAGAAAGTAGGTTATGGTGGAGGTAGCCTGAGTTTTCATCTAGGGTTATGCAGGTAAAAGAAGGCCATTCATATATACAGCATAACATGCCACCCAAACCTTGAGTGCATCCGGAGAACACAGGTGAAGAAACAGACAAGGTAAGACAGCATGGTGAGCCTCACCTCAGCTGGATCTTCAGTGTCTCCCAGAGATTCATATATTAAATCACGGTCCCTGGAGTAGTGCTACTGGAAGTTGTGAAGGAGATGTGGGCCACGTGGGAGGATTTTAGGTCATTGGGTGCACTCAAAAGGGATTGGGGGGCCCCAGCCCTCTCCTCTCTCTTTCACATGCTAGGCATTAAGTCAGTAGTCTATCCCATCATGTGTTCCTATCATCACGTGATGCCTTAGCACAGGCCCAAAAGCAACGAGGCCAGTCAGTCACAGAGTGGAACCTCCAAAACTGTAGCTAAAATAAACTTATAACCCTTTTCTATCTATAAGTTGATTGTTTCAGGTATTTTGTTATAGTGACAGAAAGCCGACTAACACAAGATTGCCCTTTTGCATTCCTGGGAACTGAACCCAGAGCCTTCACATTGATTTACATCCCAGCCTTATTTATTTGTTTATTTATTTACACACGTTTTGAGACAGGTGGACAGCTCTCTAAACTGTCCAGATGGGACTCAGATCTTCAGGAGTGCTGGGATTGTGGGCATGGGCCACCGCACATGACTGGCTTTCACATTCTTGAAACTACTGGATAAGATAAACCAAGAACACATATAGCAAAGGATCTGGCTGAAGCTCAGCAGTGCAGGCACAAAGTGTATTTGTTTCAGAGTGCCTCCTCAAGTGTACTAAAACCCACACTCAGATTAAATAAACACTGATTACAGGCATACAGCTCACCCATCCAGATCCTCCTGGGGTCTGGGAAGGGACTCAGGAGTCAGTTTGTGCAACAGGCAAAGACTGAAGACAGAAAGCGATGGGCTGGGCTGTAAACCATCAGAAACATACTGAACTTTGGGAGCTTCTTGGGACACACAGCCTGCTGGCCCCCCTGCTGATGCTGTCACTGTAAAGAAAGCAGGAGCTTTGCCTCCCCAGTCTTTCCAAGCTCCTCCTTCAGAAGAAGAAGCCTTGGGGTTAGGAAGCAGAGCTCATTTCCCAGCATGATGACACCGGTGGACTAGCTCGGTCATTTCACTTCCCATAGTGCCTTTTGCTGCCAGCAAAGAGGACCTGGTCCACCCCAAGGGAAGAGCATCCTTAGAGGGTAGAGATGAAACATAGAATTCAGAAGATACACTAGCTACTCGGGGGAAGAAAATTTAGAGATTTATTATATAACAAATACCAAGAGAAATTTCAGGCAGGCTGAATACTTACATGTATTAATAGTAGCTGTATAACCAAGTAGTGGAGAAAAATACTGTCTAGTACCTGTGTCATTTTTGCATAGCATCATCTTTCTAAGCTAAGAAGTAATAGAAATAACAATGGGAGGTGCAGCAGATACAGTTAAACATCTTATGCTCTGGTATAATGAAAACACAATGTAAAGATTAACAGTTAATTACAACATGAGAAGCATTTGCCATGTATATAAAATCCAGTGCAAATATAAATTTATAAAGCAGTTTCACATAGTTATAAGAACAAACAATAGGAAAAACACAAATGACATGAATAGAAATAAGATCACAAAAAAGAACACAAGCATATTTATAAAATACTTAGTGTATTTATATAATAAAAAATACTCACTAGTAATGAAATACATTCAATAGAAGCAATTAGATGGCATTTTTTCCAGTCCTGGAGGTAATTTAAATAGGTAATACTGTGTTATGGAGGCAAGGATGTGCTGTAATCAACGCCATACTCTTATCTTGCCCATTTTCCCTTTCTAGATGAAAAGTTGCTAGCAAATGCCAAACACCTTAAGAACTGCATCCCTTTTGATTCAGTAAGTTCTATTTCCAGGTGTTTATCGTAAAGAAATAGCAAAGGAATTTTTTAAGGAGCACTAGACTGAACATTTACTATATACTGTACTGGAAAGTCTTCTAAGACTTTACATGAATCATCTCATTTAATTCTTATATTAGGTAGGCTTAATTAGAAGTTTGCCCAATTACCTCCAATTAGAATAGAGCCAAAAGTCAAACACAAGCTTTTGGATTACAAATCTTGTACTACTAAATTCAATTTATATAGTTAAATAAATCAGAGTGCATTAATATAGGAGACTGCTATAAAAATATTAATTATCATGTTTTATGATAGAGACTCCCCCCCCATCCTGCTCCTCCTCCTTCTTCTTCCTCTTCTTTTTTGTCCTGAAAAATTAAACCTGGGGCCACACACATGCAAAACAATTGTGTCTCTGAGCTACATCCCCACCCAAAACCAGAATCCTTAACCTGGAACCTATGGATGAACCCGAGAATCTATAAAAGGATGCATCAACTTCTCTGTGCAGGTGCTTTTCTGTTGTTGTTGTTGTTCTCCGTACAGGAGATACTTTACTGGGAAGTGGGTTCATGGCTTTTCTCTGATTCCTGAGAAGTTCCAAAATGCATTTAGGGGAATGCATAATAAAAAGAAAATTCCTGTGACATAATCTTAAATGATAAGTCAAAAAGTTATAACCTACACACACATGTATTTATATTATATGTAAAATATATAAAGGTAGAAGGAATTCTCCCTACTTCTTAAGTCTGAGTGATAGTACTTAAACTTACTTTTACCTTTTTTGTATTTCACTCTTTTTTTTGAAGACAGAGTCTCACTATGCAGTTCCGGCTGGCCTTGAACTCATAGCAATCCTCCTACCTCAGTCTCTCAAGTGCTGGAATTACAGGCAAGTGCCATCACATCCAGCTGTATTTCACTCTTTTAAAAATATCTGCTACCACTGTAGTGTGGCTGGCTGCAGCAGCCCCAGGGGGAGAACCACTAGTGTCTCCTGAGAGCCACAACATGTTGGAACTTAGGACGCTGGGAAACCAAGCAATCAGCCTGCCTCCCTGTTAAGCAATAGTGAGCCTACCTGTGCACCAGCTTAGAAGCAAACATCCCACTTCCCCTGCCCGCTTTTAGCAAATGGGAACCAGAGATCTGAGCATCTCTTGGGAGGTTGCCCATATGCAATATAGCAAATAAGGGGAATTTCCTTCTACCGTCTTTTTGAAGGCAAATATTTTTACTACTGTTTTGCTTTAGTCTGATTAATGGTACCGTCCTATTCAATATTCTGTTTTGATAAGTTCTATAGTGTTCTGTACTTCATTTTATTGTGCTTTATGTGATTGAGAGAACAACTATTGTGATGATAACGAGATACACTGTGATACCTATTACTGTTATCCCAGTAACGTGCTGTGAAGTTCTGTACCAATTTCACTACACTGTCTCATTGGCTTTGTTCTGTCTTGTTCTGTTGGATTTTACTACCTTCAAAATAATAGAAAAATTTTTTAAAAAATCTGCCACCAGTATATAATCATATGCAATGAATTTAAATATAAAATCTGAAAAATACATTCTACCAATATCAAAGGTCATAAGGTCGTAGGTTGATAGAGAAAAAAAATGCAAAAAACACATAACTTATGTAAACAAAACATTTTCTATTATAAAATAAAAAAGGATCTGCCTCACCAACAGTTAAACAAACACAAAATAGGAAATGTTTAAAGATGTAACTGACCAGATTCTCAAAATAGCAACCCTTAATCCTGAAACACAATGGCAAACTCAAGCACCTCTGGGGCAGTGTGTGCATTTATACAGCTTCTGAGGGAAGGTAGTTTGATAATGCACATCAGCCAGAGGACACTTTTTAAAAATTAGTGTGATTTTCAGTGAAATGCCAGAAACTGACCCAAATTTGTTTAAAACAAAAAAAGAAATTTATTAATTTATGGAAACCGAAAGTCTTTGTGTGTGGGCAGATTCAGGGAATAAAACGCTGTGTGGTCCTCATTCTCATGTACACTTCCTCCAGAGGAGCAGCCTACATATCCAAGACACAGTCCAGTTCACAACTGACCACGGAGAGTGTCCGCTTCCCAGTCATTGGAATAGAGATCATGAAATGGACTCAGGCCATCCTTGAACCAATCCTTGTGGCCACAGAATGGATGGCTTCACACATGCTTGGGGGTGGTCTACCCTTCACTTAGGACACATGAGCACAGAGCTGGCCAATGAGCCACTAAAGGAACATGTGGAACGCTGCGTGCTCTTCAAGGACAGAGGAAATAGGGATGTTGGGCAGACTGAGCGCTGGGTGTTTGTGAGAACTGTAATCAATCAAGCCCCCAGCAAAAGGTGTTTTAATGTTTCCAGCATTACAGTTTGTTCTTGTTAATTTCTGTCAATTTAATTTTTTAAAATTTCATATTTTAAGTTTATTTAACTAGTTGTGAAGTCAAACTTTTTCTATTTAATAGATGATAGTTTACTGTAAAGTATCTCTTCTTTGTCTGTTTACAGAAATATCTGACTTCCATAGTAAAAACAATCTGACTTTTGCAGACAATTTATGCAAAAATAAAACAAAATGATAACAGGAAAAAATTAGAAACAACATAGATATCCAATAACATGA